ATGTAGCTCAGGCCTTAAGCTTTTTTTTTTTGGAGTCCAGTCATGAGGCCTGAACTCTGGGCCTGGGCGCTGTCCTTCTGCTCTTCAGCTCAAGGCTAGCGCTCTACCACTTGAGCCACAGCGCCACTTCTGCTTTTTTTTTTTCTTTTTGCTTATGTGGTGCTGGGGAGACGAACCCAGGGCCTCAGGCATGCAAGGCAAGTGCTCTACCACTGAGCCACCTTCCCAGCCCCCAGGCCTTAAGCTTTTGATCTTCTATTCTGCTCCCCACCACCTTGTCCCTCCGTGCCAGGATTATAGGTACACACCACCATGCCAAGTTCATCTTAAACAGTAACAGGATGGAGAGAGTAACTCCTAATGGCACATAGATTTCAGCCTTAAGAAAGATGACCATCCAGGTTCCAGGGACATGTTTTGAGAGAATGGGTACTTCCTATAGCTTACTCTACGAGTCATGAACATAACATAGTCTTACAGATACATGAACATTTAATGCCAGTATTACTTCCCAGACTGTGTTTATAGTATTACTCTCCATGATTCTAACTTAATGCATATTCCTATCAAATATAACTAACTATACTCTAGCTTTTTTTTCCCAGTCCTGAGGCTTGAACTCAACCTGGGCACTGTCCCTGAGCTTCTTTTGATCAAGGCTAGCACTCTACCACTTGAGCCACAGTGCCACTTTGGCTTTTTCTGTTTATGTGATACTGAGCATTTGAACCCAGGGCTTCATACATGCTAGACAAGCACTCTACCAATAAGCCACATTCTCAGCCAGCTCTAGCTTTTGTTGTTGGGTTTTTTTTTTTGTTGTTGTTGATTGTCTTTTGTTTTTTTTTGCTGGTCATGGGGCCTGAATCTGGGCCTGGACACTGTCCCTCAGCTCTTCAGCTCAAGGCTAGTGTTCTACCACTTTGAGCCACACCACCACTTCCAGCTTTTTCTGCTGATATGGTGCTGAGGAATTGAACCCAGGGCCTCATGCATTGAGCCACCTTCTCAGCCTCCTTCTGCTCTAGCTTTTGATGTATGATTATAGGTCAATATATGTGCTACTTGAGAATACAGAATTTGGCCAGTCTTTCAGTTTTGTTTTGTTTTGTTTTCTGGGTGCAGTGTGGAGATTGAACTCAGAGGTTCTTGCAGGCTGAGCAAATGTGTTACCACTGAATTACTCCTCAACTCCTGCTTTGTCCTTTCATGATCATTTTAGCTAACACCCTCTGAGTTACTTTCTGGGTTAAAGATTTCTAATCCCTTTCCTGATGATAAAAAGCTTTCTATTTTGGTCCATGTTAGAACAGTGGGCTAGCATGTCTAAAAGCCATATTCACTGTGTTTTGTTTGTTTGTTCACAGTGCTAGGGATCAAACCAAGGTTGTAGTACATGGTAGGTAAGCACTCTGCCACTGAGCCACACTTTTGAGTCTGAATACCTTTAATTTTTGACTTTATGAATTATCCCCAGTCATTATCATAAAGTTTTAAAATCCTATCACCTATACTTTGCCACATGGCTATCATCTGCTTGTTCCTCTATTGATCTTGGGTTTGAGTTCATTACCTCCTTTCAGGAGAGTTTATATTTCCCCAAACTTTCACACTGGCCTTCCTTTCCTTCTGCTCTTACAAAGGTTGCTAATATGGCATTTCATATCTGCTATATGCAAGAAAATTTTTGTCCTTGACACCAAAATTTGAGTGTTCTCCTTCCCCTAAATTCCATGTGGCATTTTCCCCAGACATTTCACATTGGCCTGGTTGGTTTTGAGAAAAGAGGGGAGGTCCTCACTATGTTGCTCAGAGTAGCCTCAAATTCTTGGACTCAAGCGATCCTGCCTGCAGGCTCTCAATGTGCCAGACTCAAGCTGACTTACTACTCAGGTCACCTCTTAGCTGTTGCCATCATCAAGAATGCTGACACAGGGCTGGGAAGGTGGCTCAATGGTAGAGCGCTTGCCTTGCATGCCTGAGGCCCTGGGTTCGATTCCTCGTCACCACATAAGCAAAAAGAAAAAAGCTGGAAATGGTGCTGTGGCTCAAGTGGTAGAGCGCTAGCCTTGAGCTGAAGAGCTGAGGGACAGCGCCCAGGCCCAGAGTTCAGGCCCCACGGCCAGACCCCCCTAAAAAAAAAAAAAAAAAAAGAATGCTGACACATAATGAAATAATCTTTAGAATCAGAAACAGCCCAAGGATAAAATTTTTATGTAATCCAGAAATCCCTAAAATTTCCAAGAGGTTATCATTCAACTTCTGTTTACGTTTTTTTTCAAACTGCTCATTTCTTTTGGGACTGCACTGATATTTATAAACTCAGTTTGAGTTGAAATCTACCTTCTCAGTATTCTTATCTCCCGTTCCCAAGGCTTTTCAGTCTTTGAAGACAACTCCTAAACACTTTATGATCTCATGGCATAACTTCTAGACTTAATACCTTTGTCAACAAACTACTAAACCAATCAATAGTCTACTAAAGGCTGCACAGTTGAGGGACTCTTTTGTCCTCTAATAATATAATAATAGTTAAGCTGTGCTCATTAAAGACTCCTCTAGTATGACAAGCCCAGGGAGGTAAGATTTCCTAGTGTTTGGTTTTTTGTTTGTTGGTTTTGTTTTGCCACAGGTTCTCTGAAGGGTCTTATATTAGACATATTAGTAAAGTACATGTATTCTACAGAAGCCTTTGGTCATCCTGGTAACTTTAGAACTTTGGAAGATGCATCAGTATGTCAGATATTTACCTAGATGTGTCCTGTTTATCTTCATCAGTTTTTTGGGGGGGAGGTGGGGTCAGTCATGGGGCTTGAACTCAGGGCCTGGATACTGTCTATGTGTTCTTTTTGTCCAAGGTTAGCACTCTACCACTTTGAACCACAGCTCCACTTCCAGTTTTCTGGTGCTTTATTGAAGATAAGTCTCACAGACTTTCTTGCCACAGCTAGCTTTAAACTGTGGTCCTAAGATCTTAGCCTCCTGAGTACCTAGATTACAGGTATGAGCCACCAGTACAATAGGGAATGAAAATTTTTCTTGGGGGAAAAAAACCCCAAAACAGATGGTGTTACCCCTTGGGCTCTCTAAAATTGCTAGTGCATTTCATTTCTGTGAGTGTTAAGACTATCTAAAATACCTACATGTGGCTTAGAACACATAAGTGATGTTACTATGATTATAATGAAGAAGGTCCTTGCAAAGTGTGCCTTAAAATTCTTGTCTTGCCTTTTTGGTGGTTGTTTACCTTGGAAGAGCAATGTTCTCTTACCTGGGCTATCTTTGTTTTGTGTGTGTGTGTGAAAGATGATCTGTGTCAAGTCTATCAGTCAGCAATTGCTTTTCTTTTTTTTCAAGGCAAGTTTGTTTGTTTGTTTTCTGGGATTCCAGGAAGGTTTTTTGACATTGTCACTCTCTTACTTTGTACTTATTTTCCTCATTGCCTGAAAGGCTGCCTGGAAAAAATAGGTTTCTCATCCCTTCAAAAATTGTTCCTAAGAATAACTTAGGCTGGTTCAAAAAGCAGATTATTTCTCATTTCATGTTCATAGTATCTTGGGTGAAATGTTGACAGTGTATAAATCTGACAGACCTAAAGATCTCTTCCAGAAGCCTCTGCTAGTACAATGAGTTCTTCAAAATCCATAGCAACACACTACTCCCTCTGTTGGCCACCAGTCTGCGGCTAAATGTGGATAATCTATGCTGCTAATCAGTATCCTAGTTCCTATGGTCTTTTTTTTTTTTGTTCCTATGGTCTTTAAACCTGTGCAATGAAATTGTTTATTATTCAACGGACAAAGGTGTCCCAGAGAGGAACCATAAAAAAACAAAAACAATGGAATCTGGTGCTGTGATGCAAAATAACTAGCTTTAACAAAATTTGATTTTTTTCCCCAGATAGCCCTGTGTCTGTAACAAAGGTTCAAAAAATTTATATTTAATTTTCATTCTAATGTTAACTTTAAACAGCCATTCTAATAAAAAAAAAATGTACCAATTAGTTATTCTTTTACCTCTATAAAAATTAAGTTCATGACCAGCATTTTTAAAAAAAGCCTTTAGAAAGGTTAGTACATAAATGAGTTAGCATCTTGGCAATTTGTTTTAGTAATAAAGTGCTTTTTAAACATCCATTAGTCTTTTTTTTTTGCTGGTCCTGGGCTTGAACTTGGGGCCTGAGCATTGTCCCTGAGCTGCTTCTGCTCAAGGCTAGCACTCTATTACTTGAGCCACAGCACCACTTTTGGCCTTTTCTGTGTAATTTATTGGAGGCGAGTCTCATGGACTTTTCTGCCAGAGCTGGCTTTTTTTTTTTTTTTGTCAGTCATGGGGCTTGAACTCTGGCCTAAGTGTTATCCCTCAGCTCTTCAGCTCAAGGCTAGCACTCTACCACTTGAGCTACAGTGTCACTTCCAGTTTTCTGGTGCTTTATTGGAGATGAGTTTCATGGACTTTCTTGCCCAGGCTGGCTTTGAACCACAATCCTCAGCTCTCAGCCTCCTGAGTATTTAGGATTATAGGTGTGAGCCACCAGCCGGGCCCAATAGTTTTTTATTCCCCCCCCCCCCCCCCCCCGCTTTTTAGCAAATAAAGTATTTTTGAAGCCAAGCATGGGGATGGGGTGGGGGGTGTAAGGGAGCTCATGCCTGTAAACCTAGCTACTCAGGAAGGTGAGATCTGAGGATCATAGTTCGAAGGCAATCCAAGCAGGAAAGTCCATGAAACTCTTATCTCTAATTAAGCAGCAAAAAAAAAACCCCAACAAAACAAATACCCAAACCAAACACACACACACACACACACACACACACACACACAAAACCCAAAACAAATGGAACTGTGGCTCAAGTGGTAGAACACGAGTATTGAGCAAAAACACTAAGGTACAGTACTCAGGCCCCCAGTTCAATCCCCAGTACCAACACATACATACACACACACACAGTATTATTTGGGCGCCATAGACCCATTATGCAAAAGAAAAATAGAAACAAGAATTGTGGTATCAATTTATTAAATTAAATCATAGAAATAAGATCACAGGGCAGGATGTTCTTTTTCCATCAGGTTAGAGTCCTGAAGAGGAACACTCACTTGCTAGCAAAGGCCATAATCTGTTCCTGGAGTAAAATGGAACAAAGTAACACTGTCAGGTTGAACAGCTGTCAGGTGGGAGAATGGTGAAGAAATACCTTAAAATGAAATATCCAGAGTGATTAAGGCAACAACTTAGCAAAAGTCCCAGATAGATACTCCTTTCAAGATGCCTTGTTTTAGCGCAGATACATAATATGTAATATATATAATTATATATAAATTATATATAGCATATATAATCTATACTTTAAATTTTTTTTTTGTCAGTCGTGGGGCCTGAACTTGGCCTGGGCACTTTCCCTCAGCTCTTCAGCTCAAGGTCAGCGCTCTACCACTTGAGCCACAGCACCACTCCGGCTTTTTCTGCTTATGTGGTGCTGAGGACTCGAACCCAGGGCCTCATGCATGCAAGGCAAGCACTCTACTACTGAGTTACCTTCCCAGCCCCTGGAGGTGTTTCCCCCCACCCCCTCCAAGTCCATCCTCAGCAAGAATGGCGAAGTCATAGTGGCCTCTTACTTTGAGAGGAGACACTGCATTAGTGGCCTGTAAGCCCCAGGTCCTGAGCAGCACCAATGGTATGGCACTGGTAGAGTAAAGCCTCTTTAGGAAGTCTGTAGCAGCCAAAAGAGCAGTGTTGTGACGCTGCCTCTCTGTCTCGTAACTTGTGAGGTGGCTCATGGAGCCTAGGGGAAAGAGGAAAGGTCAAATCCCTAACAATCATCATGTCCATCCCATCTAGACACCAATGACCATCACAGGGTTCTGATCTTTACCTATATGACCTCAGGATACCCAAACCCTTACCTAAGTCTTTCCCATTGAAGGCTGCAGCACTAAGATGACAGACCAAGCTGGAGATATCCCCAAAGCCCATGTTAACACCTTGTCCTGCCAGTGGATGGACTCTGTGGGCTGCATCACTAGAAAGAAAGCAGCATTCAGGTGTGGCCTCCAGCAACAATGTGAAGGGAGAGGCCCTGCTTTAGCCTATCTTACCCAATGAGTGCGACTCGGGGCCGGACGTACTCAGCAGCATGGCCCAGCCCCAGAGGAAAGAGAACTCTGCTTTTGGCATCCACCCGGGCTACACTTGGTGGTAACTGGCGAGCGGAGACCTTAGTGGGCTTCAGAAGGGTGACTGCATACTGCAACATGGTCCCGGCTGAAGTGATGAAGTCTGTGTGGTTTGCATCACTCCACTGAGCATCGGTAGCACAAAGGAGAAAGGTGAAAATTGACCAGGGATTAGTAGGGAATTAATAGCTCCACAAGGAGTGGGGTGCTGGTGGTTCACACCTGCAATCCTAGCTCCTCAGGAGGCTGGGACTTGAGGACTGCAGTTTGAAGCTAGCCCGGGCAGGAAGGTCTGTAAGACTCTTATTTCCAAATAGCTACCAGAAAACTAGAAGTGGCACTCTGGCTCAAAGTGGTAAAGCGCTAGCCTTGAGCAAAAGAGCTCAGGGACAGCAATCAGAGCCTGAATTCAAGCTCCATAACTAACAAAAAGAAAAAAGAAAAAGCCCCCAAAACAAAAAACCCTTGATAAGGAAAAATAACATATTTACCTAACATATTTAAACTGATCATGACCAGTTATCTAGGAATGCAGGCCTGCATGTTCAGTTCCTTCTATTCTTACTGCTACCACACAGCAGTGGAGCAGCAATTCTTCAGCATGAAATGCCTAGTGAGGTAGTGTAGTGAGCTTGGTTGAAAACATGAGCTCCAAGGGCCTGTGTGATGCACCCAGCTATGTTACTAGCTCTTTAACCTCAGGCAAGTTCAAATCTCTAATTGAAGATAAAACTAGTACCTACCTCCAAGGTTTACTGAGTTAAATAACTATGTGTAAAACTCTAACCTGAACCTGATAAGTACCCTAAGAATGTTACCAATTATTACTACTATTTAAGCTGCAAAATTACTGTTGCCTTTTATTATCTATAGATTGTGCCTACTCTAGAATGATTATTACCATTTGTTGAGGACCTACAATATTTTAGCTATGCATTCTACATGAATTTCCTTAGTTTGGACTGAAGTAGCTGGAAAAGGAAGTACTCACGAAGGCGGAGTTAATGGCATCCACGAACTCTTCCTCATCCATGCTGACCAGCTTGGCTGCATGGTCATGGGATGTGGACCACACCAAGGAACTCAAGGTGTCTGAAAGCTGTGTCAAAAGAATATTGTCCAAGCATAGAAGTTCTCTGAAATTGGGGGCTCTGCCATAAAGGAAAATGGGAGGGGAACTGGAGATACTCCCTTGAAATCAAAAGAAAGGCTGAGAAAAAGGGCTTCCTAAAGAGGAAAGCGGGGTGGGTGCCTTTGAGTAGAATGGCGAAGGACCTCTTACCGGGAGCAGAGCAATAGGACCAGAGGGAAGAAATCGCTGCCAGGCTACATTATTTTCTGTGGCCTACAAGAGAGAGGAGAACGTTTTTGTTTTTGTTTTGGCGGTTGTGGAGCTTGAACTCTGGGCCTGGGTGCTGTCCCTCAGCTCTTCAGCTCAAGGCTAGCACTCTACCACTTGAGCCACAGTGCCATTTCTGGCTTTTTCTGTTTATGTGGTGCTGAGGAATCAAATCCAGGGCCTCATACATGTGAGTTTAGCACTCTACGACTGAGCCACCTTCCCAGCCCAGGAGAATGGTTCTTGTGAGCAGAGTAGATTGGCTAGGATTATGATTCCAGATGGAAGCTCTGGATCTCACCTCTGATAAATGCAGGGTAGCCACAACTGCGGACTGGTCATAGTTCCAGCTAATGTTCTGGATACCTGCAGCCTGCCGAACTCCTGAGTTGTGACCATCAGCACCAATCTGTGGGGAGAGGAAAGTCTGGTCAGTCTGACAAGTGCTTCATAAAATCAAACTGCCCCACAAGTTTCTCTCTTTCCCCTGAAGTTTTCTCTAGTCTCAACAGTTATGGCAGGACACATTTTATCAGGCCTGTTCTGCTCATAGTGGGATACAGGAGTCGCACTGCAAATATATAAACTCAGCTTGAGCTAATATGTAAACAAGTGCAGGCAAATGGACATCTAACCCAAGAGGTGCCAGCCATAGCGTGAACTCAGGCAGCTTTTCCTCATATTTGAACTAGAACAGGGGAGGCACTGGAATGGCAGCCATGTAAAAAGCAAAGCTGACAAACAGGGGAAAGATGAGATCCACAAGGAGGTGAACGACACCAGGACTCATGAGAAGGAAAGAACAGCTTCAATCCAGAATTGAAAAAAGCATGGCTTGCTTTTATTGTTCTTTTTTGTGCTGGTACCGAGGCTTGTACTCGGGGCCTAGGTGCTGTCCCTAGGTTTTATGCTCAAGGCCAGCTGCCCACCATCCCACTTCCAGCTTTTTGCTAGTTCATCAGAGAATTTCCTGCCTCACAGAATTTCCTGCCCAGGCTGGCTTTGAGTTGTGATCTTCAGATCTCAGCCTCCTGAGTAGCTAGAATTACCAGTGCCGGGCAGCTGTCATAACCCTCTAACACCCGAGACTATCTTGAGTTGCCTTGAATATGTACTAGTCATTATCTAACCAAAATCCTTACCTAAAGTAGCTTAGTTCTAAATCTAGAAGCCCCAGAAGGTATATCATGCAAGATCCCTGCCAAAATAAGAATCTTCAACTACCAACAATTTGGTCTGGAGGGTGCTGCCATCACCTAGGGTAATATGGACCCAAGGACTGGAGTCTGCCATGGAAAATGGACCAGGCCAGGCATAGCCAACAGCTTTGCTCCTGTAGAGAACTGTCACTCGGTCTGGGGAGATCAAAAGACAAAGAAAAAAAAGTATTAGAAAAGTGGGCCACATGGCTGAGGAAAGAACTATAAGTAAATGGAAAGCAAGATCCCAGGACGGCAATATCTTGTGATTTACTGTCCTATAAGAAAAAAGGATTTGAAAAGCAACAACAACAAAAAAGGGGCAGTAGGTATTGGTGGCTCATGCCTGTAATCCTAGCTATCCAGGAGGCTGAGATCTGAGGATTGCAGTTTGAAACATGCCTAGGCAGGAGAGTCCATGAGACTATCATCTCCAATAACCATATGAAAACTGGAAGTGGAGCTGTGGTTCAAGGTGGTAGAGCATTAGCCTTGAGCAAAAGATTTCAAAGACAGTGCCCAGCTCTGAGTTCAAGCCCTATGACTGGCGGGGAGAGGAGGGAAGCAAATAAATAAACAACCCAAGAGACACGTCAAAGGGTTGGAGACAACTCCAACGTCTACCACTGATGACAGAATAAATAACATTTGGTATGTCTGCATAACTGAACACCATTTGCAATAAAAGGGGATGAAGTTCATATATGAGCCTCAAAAATATGCCCCAAGAGAGGTCTGTTTCATTCCACTTATATGAATTGTCCAGAATAGGAAATCTAGAAAGATGTAATCAGATGAGTGAGAGGCAGGGTTCTGGGGAGGAATGAAGAATGGCCATAAATGGGTATGAACTTTCCTTCTGACTCAGGTTCCTAATGACTGACGCAAATGTTCTAAAGTCACAGTGGTGAGGTGTGTGGGACACTATAAATATAGCACAAGTCACTGACTGGTATACTTCCAATGGGTGAATTGTATGAAATACACTGACTAGAAATAAAGCTGCTAATAAAAAAAGAAAGATAACCAGCACAGGATTTCTTCACAGTGGACATTTAGTATTTCTAAAAGGGAGCTTTCTTCTAAGGCAGGTCATTTCCCTCCCAGAGAGTAAGCAGAAGATGGATGAGATGGTGCCTCACCAGACACAGCTTCCAACTGTTTAGTGAGAGCATGCATGATGACGTCGTTCTCCACTACATAGCCCATGTCATCTAAATTATCCTTATCGAACATTATCAAGGCCTCTGAGCAGGCATCCCACACCTTGAAACACAAAAGGAAAGTCTGCATTAAAACTAAGGGAAAAGAAACATACTTCAAACATACATAAAGTATCATTTCACCAAGAGTAGAAAATCACAAATTGTCAGCTACTCTTGCAGGAGATATTCCAGAATGCTTCCTTCCCCTCCATCTTGCCCCGAACCTACTTTGAACTTTGATTCAATTCACAGAAAACCTACAGAACAGACTCATATCTTGCACAAAGACACTTCACCAAAAGTGAAAGGGTAAAGGAGGCACCTGCATTCGCCGGAAAGGTCTGTATCTCATGTTGCAGATGTGGTCCCAAGCACCAAAACCTACAAAACAGAAGATCTATGCACCACCACTACGGGGACCTGGGCTCTCTATCTCTCCATCCTGTTAAGATGGTTTCCAGTGTTCTCTTGTTTGGCTAGGAACTAAGCTACTCTGTTCCCTCAGTCTAGATTATAGAAGCCACATCATGTTAAAGTCTGGGAAAACTACACCTATGTTCTTTTCTTCACCACTTCATTAAACACTCCAAAGGCTTTTTAGCTTTGTGCTACTGGGTGGTGCATGGTATTGCATTCAGTCACTACCTGAATCACACTTCTAGTCCCTTTTTGCATTGGTTATTTTTAATGTGCAGGAGGTCTTTTTTTCTGGGGGAGAAGGGCTCAGTTATGGGGCTTAAACTCAGGGCCTAGATGCTCTGAGCTCCTTTTATTCAAGGCTAGCGCTCTACCACTTTAAGCCACAGCTCCACTTCATTTTCTGGGTGTTCAGGGAAAATAAGTCTCAGTTCCTGTCCAGGCTTTGAGCCATGATCCTTAGAACTCAGCCTCCTGAGTGGCTAGGATTACAGTCATGAGATAGCAGCACTGGGCCATGGTCTTGCTTTATGCTTTGTTTCCCTGGCTCACCGAGGATAACGGGTGTATAGCCTTGTGACCAGCCACTCTACTTCCCCTGTAGGTACCATAACCTGTGTGCCCCTAGGCCAGCCATTGGTTCAGTTGGAGTCTCACTGACACCCGCCGCCCCCCCCCCCCCCATCATGGGGCTTGAACTCTGGGCCTGGGAACTATCTTTGAACTCTTCATCTCAAGGCTAGAGCTCTACTACTTGAGCCACAGCCCTACTTCTGGTTTTCTGGTGGTTAATTGGAGATAGGAATCTCACCAACTTTCCTGCCCAGGCTGGCTTTGAACCACAATCAGATCTCAACCTCCTAAGCAGCTAGGATTACAGGCATGAGCCACCACCGGCACCCAGCTCACTGACTTTTATGCCCTGGCTGGCCTCGAACCACAATCTCCCAATCTCTGACTCTCAAATAGCTAGGCTTATTATAGGCTTGAGCTACTATGTTCAATATTTATTTTACTCTTAATGCCATTAAGTAGATTTATTCTTTGAGTATTATTTACTGGGTACCTAGCAGATCCTAGCTACTCAGAAGGCTGAGATTTAAGGATCTGGCTTTGAAACTGGCACAAGTAGACAAACTCAAGAAGTTCTTATTTCAATTAACCAGCAAAGAGCTGGAAGTAGATGTGTGACTCAAATGGTAGAGCACCTGCCTTGAGTGAAAGAGCTAAGCAAGCACGTGAGTCCTGGAGTTCAATCCTCAGTACGGACACAAATAAAAAAAAAGGGCAAAGTCTCTCCTTCTTACAGCTGACATTCTAGTTAGAGAGAGGCAAAACCAAACTAATGTCAGGTAGCAGTAAGTGTTATAAAGAATAAAGGAATAGGAAGTGGCACTTTAGCTAAGGTAGTAGAGCGCTCGCCTTGAGCTGAAGAGCTGAGGGACAGCGCCTAGGCCCAGAGTTCAAGCCCCACGACCAAAAAAAGAATAAAGGAATATAAGAGACTAGAGATAAAGGAAAAGTTTACTTTTGATGGAATGGGAGTAATATCTGGCAGAGACCTTAGAACCCATTCTGTGTGCACACACTTTTAACCCAAAATACATTTTAACATGCCAGCTCCTCTACTTTCTTGAAGGCTGGCTTGGAATGGAGAGTGATGTTTACAATTAGTTCAGATAGGCTCAGCCTACCTGACATTGCAAGTTTATCTATAATGGGTCCACGTCTCCACGATGTTGAGAAAAGAAGGTTCAGAATCATCATCTTCAACTATGCCTACCACTCCCAGCCTGTGTAGTGAGCTCCCACGCAGATGCTGTGACTGCGCTACAGGATGCCCTAGAATGAAGTTGAACCTGGCAGAGCAATCTACTCACTATTCAGAAGTGTTGCAGACCCAAGGGAAATAGTGCTGACCCTGTTGCTGTAAGTTTCTGGCAATTTCTCCAGTTTTTTCTTTGGACCTGCTTCTAGCAAGAGGATTTTCTTGTCATGAAAGTGAATATCATATCCTGAAAAGAGAGGGGGAGGAGGGGAAAGCAACATTTGCTATTATTTTAGGAAAGCCAAGAATTAGGGTAAGTATTGATAACAACAATGTACCATACATTTTAAAAAGCCAGAGCTGAGCACTGGTGGCTCACATCTGTAATCCTGGTTACTCAGGAGGCTAAGATCTGAGGATCACATTTCAAAGCCAGCCAGGGCAGGAAAGTCCCTGAGACTCTTCTCTCTAATTAATCATCAGAAAACAGAAGTAGCGCTGTGGCTCAAGTGGTAAAGCGCTTGCCTTTAGCTGAAGAGCTGAGGGACAGTGCCCAGGCCCAGAGTTCAAGCCCCACGACCAACAAAAAAAAAAAGCCAGAAGGGACTCAGGCACTGATGGCTCATGTCTGTAATCCTAGCTACTCAGGAAGCTGAGATCTGAGAATAGCAGTTGGAAGCCATACTGGGCAGAAAAGTCCCTGTGGGATTCTTATCTCCAATTAACCACTCAAAAGTTCAGGCCCACAACCAACCAAAAAAAAACAACCTTAAGTGGCCCTATGGCTCAAGTGGTAGAGTGATAGCCTTGAACACAAAGAGGCTCAGGGACAACGCCCAGGACCTGGGTTCAAGACCCAGAATGGGCAAAAAACAAAAACTTTGGACTTCATTACTAAACAATCAACTTGTAGCATGATTACGAGAGAGAGAGAGAGAGAGAGAGAGAGAGAGAGAGAGAGAGAGAGAGAGATCAACCGCCAGGCACCGATGGCTCACGCCTGTAATCCTAGCTACTCAGGAGGCTGAGATCTGAGGATCTTGGTTCAAAGCCAGCCCAGGCAGGAAAATCCGTGAGACTCTTACCTCCAATAAACCACTAGAAAACTGGAAGTGGTGCTGTGGCTCAAGCGGAAGAGCACTGACCTTGAGCTGAAGAGCCGAGGGGCAGGGCCCAAGCCCAGAGTTCAAGCCCCACAACCGAAAAAAAAAAGAAAAAGAAAAAGAAAAAGAAAAGAAAAGAAAATTCATCAACCTTTATTCCTTTTTTTTTTTGCAGGGGGTTGGGGGAGTTCTGGGTTTGAACTCAGGGCCTCCCACAAGAACTCTACCATTTGATCCATACCTCCAGCCCCTCTACTCTTTAAAAAAAAAAATGGTTTCAAATCTAAATGAGAAGAGAGAGAGGCACCATTACCACACAGCAGGAAGTATGAAAATCAAAGCGGCTCCTGGAACTGGAGGCTGTGGAGAAGGACCCTGCTGCTCTGTGGGCAGCAGCTCTACCACAAGGAGGAGTACAGACCTGGGCCAAAGGGACTGCCTTCTACTTCTCACCGTCTGGACATGATTCCAGGGTAGTGCTGCACTGTGTGATCCCACATCCCACGAGTGTTCTTCACACTAGACCTGAGACTTTCTCCCCTGGGCACATGTCAGCTGCTTTTTCCTTCCTCTGAGAACTTGCATTTTATTCTTCCTTTAATTTTCTGGGGTTTGAATTTTATTTTTTAGCTATTTAGTGTAACGTTAGAAAAGTTAAAGCAAACATACTAGAGAACAGGGGCTGGGAAGGTAGCTCAGTGGTAGAGTGCTTATCTTGCATGCATGAGACCCTGGGTCCGTTTCCTCAGCACCACATAAGCAGAAAAAGCCAGAAGTGGTGCTGTGGCTCTAGTGGTAGAGCACTAGCCTTGAGCTGAAGAGCTGAGGGACAGTACCCAGGCCTAGAGTTCAAGCCCTAGGACTGGCATAAATAAATAAATACAAAAAAAAATCTGTATCTGTAACATATTTCAGTGGAGAGGCTTAAATAACATGGAATTTAACTCAATGCTAGATAATATTCTCCTCCCTGCCACCCTCAAGGCTGGTGCTCACTAACGCTTGAGCTACACCTACATTTCTGGTTATTTGCTCATTAACTGCTGGCAAGAGTCTCAGACTTTCCTGCCCGGGCTGGCTTCAAACCATGATCCTAGATCTCAGGCTCCGGAGTAGCTGGAACTACAGATGGGAGCTCCCGGCTCCCGGCTATAAAGATGTTTTTTTTTTTAAGCAAAACAAAAACAAAACAACAACAAACGAAACACCTAGCCCAATGCTCCAATGTGTAGCGCCTCAGCACGGTGCTCACAACTAAGTTACCAGGGCAGGCTTCGCCCCAGGACTCGCAAGCCCCGCCCACTTTTGACCCTAAGTGATTGCAACTCCCGGGAGCAGCGCCGCTCGTCCCGGAGCCTCCGCGCCTCCAGGACGGCAGTGACCACCGCTGGGCCGAGGACTCTGGCTCTGTGAACAAAACACGCAGTTCTTCCCGCGACCGGCCCAAATCGGCCTCTAGATGCCCTTACCCAAGGCACAGGCCATGGCAGCGCCCACCAGGCCTCCGCCGGACACCACCACGTCGTACACATTGTCTGCTGAGGCGCGTGACCACCGCCGGCAGGAGACCAGAGGGCTCCGGCATGCAGCCGCCGGCCGTGCCCCCCACCGCCTCACGCCGAGCCGGGCGGCCATGCTGCAGTCCACCCCGCGGTTCCAGGCGTTCCGCCAGGCCCGCCGGACTAGTACTTCCGGAGCAGAGTCTTCCAATCCCGTGCTGCGTCTGTGAGACAGGAAGTGATACCCGCGGAGGAACTAGACCAATCAGAAAACGATCCTCGGGCCTTTGGGAGAAAGGGGGAGTGGCGGGCGCTGTCCGGCCGCCAACGCTGCTGTCACTGAGGCGGTCGCCGCGGCCCCGGCTCTGCCAGGCGGAGAAGATGACGGTGGGGAGGCCTGCGGGAGCCCCCGAGGGCTCCGAGAGCGGCGGTCAGGTGAGGCGAGAAACCAGAAGGGAGAAAGTAAGACTGCAACGGGTAGAGAAGGTCTTAGAAACAAAAGTGTTTGGCGTTGCCATGGAGACAAGACGGCAGGGTGGTGTCGAGGGCGGGTGGCATTCAAACCCAGGGCGTTTGGTCTCAGGGCAGAATTCTTCCCCAGGTTTAAGACCATAGCAGTGACACCCAGCTGTTTTGTTTTTTTAAATTTTCTCTCAACTACCCTGTACCCTGTAGTAGAATTGTACTCATTTTATAGAAGAGACAACTGAGGCTGAGAAATTAAGAACTTTGGCCCTAGCAAGGCACTGATGGCTCATACCTGTGATCCTAGTTACTCAGGCGTCTGCGATCTGAGGACCCAGGTAAAATGCCAGCACATGCAGAAAAGTCTGTGAGACTCTTATCGCCAATTACCCACCAAAAAGCCAGAAATGGAGGCATGGCCCAAGGGGTAGAGTGCCAACTTGGAATTGTAAACTGTAGAATTTATATCCCAATGAGGCTGTATTTTTTTAAGTAAGAAGTCTTGGCATTATGGTGCATACTTATAATCTCAGCTACTCAGAAGGTGGAGGCAGTTGGATGAGGAATTGGAAGCTAGCTTAGGCAAAGTAGTGAGAACCCATCTCGAAAACAAAATAAAATCAAAAGAGCTAGGGGCATGACTCAATTGTAGAATGTCTAGGTTTAATACCTCAACACTGGAAGGAGAAAGTAAAAAGAGAAAGGGAGTGAGAATGGGAAAGAAGGAAAGGAAGGAGAGAGGGAATAAATAATAATACATAATATAAATAACAATAAATATAAGTAATATATAATAACTACAAATAATAATATAAATAATAATACATAAATAAATGTAATTAATTAGGCATGGTGGTCCATGCATGTGATCTCAGCTATTCCAGAAGTGGAGATAGGAGGATTGCAGTTTAGAGCCACCAGAAAATTAGTGAGGGCTAGGCAAGTGGCTCAGTGGTAGAGCCCTTGCCTTGAATGCATGAGGCCCTGGGTTCAATTCCTCAGCACCACTTAAGCAGAAAAAAACAAAAAGTGGCATTGTGGCTCAAGTGGTAGAGCACTAGCCTTGAGCTGAAGAGCTGAGGGACAGCGCCCAGGCCCAGAGTTCAGGCCCACGACTGGACCCAGAAAAAAAAAAGAAAAAGAAATGTACTCATTATCTTGCCCATGTAATTGTAACCCCTCTGTACAGTATTTTCACAATAAAAAAAAAAAAAAAGAAAGAAAGAACATGAGAGCTGGGCGCCGGTAGCTCACACCTATAATCCTAGCTACTCAGGAGGATCTGAGGATCGAGGTTCAAAGCCAGCCCGGGCAGGAAAGTCCGTGAGACTCTTATCTCCAATAAACCACTAGAAAAACCAGAATTGGTGCTGTAGCTCAAGTGGTAGAATGCTCGCCTTGAGCTGAAGAGTGCAGGGACAGTGCCCAAGTCCAGAGTTCAAGTCCCACGACTGACCAAAAAAAAAAATAACGATACAAAAGGAAAATTGCCAGTACCAACACATACGCGCGCGCGCGCGCACACACACACACACACACACACACACACACACACACACACACACACACACACACACACACACACACACACACACACACACACACACACACACACACACACACACACACACACACCCTATTGTTTTTGTCTAACTTGGTGTCACGTGTCTGTAATCTTGGCACTCAGGAGGCTAAGGAAGGAGAAGGCAGAGTTTGAGGCTAGCTTGGACCATATAGCAAGATCCTGTATCAAAAAAGAAAAAAGAAAATAGAAGGAAAGAGTGAGGAAGAAAGGGAAGAAGAAAGAAGAATCTAATGTTCTTTACAGTATCACAGCTAAACCTTAGAGAGCCAGGAGTCACCTAAAAGACAGCAGTGGCCTGCCCTCAAATAGTTTCCCTTCTGCAACCATTTCAAACTCTGGCTCCATCCCTGCCTCCCTACAGACATCTCATGCCAGCCACTGTCGTCTGGCTACACTGACCTGATTTCCACTGCTGCAAAACTCATTTGTTTCCTCCCAGAACACTGCCTTAAGACCTTTGCATTAGCTGTTCATTTAACCAAGAACCCCTTTACCCCAGATCTTCTTCCTGTGGCAATTCCAAATTCCTCCACAGTGAGAATAAAAATGAGCTCTAGGGCTGGGAAGGGGGCTCAGTGGTAGAGCACTTGCCTTGCATTCATGAGGCCCAGGTTTGATTCCTCAGCACCACATAAGCAGAAAAAGCCGGAAGTGGTGCTGTGGCTCAAGTGGTAGAGCGCTAGCCTTGAGCGGAAGAGCTGAGGGACAGTGCCCAGATCCAGAGTTCAGGCCCCACAACAGACAAAAAAAAAAAAAAGCTCTAGACGGCAGAAGTACAGACATCCCTGACTTACAATGGTTCCACTTAGGACTTTACAAGTGGAAAATGATGCATACCATGAAGGCTGGATAGCACTCTGGAATCAGCACACAATCATGAATGAGAACAATGAATACAGTGTCTTGTGTTGCTGAGCTACAGTGTTTGGTAGGTTAGGTGTAATCAATGAATTTGTGAGTTCTAGTATTTTCAGCTTATAATGAATGGATTTATCTGGTTATAACTCACACACTAAGTTAAAGAGCATCTGCATAACTCAAACTGTGGCAGACAACTAGGCCAGCAGTATTTCCTTGGGAGAATAATGTAGCCATAGACTCACTCGTATCTCCTTTGCTAAGCAAAAGTGCCTACTTATCAATTGCTTACCCTTCCCTGCTTTGTTGTTCTTGCCTCTTTAACAGCCATTTTCACTTTTCCACACCTTACTGTTTTAAGTGGAAAACTGCCAGTGTATGACAGCATCTGTGCAGAGCTGATCTCTTCCCTCTCAAACCCTTCTCAGAACCAAGCAGGACAAGCTACAAAATCTATCTCCTCCCACAAGTTCCCAATGATTTTCCATGATGTACTGCAACAAATTAACCTAATTATTAATTAGGCATATTAACCAAAGTTCATTCCCTGTAGACAAACAAGAGAAGGAAAAAGAGCCCGGCGCTGGTGGCTCATGCCTGTCACCCTCAGCTCTCAAAAGACTGAGAGATGAGAATCCAAATTTAAAACCAGCCTGGGGAAGGATAGTCTGTGAGATCCAAAGTTTGTGAGATTCTCATCTCCAATTAATCACCAAAAAGCTGGAAGTAGAGCTGTGGCTCAAATGGTAGAGCACTAGCATTAGGCAAAAAAAAAAAAGCTCAGGGACAGCACCCAGGCCCTGAGTTCAAGCCCGAGAACAGCACCAAAAGAGGAGAAGGGGGAAGGGGAGGGAGGGCAGAGAGAGGAAGGTGAGGAGAAAGGGAGGAGAGAGGAAAGAGAGTACAGTGTGGCTAAGGTCATGGGGAGGATTCCTGGACACTCAGTGTAGCATGCATGGTGCAAATGAGCTTCTTCCTCTAGCAGTGATTTCTGCATTGAATGGAGGAAGGAACTAGCTTTAGCTGTTTACGAAATTCTCCTGATTCTTCAGCCAAGCACAGCCATAAAATTCCAAGTTGTAAAATGGCTTCAGAACAAAGAAACACATCTTATTTTTCCTTTGCTCCTTCCTAATCCTTAATATACTGATACTTATTCAACATGAAATGAAGGTAGTTTTTGAAGATCTTTGAGATTATTGACTAACCCACAGTTTATTTCTATTCCATCTTAGATATTTCCTCCCAAATCTTCCTCAGACACTGAACCAGAAGATGAGCTGGTTTTGCCCAGGGCCGGCAAACTGCATGATTTCCTCAGCCCAGAGGAGGAGACGGATTCTACTTCAGACTCCATTGGGAGCTTTTATGAGACTCTACAGACTCTAAAGCAGAAGGGAAGATTGGGTCTGTTGGAGACTTTCTTTCAGTCTGACTCAGAAAGTGATGAGATCAGCTCTGAAGATAATGAAGACCTGGAGAGTTTCTTCCAAGACAAAGGCAGGGGGAAGCCGCAGGTCTGGCTCCCTGGGTCTCTGAGGTAAGGTGCTGCAGTAGGTGGCTACCCCTGTCCACCACTCCAGGCAAGTCATGCCATGTCTCCAGGCCTCCTCCTCTTCATCTCAAGTAAGGGACTACTGCTGTAACTTGCCACTTATCTAGGCTCTACAGCAGAGGATCCAGCCAAGTGTTCTGTGATTCCTACTCAGCAGTCCTAAATCACTTTGGGCACTGTGTACATCAGTGAAGCCCTAGAACTGATTAAAGGGAGACCTTTCCTAAACATACTTCCCCTAAAAATGACAAGTTCCACTGACCTTGGCCAACTCTGATCTATGCATGTGGACTTTATCTCATTTAATATTTGTTCTCTCTTTTTTTTTGTTGTTGGTCAAGGGGCTTGAACTCTGGGCCTGGGCACTGTCCTTGAGCTCTTCAGCTCAAGGCGAGCACGCTACCACTTGAGCCACAGTGCCACTTCCGATTTTCTAGTGGTTAATTGGAGATAAGAGTCTCATGGACTTTCCTGCCTAAGCTGGCTTTGAACAGCAATCCACAGATCTCAGCCTCCTGAAGAGCTAGGATGACAGGAATGAGCTACTGGCACCCAACACCTACTAAGTAGATACTATTTTTTGTCATCTACAGATGAGAAAATTCAGAACTTCAAGGTCCAAATTGGATTTCTAACCAAAATCCCTGCTGTCCTTTACACTGTTTTCTCTCTCATATAGAAGATGGCTTTGAAAAGTTCCCATTGCCTGTGGGAAGGAGGGAGGCCTCAATGGGAAGGTTCTGGGCATGGAGGCTGTGAAGCTCTGCTGTTAGGCTGAGACACCACTTGTGATCTTCTGGGCACAGAGGCTTGTGGGGAAGGGAGGGAGGACCAGGGAGGGGCCAGGCTTCCCAAGTTTCTTGTCTACCTACAGGTCTGCTTTCTGTCTCTCCGCCAGGCGTTGTAGCTCCCTGAGCAGCCTTCCCTCTGACGTTCCCAGGCGTGAGGCTCAGCCACCCTCAGGCTCTGCACCTCCTTCCCAGCACAGAAGTGTCAGCTCCTGGGCATCCTCCATCACTGTCCCTCAGCCATTCCGCATGACACTGCGTGAGGCCCGGAAAAAGGCCCAGTGGCTGGCCTCGCCTGCCTCTTTTGAACAGGAGAGGCTGCAGGCCCAGAGGCAAGGCCAGGAGGAGGCTGAGTGCCACCGGCAGTTCCGGGCACAGCCTGTGCCTGCACATGTCTACCTGCCCCTTTACCAGGAGATCATGGAGCGCAGCGAGGCTCGGCGGCGGGTGGGGATCCAGAAGAGAAAGGAACTTCTCCTCTCATCCTTGAAGCCTTTTAGCTTTCTTGAGAAGGAGGAACAGCGAAAAGAAGCTGCTCGAAAGAGAGACTTGGCTGCCACAGCTGAGGCCAAGGTCCCCCAAAAGAAAGCCACCAGAAGGATCCCCAAGTCTATTCTGGAGCCAGCACTTGGGGACAAACTTCAAGGTAAAGATACCCTTGCCATCTTGCTGCCTCCGGCCTGAGGTCCCCAGAGACACTGTTGAGGATTTAGTTAGGGTTCAGAGTCACCCTGGAGATAGCTGTTTATGTGCACCAACCAAAGCCTGCACATTCTGTGCAGGCCAGGAGGGAGGGTTGGGTCTGTTGATATGTCAGGGAGCCCTGTGAGGTCGTCCAGCCGTCCCCCAAAACTCCTGGAGACTTGGCTCAGGAGTACATGGGAAGGAGCAGAGACCACGACACACCCAAGGACCAGCTAAGGCCAGTGCCAACTCCAGCCAGATACCCCTAGGAAAGCACCCAGCCTCCTATCTACACACACACACACACACACTACATACACACACACACATGCATATACACACACACGCATGTACACACTCATGCACTCTCTGATGGGAGCACCCAGAGAAAGTGACACCAGGCCGGGTACCAGTGGCCTGTAATCCTAGCTACTCAGGATGCTGAGATCTGAGGATCGAGGTTCAAAGCCAGCCCAGGCAGGAAAGTCCGTGAGACTCTTATCTCCAATACACCACTCGAAAACCGGAAGTGGCACTGTGGCTCAAGTGGTAGAGCACTAGCCTTGAGCTGAAGAGCTGAGGGACAGCGCCCAGGCCCACAGTTCAGGCCCCATGATCAACCAAAAAAAGAAAGTGACCACCAGAGCTGACTGTGTGAAGAAGCATAGCCAATTTGCTAATGAGGAGAAGGTGGAGCTGGAGGCAAGAGGAAGCCAAGAAAGTTACAGAAGAGGAAGAATAGGGGGGCGGGGTCTTGTCCCTACCTCAGAAATGTGGATTTCATTCCAAGGGCACTCAAGAACCACTGACAGGTTTGATACAAGATATCTCATGATGATTTTGTGTAATCCAGAAAGATCACTCTGATTTCTGCATTAGATAATAAGGGTGGCAAGACTGGCTGGTTCTTCCTTCTGCTTTGCCTCTCAAGAAGAAATTATAGCTGAACACTTGAAATCATAGCTATTTAAGAGGCTGAGATCTAAGGATCATGGTTCAAAGCCAGCCCAGGCAGAAAAGTATGTGAGACTCTTACCTCTAACAAATTATCCCACCCCTATTCCCACCCTTCCCCCAAAAAAGACAAAAATGGAAGTGGAGCTGTGGTTCAAGCGGTAGAGTACTAGCCTTAAGCAAAAGCAGCTTAGGGTGCTGGGAACTGGTGGCTCACACCAATAATCCTTGCTCCTTAGGAAGCTGAGATCTGAGAATCAGGGTTCGAAGCCAGTCCAAGTTCAGTCTAGTTCAAAGCCCCCTGGCCAAAGAAAAGAAAAGAAAAGAAAAAAGCAGCTTAGGGACAGTATCTAGGCCCTGAGTTCAAGCCCCAGACTTACACACACACACACACACACAAATGTCTGAGCCAGGTGCAGTAGTATATGCATGTAATCTTAGCTACTCAGGAGCCTAAAGCAGGAGGACCTTGAGTTGGAAGCTAGCATGAGCTGCATAGTGGGAACCTGAACAACTACTAAAACTTCTCCAGACCTTTAGTGTACTGCTTGCTCTCTCCTCACCTATCACTGTCCTGACTCTTCCTCCACAGAAGCTGAGCTCTTCAGGAAAATTCGCATCCAGATGAGGGCCCTGGACCTACTCCAGATGGCCTCTTCCCCTATCCGCTCCTCTAGCAGCCGGGCTGACTCCCAGCCCCGCACAGCCACCCGCACTCAGGAAGAAAAGCTCAGCTTTCTGCAGACTGAATTTGGATTCCAGCCTCGGGTGAACCCTTCTGTCCCTGACTATGAGGCCCTGTACAAGGCCTTTCAGAGAAGAGCTGCCAAGAGAAGGGAGACACGAGAGGCAACTCGTAACAAGCCCTTCCTGCTGAGGACTGCCAACCTGCGCCATACCCCACGGCCATGCGATACTCCTGCCACCAGAGAGAGCAAGGTAAGAGTCCAGACAGGTGTCTGGGGCTTGTTCCAGGTCTTAAAGGAAAGCACTTCCAGTACTGAGACCTGAGCTCAAGGACTTGTGCTTCTTGCTTAGCTTTCTTTAGTATATGCCAGTCCTGGGGCTTGAATTCAGGGCCTTGGTGTTGTCCCTAAGCTTTTTTGCTTAAGGCTAGTGCTCTACCACTTGAGCCACAGCTCTACTTTTAACTTTTTGGTGGGTAGAGATGCAAATCTCACAGATTTTCATGCTAGGGCTGGTCTCAAACCATGATGCTCAAATCTCAGCCTTCTGAGTAGCTAAAGATTATGAGCCACTGGCCTCTGGCTTATTCTATTTAATTTAAAAAATTAAGAACAAAAAAAAACAACAGCTCAATTGGAAGCAGATCCACATTCTTGTAATCCTAAAACTACAGGAATCCTCCCTCGTTCATCCCTCTCTGTAGAGAGATTTTGCAGAAAAATGTCTGGGAGCCAGTGAATTGTTTATATTGTTTATATTCCCTTCCCAATACCAAAGAACTCCTCTCATTGTACTCCAAGCTACTCAGGAGGCTGAGATCTGGGGATCACTGTTCAGAGTCAGCCAGGCAAGAGAGTCTGTGAGAATCTTATCTCCAATTATTTATCAAAAAGCTGAAGGTGGAGCTGTGGTCAAGTAGTAGAGCACTAGTCTTAAGCACAGAAGCTCAGAGATCGTGATCATGTCCTCAGTTTAAGCCCTAGGACTATGCTAAAAGAAAGAAAGAAAACTAAGCTGGGCGCCGGTGGCTCACACCTGTAATCCTAATCCTAGCTACTCAGGAGGCTGAGATCTGAGGATCAAAGTTCAAAGCCAGCCCGGGCAGGAAAGTCTGCGAGACTCTTACCTCCAATAAACCACTAGAAAACCAGAAGTCCGCTGTGGCTCAAGTTGGCAGAGCATTCGACTTGAGCTGAAGAGCTGAGAGACAGCACCCAGGCCCAGAGTTCAAGCACCACAACTGACAAAAAAAAAAAGAAAGAAAACTTTATGCTTAACGTTCAAATCTTGGGTTAGTTGTTAAACTTGATCTCATTATGCTTGCTTTGTTCCCAGGGGAAAACAAAGAAAGCTTCTCATTTTCAGTCCTTTTTGGACGTGGACTCCTAGCTCAGATAGAATCTAATCACACCTGTGGTCCCACTGTAGCTCCCTTCTTTGCCTACAGGATTCCCCACAGCCACCAGCAACACCTCTGCCAAGGAGTCACTCTCTGAGTGGCCTTGCTTCTCTCTCGGCCAACACCCTCCCAGTGCACATCACAGATGCTACCAGAAAGAGGGAATGTGCAGTCAGGTAAGTAGTTAGGCTGCACAAGACTCGGTGCTCTAATCTTGGCTTAAATGCTGGAAGCCACCCTTCTGCTGGGCCTCTGCAAAGACACTTTTTTTTTTTTTTTGGTCAGTCATGGGGGTTGAACTCTGGGTCTGGGCTCTGTCCCTCAGCTCTTCAGCTCAAGGCCAGTGCCCTACCACTTGAGCCACAGCACCACTTCCAGCTTTTTTCTGCTTATATGGTGCTGAGGAATCGAACCCAGGGCCTCATGCATACAAGACAAGGTCTCTACCATTGAGCTAACTTCCCAGCCCTGCAAAAACACTTCAAGGAGTCCCAGGGTTTCTCTGATCAGGACAGGAATCTTGCCCTCATGTACAATGTCAAGGCTCGAGATCTCTTAGGGACCCTATAGAAATAAGAAAATAAAAATACAGAAAAACAAACAGCTACTGTTTTATGGAGTACAGTAGAGAGCACTGGGGGCATTGTGCAGCCAAGTAGACTCTTGTCTTTTAGAATAGATGCCTAAGATGAAACCTGAAGAATGAGGAATACACAAGACAATGCTGAAGAGAAAGAAGGTTCCAGACTGAACAACATGTAAAAGCCATATGTATTTTTGTTTTGTTTTTTGCCAGCCCTGGGACTTGAACTCAGGACCTGGGCACTGTCCCTGAGCTTCTTTTGCTCAAGGCTAGCACTGTCTACCACTTGAGTCACAGTGCCACTTTTAGCTTTTTCTGTTTATGTGGTACTGAGGAATCGAACCCAGAGCTTCATGCATGCTAGGCAAGCATTCTGCCACTAAGCCACATTCCCAGCTGCCCATACATGAAAGAGAAAAGTAGCCATGAGGAACAAAAATTCAGAGGGGCATGAAAAGCAGGTGGCTGAACTTGCTCAGAATTGAAATGCTCAGTAATTCATCTTGGGGAGATGTCAGAGTTTGCTAGGAAGCAAAAACTTTCCTTTCTTCCCTGGAAATCACATCCAGGGCCTTGTACGTGCTAGGCAAGTGCTCTAGGCTAGTTTTAGCTTTTGTGAGTGTGTTTTTTTCACTACTGGGGTTTGAACTCAGGGCCTACCTAAATAGGCCACTGAGCTACCAGCTCTATTTATTTGATTTGTGGTACTAGAGACATGTGGGCCACTCTACCAATCCCTTTTTTTGGGGGGGTCTGATCGTGGGGCCTGAACTCTGGGCCTGGGCGCTGTCCCTCAGCTCTTCAGCCTGGGCGCTGTCCCTCAGCTCTTCAGCTCAAGGCTAGCACTCTACCACTGGAGCCACAGCGTCACTTCCGGCTTTTTTCTTTTTTCTTATGTGGTGCTGAGGAATTGAACCCAGGGCCTCATGCATGCAAGGCAAGAGCTCTACCACTGAGCCACCTTCCCAGCCCCTCTACCAATCCCTTTTTGTGTTGGTTATTTTCAGGATAGGATCTTGCTTTTTATGCCAACTGGCCTGTACTATGAGCCTACTTCCTTCATTGCTGGGATGTCATGTGTGAACCACTGTGTCCAGCCACTGTACTTCTGCAGCTCAAGATGACAGGCGTGCACCACCAAGCTGAGCCATTCAAGTCTTGGCCTAGTTACTAAACTTGATCTCATTGATTATTACCTTGAGAACTTCGATATCCAAACTGGCCTCTAACTGTGAACCCCTGATAGACAAGTAACTAGAATAACAGGCTTGAGCCACCATGCTAAGTACACTGGTTGTTTTGGGGGTAGTCTCCCTTCTTGCTTATGTGTGTGCCTGGACTGAGATCTTCATATTTTTCACTTCCTGACATAAATGGGATAGAAGGCGGGCACTAGTACACCTAACATCTTCTGTTGAGATGGACTCTTAATTGACTTTTCTGCTTGGACTGGCCTAGAACCATGATTCTCTCAATCTCAGCTTCCCACAAATTAAGTGACAGACACACACTCCAAGCTATTCATTGAAAAGGGTGTTTGCCAGCCTCAAAACAATGCTCCTGATCTTAGCCTTACAAGTAGCTAGAATTAGAGCTGTTCTGGTACTGGGGCTTAGAGCCTCATGCTCTCACTCTGCTTTTTCACTCACTGTTGGCTATGACTTTCTAGCTTTTTGTTAACTAAAGATCAGAGTTTCTTGGGTTTGTCTGCCTGGGGTGATTCTGAACCAAGATTCTCAGATCTCAACCTCCAACCTCCTGAGAAACTAGGATTATAGCATGAGTTGCTGGAGCCAGCTCCTTGCTTTTAATTTTTCAGTAAGAAATTTGGCAGAGCTTGATTGAGTAGGCAAATGAGCAAGCATACAGGCAAATAGGCATGCAAACAGACAAGCAGAAAGGCAGAAACACACTCTAACATAGTGTGAGTGCTCAAAAGAAGAGACATTCTTTGTTTTATTTTTAACTCGTTATCAGACACAACTCTGGTATTGTTCTCATCAAATCAGCCCTCAGGAGTTTCTTTTCCACCAGGCCCCTGTGCTGCTGGTAAAGTCATCATGTATCAAGTATCTGAGCTTTGGGAAAGGACTTAATGCTAATACTTTTCAGTACCTTATTGTAAGACACCCAGGGAAGCGGCTAGAACCTCCCATGCTCCAGGCCCTCAACAGGAGTTACAGAAATAGAGTTAGGGTTTAAGAGATACTCCTTTCTCCCTCACATTTCATAGTTACTGAAACAGTTAAATGTATTAGTAACCTAAGGCCCAGGGAAACAGACTGGTTCTAATCCTGGCTTTTCCAATGGCATGATGGGTAATTTGTCTGACCCTCTCTTATTTACAGCGTCCTCCCTGATGCCATTCTTTACCTCATAAGGTACCTGTAAGGATGACATGACATGATGAAATGTAGTGGTGCTCGGTTCATAATTGGTAGGTCAGTAATTGCTTCCAAGTAGGTTGGAAGCCTAGGCAAGTTTGAATATTTCAGCTATTTAAAGATTTTTTTGTCAGTCATGGGGGCTGAACTCTGGGCCTGGGCACTGTGCCTCAGCTCTTCAGCTCAAGGCCAGCTTCCTGCCGGGCACTGGTGGCTCATGCCTGTAATCCTAGCTATTCAGGAGGCTGAAATCTGAGGATCACAGTTTAAAGCCAGCCTGGGCAGGAAAGTCCATGAGACTCTTATCTCCAATAAACCACTCGAAAACCGGAAGTGGTGCTGTGGCTCAGATGGTAGAGGGCTTGCCTTGAGCTGAAGAGCGCAAGGACAGCGCCCAAGCCCTATGACCAACAAAACAAAACAAAACAAAAGGCCATCGCCCTACCATTTGAGCCACAGTGCCACTTCTGGCTTTTTTCTGCTTATGTGGTGCTGAAGAATGGAACCCAGGGCCTCAGGCATGTGAGGCAAGCACTCTACCACTGAGCCAACTTCCCAGCCCTTAAGGATGTTTTTATTTCACATATTCCTCTGTTCAATGAATAAATCTCTCCTAGGGCAGAAAATTACTGGGTCTATATTGCTTAAAAGACCACCTGGGAATGTGGCTTAGTGGTAGAGTGCTTGCCTAGCATGCATGAAGCCCTGGGTTTGATTCTTTAGTACTACAGAAAAAGCTGGAAAGTGGTGCTGTGGCTCAAGTATTAGAGTGCTAGCCTTGAGCAAAAGAAGCTCAGGACAGTGCCCAGACCCTGAGTTAAAGCCCCATGATTGGTTAAAGCAAAAACAAAAACACTTAATCTACCAATTCTCTATCTTAGAATCTTTTTTTTTAAATAGAGATTTTAGTATAACAGGGTTATAGTAGAGGGAAATAGAACTATTGCCTGCTTCCTACGCAGAAAATGCTATGGTATATTATCTGCCCCATTCTAAAAAACAGCAACTGACTTTGCAGAGATTCCTACAATTATTTTACATATTCCCAGGTTTGTCATCTGTACTCTTTGATTCTCCCCTTTAGAACGTCACTTGAAAAAAAGGACAAAGCGGATGAAAGTATTCAGTGGTTGGAGAAGCACAAAAGAAAGTGTCAAGCCATGTCTAAATCAGTGGCCTTACGTGCAAAAGCCATGGATCCCCATAAAAGCCTGGAGGAAGTGTTTAAAGCAAAGCTGAAAGAGAATCGGTTAGTGTCCTTCATGTGTCAAAAGGGTGCCTGCAACAAATCACTGGCCTTGAAAATGTCAAAATGAAGTCATCAGAGCATGCTTTCATAATCACTAATCAATGCTTTTGTCAGGCAGTGAGCAATTAAAAAATATGCCTGGGAGTTACTCTGCTTAATTGGAAAGCATATTTTTATTTGTTTTGCCAGTGCTGGGGCTTGAACTCAGGGCCTGGGCATGTCCCTGAGCTTCTTTTGCTCAAGGCTAGCACTCTACCACTTGAGCCACAGTGCCATTTCTGGTTTTTTTTTCTATTTATGTGGTGCTGAGGAATCGAACCCAAGGCTTCGTGCATGCTAGGAAGCACTCTACCACTAAGCCACATTCCCAGCCCTGAAGGGTAGTTTTGATCATAAAAGACAAGTTTTTCTAGAAATCTTGTTAATTCCAGGAACAATGACCGCAAAAGAGCAAGAGAATATAAGAAAGAATTGGAAGAAATGAAGAAGAGAATACAAACAAGGCCCTATCTCTTTGAGCAAATTTCAAAGGTAAAATCAAACTGTCATTCATTTTCTTTCTGCTGTGGATAAAAGGTACTTTAGAAATTATGAGCCATTCTAGGGCTGGGAAGGTGGCTCAGTGGTAGAGCGCTTGCCTTGCATGCCTGAGGCCCTGGGTTCGATTCCTCAGCACCACATTAAAAAAAAAAGACGGAAGTGTCCCTGTGGCTCAAGGGGTAGAGCGCTAGCCTTGAGCTGAAGAGCTGAGGGACAGTGCCCAGGCCCAGAGTTCAGGCCCCACGACCAGACCCAAAAAAAGAGAAATTATGAGCCATTCTAATGGGTGGCTTTTAAGTTTTTCCTCAGGACTCAAGATAGTCAGTTCTGGGTCTTGAACTCAAGGTCTCTTTCTTGGCTTTTTCCACTCAAGACTGATGCTCTGCTACTTGAGTCACACCCCTACTTCCCGCATTTTTCTGGTCAATTGGAAACAAGTCTCATAGACTTTTCAAGATGGCTGGTTTTTGAATCCTGAACTTTTATGCTCAAGACTAGCTCTCTATGGCTTAAGCCTTCACCTATGGCTTTTTGGAGGTTAATTGGAAGTAAGAGTCTTGTGCATCTTCCTGCCTGGAGTTGTACCAGGATCTTCAGATCTCAGCCTCCTGAGTAGCTAGGATTATACGTTTGAGCTACTAGCACTCGGCTTATTGAATGTACTAAAGGCAGTTTACTTCCAATTTGTTACCGTTTAGTATTCCCAATGACATTCTGGTTGCTTTTAAATCTTAAATTTTTTTTTTTTGGTCGGTCATGGGGCTTGAGCTCTGGGCCTGCGCGCTGTCCCTCAGCTCTTCAGCTCAAGGCTAGTACTCTACCACTTGAGCCATAGCACCACTTCCAGCTTTTTTTTTGTTTTTTTTTTGGGGGGTGTCTGGTCGTGGGGCCTGAACTCTGGGCCTGGGTGCTGTCCCTCAGCTCTTCAGCTCAAGGCTAGCGCTCTACACTCGAGCCACAGCGCCACTTCCGGCTTTTTTTTTTGATTATGTGGTGCTGAGGAATCGAACGCAGGGCCTCATGCATGCAAGGCAAGCACTCTACCACTGAGCCACCTTCCCAGCCCAACTTCCAGCTTTTTCTGCGTATGTGATGCTGAAGAATCGAACCCAGGGCCTTGTACATGCAAGACAAGCACTCTACCACTGAGCCACCTTCCCAGCCCTTAAAATATTTTTAGTCCTTTTGTTTTGTCTCCCACAAATCTAAGTCCTTGCTTTTCAAAGTGGGGGTTTCCAAACTAAGTGTTAGAAGTACAGAATTGTAGGTCCCTGAAAGACCTGCCTTTTAAGAATATCCTGAGGGGGTTCACTTGCACACTGAAGCTCAAAACCACTCTCATGCCAATCTGTCTAGCACAGAGGTGGTAAAAGAGGAAATATAAGGATATTGTTTAGAGTTTTCTGGCAATTCAAGACACAGTTACAACTGGTATTTTCATTCACAGGACCTTGCCAGGAAAGAGGCAGAACAACAATATCGAGACACCCTGAAGCAGGTGGGACTGGAGGAAGATTTTGTGAGAAACAAGAGTCAAGGTAGCAGACAATGGAGGGAAGCCAAAGTCAAAGATTCTCCTAGGTAATCTGAGACGCTGCCTTCATACTGCAGCTCTAAGCTGACATATCCAGTAATGTCCCCAGAAGGAAACTTCAGAACAGCCACTAACACTTGACATTTGAAGAGCACGTCTGAATTTAGAATAGTATAGTTGTGAATAAAATCTAACCGTTCAATTTGAATCAGATCATTTTTCAGTTCTTAATGCTGAGTCAGAAGTATTTATTTTTAGGGGAAAAAAAATCACATATACCCATTTGTTTTGTTGTTTTTGGTTGTGGGCTTGAACTCTGGGTGTAGGCACTGTTCCTGAGCTCTTCAGCTCAAGGTGAGTACTCTATCATTTTTTTTTCTTTTTTTTTGGGGGGGGGAGGGGGGGGTCCGGTTGTGGGACCTGAACTCTGGGCCTGGGCGCTGTCCCTCAGCTCTTCAGCTCAAAGCTAGCGCTCTACCACTTGAGACACAGCGCCACTTCCGGCTTTTTTCTTTTTTTTGCTTATGTGGTGCTGAGGAATTGAACTCAGGGCCTCATGCATGCAAGGAAAGCGCTCTACCACTGAGCCACCTTCCCAGCCCGAGCACTCTTATCATTTAAGCCACAGCAGCACTTCCAGTTTTCTGGTGGTTGAGGTCTCACATTCTTGCCTGGGCTGACTTTGAACCATGATCCTCAGATCTCAGCCTCCTGAGTAGCTAGAATTACAGGCATGAGCCACCAATGCCCAGCATATATGTTTTTTAAGTAAAAATTTTAAAATATTCAATTTTTTATAAAATGAAGTAATCTTTCTAGGCAACTCATTAGCCCCACTTCCTTTATGATTCATTTTGATATTGTCTAAGTCAAAGGGAAAGAGAGTATCTTCTATTATTCTCAACTGTGGTTTTATTTTTTTTTTATTTTTTCTTTCCTTTTGTGCCAGTCCTGGGATTTGAACTCAGGGCCTGGATGCTATCCCAGAGCTTTGTTTTTTAGTTCCCTTTTTACTGGTGGTTAATTGAAGATAAGTCTCACAGGCTTTCTTGCCTGAGCTGGCTTTGAACCCCAGTCTTCAGCTCTCAGCCTCCTGAGTAGCTAGGGTTATAGGCCTGAGCCACTGGCACTCAATTTTGTTTTTCCTTTTTTTTTTGGAGTCCTGTCATGGGGCCTAAACTCAGGGCCTGAGTGCTGTCCCTCAGCTCTTCAGCTCAAGGTTAGCGCTCTACCATTTGAGCCACAGTGCCACTTCCGGCTTTTTTCTTTTTGCTTATGTGGTGCTGAGGAATCAAACCCAGGGCCTCAGGGATGCAAGGCAAGTGCTCTACCACTGAGCCACCTTCCCAGCCTTCAGTTTTGTTTTCTTAAGTCCAGATAGTCCTCCTTTTAATTCCTGTTTTCATCCAGAAATGTCCCTTTATAGCTTCTGTAGTCAAAATGTTAAGGCCATTCTTAAACTTTGCAGTGCTTCCTTTAACTTAAAAATGTTCTGTTCCATCATTTTTTCCATTATTTTGTAGCATGCATGGGACTACAAAACTTGGCATCAAGTATCCACAGAAGGATTTAGAAGCATCACTAGAATTGCCTACAGGCCCCAAGAAAGAAGTAGAAGAGGACCTGTATCATGAATCACTGCACAACCTCGAACTACTTGCTTAATCGGCCCACTTAGCTTTACTGCTCTTGAACATCATCAAGCAGCTAACCATGAGTTCAGTAAAGTCAGGAAAAACTTGGATTTGGGGCATGGCAACTGTTAGAAAATAGGAAAAAGTAACAGATGACTGAGCAGTTCCAGGGAATCAAAGTGGAAAAGCTCAGGGTGGGGGGGGTCAGCCAGAGATAAGGCTTCTTTCGTCTGGCATTTGAATATGTATACAAGACAGGGCACAAGGCCAAATGCCTATCCAAGCTGGTTAGAAAACATAGAGGATTGAAAGGGCAGGGTTTAAAATGAGAGTAGACTAGAGAGTACAAACCCTGTTGGAATATAAGTCCAGACTTGCCAGGACAACCATATTTTCAGTATAAGTCAAAAATTTGCATGTTGGTAATTAAGATTTAGATATATTGTATAGGTAAAATAAATCAGTTTATCAGATTCAGCTCATGGGAGATAACAAAGTTGTAACCTTACCACATGTTCTTTCGTGCCCAACACCTGATATTTTGGGCCAGGTAGTTTCTTGTTGATGACTAGGGGATAGAACTGTACTGTACATAGTAGGATGCAACATCCAAGGCCTCTATCCATTGGATGCCTGTAACGCCCCTCTTCTAGTTATGACAACCAAAAATGTCTTCAGGTATTGCCAAAATGCACCCTAGGAAGCAAAGTTGTCCCAGGTTGAGAATCAAGGCTCAGTACCAAAGTAAGGCTACAAGAAACAAAAACTGGTGTTTTAAGAATACAAGTAGAGGGCTGGGAAGGTGGCTCAGTGGTAGAGCGCTTGCCTTGCATGCACGAGGCCCTGGGTTCAATTCCTCAGCACCACATAAGCAAAAAAGAAAAAACCGGAAGTGGCGCCATGGCTCAAGTGGTAGAGTGCTAGCCTTGAGCTGAAGAGCTGAGGGACAGCATCCAGGCCCAGAGTTCAGGCCCCACGACCGGACCAAAAAAAAACAAAAAAAAAAGAATACAAGTAGAAGCTGGAAATGTGGTTTAGTGGTAGAGTGCTTGCCTACCATGCATGAAGCTCTAGATTCAATTCCTCAGTACCACATAAACAGAAAAAGCTCAAGTGTTACTATGGCTCAAGTGCTAGTCTTCACCAAAGGAAGCTCAGGGACAGTTCCCAGGCCTAGAGTTCAAACCCCAGGACCAACAAAAGAAGAAAAAAAGAATACAAGTAATTGCCAAACACTTGGTCTACAGGAGAATTATGCATGTCATTAACAAATTAAGAACTTAAAAACAGAATTCTTTCCTGTTATCTGTTTAGAACTTCTATTGTATGTATGTATCAGCATTGTTAATGTTAAATAAACTCAAAATTTCTCAACAGCCATGATGTTCTACTAGTAGGTGATCTTTGGGATATCTTCCTTCTCCTTAAGACTGGCTATTTTAGTCAGGTGCCAGTAGCTCCTAGCTACTCAGGAGGCTGAGATCTGAGGATCACAGTTTAAAGTTAGCCTTGGCAGTAAAGTCTGTAAGATTCAACCACCATAAAACCGGAAGGACACTGTGGCTTAAAGTAGTAAAGTACTAGCTTTCAGTGGCAGAAGCTAAGGGACATAGCGGAGGTACTGAGTTCAAGCCCCATGACTGACCAAAAAAAAAAAAAGGGCAAGAATATCTCTAAAGGAGCAAATTTCTCATGTTCTACTTTAACAATTATTCTGGGAAAATTAAAAATTACCTATCGTTATTGCCATTGATCTAGATGCAGACATGGTCTTTTCTTGTGGTTATCAGTTGTCAGTTAGCAACTAGGATAATTCTTGTAATGTCTCCTAAATTTCCCAGTTCAGTCTTACCTGCATGGTATCTTAATAACAAGTCAGCGCCTTATATAGATCTTTTTTTTTCTTCTTCAGTTGTAGTTTGAACTCAAAGTCTTGCTAGGTAGGTGCTGTACCCCTTGAGTTACTTTCCCAGCCCTCAGTGCCCAATCTTAAAGAGGTGAAATCATTTTCTTCATCTCTCAAGGAAAAGTTGTTACTAAAACAAAAAACAATGAACTGACTGGGCTGTTTTGTTTATTTAAGGGAAAAACTGAAGCTCTGGATCATGTGATTTTTTTAACTTAAACAAAAAGCCCTTTTAACATGCTATCTTACGTTTCATAAACAAAGAAAGCAAAGTGACTGAGTAGAGATACATATATAGACAAGATAGTACCTCAGCCTGGGCCAAGGGGAGATTCAAGTAATTTATTTTGTTCAGCCCTGTGGCTGAGAGTCCTTTTACTCAGGTTGCAAAAGGGAGAATGCTACAACAGAATTGACATCACTCCCTTCTTCAAAGCAACAAGGCATCTTGAAAACTCAAGTTCCAGGTTGGTGGCTGGACATTTTATCCATGTGAAAAGACTGAGTCTGAGATGAAAAGTCTTCAAAGCAAAACCTCCCCTCAATAGTCATAAAGAAAAACTTTAACCAACACATAATTAATTTCTTTTGGGAGATGGCTATCCCAAATTTTGCAGTGAGAAGAGAGGCAAGTTCAATTGCCTAAGTCACTGCTTTGCTCCTTGTATGGATCAGATGGTGGCTGAAGAGCTCGTGTATCCATCTTCTCTGCCAGCTAAAATGAACACAGGCAAAGTGGGGCCTTGTCCTTTATAGTTTCATTTTAGTTCTGGCAGGTAGTGAGCCTCTGAATCCTTTTCCCACTACAGATTCTGTGATTAGACAGAGTTGCTCCACCAAGAGTCAGTGCCCATGCTCTGCTCATGTCCGTCTTTCCGTTAAATCTCCTTGATTTAGTAACTGTAAGAGATTGAAAGCAAATCTACATCATGTTATAGAAAAAGTAATTCATTCTAAGTAAAAGATTAAGAACAGTGGATAAAAAAAATTCACTGAGATATAAATCAGGATAGCTAGTTTCAAAGGAAAAAAACAACATGCACTGAGCCATCTTACTCAGATATTGGCCTTGGGACAGCACTCTGGCCACTTCATGATGCTGCCATGTTAACTACAGCAAAAAAATACTGTTTCAAGCCAGGCACCGGTTGCTCAAGCCTATAATCCTAGCTACTCAGGAAGCTGGACCTCAGGATTGTGGTTCAAAGCCAGCCTGGGCAGGAAAGTCTGAGACTCTTATCTCCAATTAACCACCACAAAACCAGAAGTGGTGCTGTGGCTCAAATGGTAGAGTGCTCACCTTGAGCTGAAGAGCTGAGGAATACTTCCCAGGCCCAGATTTCAAGCCCCATGACTGATAACCCCCCACCCTCCCCCAAAAAAATTCAGTGGTGAGATTACTGCTTTTGTATCAAGGGACATCTAGGTATTTGTAACATCATTATCAATGTATTTGGGCACTAGTGGCTTATACCTGTAAAAGTCTGTGAGACTCTTATCTCTAATTAACCACAAAAAAGCTGAAAGTGGAGCTCTAAGAACAGCTAGAATGCTAGCCTTAAGCAAAAAAAAAAAAAAAAGCCCAGATCCTGAGTTCAAGCCCCAGCCTGACACAAATATAAATAAATAAAAAATTTAAAAAATAAGCTGGGCATCAGTGGCTCATGCCTGTAATCCTAGCTACTCAGGAGGCTGAGATCTGAGGATCGTGGTTCAAAGGCAGCCTGGGCAGGAAAAGTCTGTGAGACTCTTTTTTTTGCCAGTTGTTGGGCCTGAACTCTGGTCCTGGGCGCTGTCCCTCAGCTCTTCAGCTCAAGGCTAGCGCTCTACCACTGGAGCCACAGTGCCACTTCTGGCCTTTTCTGCTTATATGGTGCTGAGGAATCGAACCCAGGGCCTCATGCATGCAAGGCAAGCACTCTACCACTGAGCTACCTTCCCAGCCCTCTGTGAGATTCTTATCTCCAATTAACCACCAAAAAACGAGAAGTGGCGCTGTGGTTCAAATGGTAGAGCAGAGCTCAGGGTCAGTGCCAGGCTTGGAGTTCAAGCCCCAGCATGGACAAAAAAATAAAAATAATTAAAAAAAATCATTTTAAAAAAGCATTTTAATTTTCACATTATAGGGAGGTAAAGAACAGTAGGATCATTCACCACTGCTTAGGGAATGTGTACAAAGTAACTCTAAAACTCAAGAGTCCAGGTGTGACAGATCAATCAACACACAAGACCCTAACACTAGGCTCCTTTCAAGCTGGAATCAAGCTTAAAGGTGCTCTGGTCAGTTTACAGGAAATAGAACCTCAAGAATTTCTGGTCAGTCATTTAGGGCCTGACTGCTGTTTCTGAGCTCTTTTTGCTCAAGGCTAGCATTATACCACTTTGGGCCACAATGCCACTTCCGGTTTTCTGGTGGTTAATTACAGGTAAGAGTCTCCTGGACTTTCCTGCCAGGGCTGGCTTCAAACCTCCATCCTCAGATCTCAGCCCTCCTGAGTAGCTAGAATTACAGGCATAGGCCACCAGTGCCCAGATGAAAATTGGAGATTTTTTTCACATCAACTAAACTAGAATAATTAGGAAATCATTCTCCATTTAACTCAGCAAAGAAACAAAGAGCAAGAGCAAGCTTTACCTCCTGTGGATTTACTGCAGTTAAGACAGAAACTTCATATGACTGCCTTCCTGACTGCATGGTCACCAAGTGATGTGTTACATCAGGCACTGAAGACAAGGGACGTGGGGATCCTTCAGTAAGCACCTCTGTGAAACAAAAGAAAAATGAGTTTCAATGAAAAGCAAGTCCACAAATATAATTCCCGCCTCTTCAAGCCTTTCATTAAGAAGTGCTAAAACTATTTCCTAAACAGCAGAATCTCATGTTCCTATATTCCTTTCAAGTTAATTCTTGTCTGATAAACATTGTTAGTAAATTTGCAAAGTATTACAAAAAGAGGATGAGAAGTAAAAGCAGGAAATTTTGGTAGTTGACTATTTTTCAACAAGCCAATTTAGAATAATAAGATTTAGCACTGTTACTTGAATTAAGATGATGTATGAATCGGCAAAAGTTGCACAAGCAGGCAGATCAGAAAACCAGAGCCAGCCCTTGAAGCAGTCACCAATAGTAACAGCAAAATATGTACAGGTCAAGAACTTGTTAGTTCTGCATCCAAAGTACCTACTTAATATCACTTCCTTCCTTGAGATTTGCTTCTTTATTAAGGCTGATGAAACAGCTCCATGCCATTCTATAACCTCCTGCTTTAGTTTCTACAGTAGTGAACATGAACCAGAGGAGGTATGCTATGGTAGCATATTATTCTGGGCTTTCTAGGCTCTACACAAACATTGGAGATGGTGTCTCATCATGCAACAAAGGCTGGCCACAAACTCAGGATCTTCTTGCCTCTGCCACCCAAATGTTGGGATTATAGACATATGCTACCACATCTGACCATTATGAATAATGAAAGCATGATCTCACACTTACTAAAGGCTCATTAGTGGGATCACCATGAAAATCTGGAAATAGTTTGTAAATAAACCACTTAGCTCTCAAATTCAGAAACTTATTCTATTAGTTTGTATTTATATTGCCCTTCCAAACTATACCATATAATTTATACTATATAGCTTAATGTTTGCCAATATAGTATCTTACTCAATGTTGTTTCAAGCACATATGTACATTTTGACTTCTCAACTGAATTTTTAGATCCCTATCTGCTAATTTTGTCTTTCCCATGGTGTCAGGCACACAGTAGGCACTGAATAAATGCATGCTGACCTCACCTGGTTAAGTTTTTCAGAGAAGAGGGCCTGGCCTGTGTAACTTAGGTGAACTTTCTATACCAGAGAGGTGCACCTGTTTCCTAGAGAGCCCTTTCTTTTCTCCAGAAGTTTATGGCTTATATCTCCTTTGTAAACCTGGTTATGTTCTGCTTAAGTGTTTTAAAAGTTAAGTTCTTCCATAACTGCAACAGGAAAGACAGAAATAATTGGGCGGAAATGCTAAGATTACAGATAATTTTAAATTTTTTTCTTCTCTTTATTATTTTACAACATCTTCAAGGACTTTTTTTTTAAAACATCCATTATCCAGAAAATAATAACATAAAATACTACCTAATACCATAGTTAAATCAAGAAATAAGACTGAAAACTGCATTTTGGAAGACAGCTCATTCCTTAGTCCCTATTTGCAGACCATTTTACCCAAGTAAAGGAGAGACAGAAGTCTTACCATCATCAACTCCCAGGATAGAATTGGTATTTGGTAGGTTCAAGGACTCTCCACCAAGGCTCGACTGAGAATTCATAGACACCAGGTTTTTACTGGGTACTGAAGCCTCTTCAAGCAAACTACTGCCCATGAGTGGCTCAGCTGCACAAAGAATAGGATGTGAAAGACATACAGCAGTCAAGGCTGTGCCTGGTCCTTATTTCCCTTCACAAGGAAGCTAGCCTTCTCTTTCAGAATCAGTTGTTAATTTATATCTCAGATGCCACCTGTTTCATCTATTTTCAAGAAACAAGACTAAGCCTAGGAGGGAAGATTGGGAACCTTAAGGATAAGTACCCTTGCTTGTGACTGACATCTGTGGAATTAGCATATGAAATGGAATGAATAAATTCTTGTACATATTTGAAGTGAATGATTAAATTTAATTAAATATTACCAAGTTTAATAGAACAAAAGGTACTTATAATTGCTAAGCAAAAATACTTGAGCTCAAAAAAAAGAATACTTGAGCTCATGTCACATAGAAATCTCTTATCATGGTGCTATGAATACTTGTTCATGGATTAGCACTATTCAACCTCAAAATGACTAGAGGAACTTCTGTTTTTTGGGTCTTTTATTTTTGTCAGTCATGGGGCTTGAACTCTGGGCCTGGGTGCTGTCCCTCAGCTTTTCAGCTCAAGGTGAGTGCTCTACCACTTGAGCCACAGCGCCACTTGCAGTTTTCTGGTGGTTAATTGAAGGTAAGAGTCTCACAGACTTTCCTATCCAGGTTGGCTTTGAACTGTGATCCTCAGATCTCAGCCTCCTCAGTAGTTAGGAATACAGGCATGAGCCATGGGTACCCGGTGAGTTTTGTTTGAGTCAATCTTACTATGGAGCCTGGGCTGTATGGAGGGAGAGGTGTGCCTCACCACGTTATCCAGGCTGGTCTTTTTTTTTTTTTGCCAGTCTTGGAGCTTGAATTCAGGGTCTTGGGCACTTCCCCTGAGCTGCTTTTGCTCAAGGCTGGCACGTTACCACTTGAGCCAGAGAGCCACGTCGGCTTTTTCTGTTTATGTGGTACTGAGGAATCAAAGTCTTCATGTGGCTAGGCAAGCACTCTACCACTAAGCCACATTCCCAGCCCTCAAGCTGGTCTTTTTTTTTTTTTTTTGGTCCGGTCGTGGGGCCTGAACTCTGTCCCTCAGCTCTTCAACTCAAGGCTAGCACTCTACCACTTGAGCCACAGCGCCACTTCCGGCTTTTTTTTTCTGCTTATGTGGTCCTGAGGAATGGAACCCAGGGCCTCATGCATGCAAGGCAAGCGCTCTACCACTGAGCCACCTTCCCAGCCCTCAGGCTGGTCTTAAACTCTTGACCACAAGTGAGCTTCAAGCCTCAACCTCCCAAGTAAGTACTAAGACTACAAATGTTTGCCACTAGGGAGAAACAACAATAGGATAGATGGATGGATGGATGGATAGACAGACAGACAGATAGACATACATACATAGATACATACATATAAAATTTCTGTGCATGTGCATGGTGTTGAGGTTCAAACTCAGGGTCTCATGCATGTTAGGCATTGGTCTAACCTCTAGAGGAACTTTTGAAACTACCTGTTCTAGGATCTTCCACCTTATATATGAGTTTCTTCTGTTTTGTATGGCTGGAGAAAGCTTGTACTTGGTGTCAAATGAGACCAGTTCTCTCCACCCAAAACAGAACCCAAAAAAATCTATTGGGGGGCTGGGAAGGTGGCTCAGTGGTAGAGCGCTTGCCTTGCATGCATGAGGCCCTGGGTTCCATTCCTCAGCACCATATAAGCAGAAAAAGCAGGAAGTGGTGCTGTGGCTCAATGGTAGAACGCTAGCCTTGAGCTGAAGGACAGCACCCAGGCCCAGAGTTTAGGCCCACAACCAACACCCCCCCGCCCCCCCCCCAAAAAATAAAAAATCTCTTGGTAGGCAGGCAGGAAGGACAGTGACTTGGCTCTTTGAACACAGCTTTCCCTTATGTCTACCCTCCTCACCAGTCTGCTCCTGCTCTTGACTTCCTGATGCTCCTAGTTGCAAGTGATGCTTTCTCATGTGCACATTTCTACTCCCACTCTGAGAGAAGGTCTTTCCACAGACTTGGCATTGATGAGGCTTCTCACCTGAAAGAGACAAGATGAAGTCAGGGGAGCCAAAGACACATCTATATTTCTGATGGCAAGTGAGTAGATTGAAGACCTAGATGGAGAAGGCCAGAGAATATGAAACATAAGAAGCTGCTCCTTTTCCATTCTCCATCTTCCCAGTTTCTCAACCTTCCATACACAGGAAAAGTAGGAATAGTACACCAGGATAACTCAGCACACACATTGCTCACACCACCAGTAAGTACTTTCCAGACTCACTGTTACGTACCTTTAAAAGAGGCTCTTCAGTATGGGATCATGACAGTTACACTAAAGTATTTCCCTTTCCTAGACAGTTTTCCATGGATCTCTAGAACATGTACTCACCTTCATACCTTAGGATTCCAATCCTAGGTTCATAATATCCCATCCTATTCCCTGCCACCATTCAAGGTCTCCAACATTTACACTGATGGCTCTTCTAACACAATGACTTCTATGACCTTAAGTCCAAAATTCTCGGTCTCCATACTACTAGGAGTACCATACTCAGAGAAGGGGTAAAAAAAAAATCTCATACCCACGGCATGAGTGGCCAATGGAGTCACCATAACCTAGATAATATCTTCCTTGTAAAAGAGTTAGCTGCTATTTATTTCTAGCCAATTATTAATATATAGTCTGAGGCCTAGCACTGCAAGATAGATTCTTGATTTTTTAGATTTACTTTGTCAGTCAAGGGGCTTGCACTCTGGGCCTGGGCACTGTACCTCAGTTCTTCAGCTCTAGGTGAGCACTCTACCACTTGGAACACAGTGGTTAATTGGAGATAAAATCTCACGGGTTTTCCTGCCTGGGCTGGCTTTGAACCTCAATCCTCAGATCTCAGCCTCCAGAGTAGCTAGGATTACAGGCGTGAGCCACTGGTACCCGGCCTTTTTTTTTTTAGAGAAGCTAGAAATGAAGATTTTTAGATAAAATTCCTCAACTTGTAAATACTGGCAATAAGCTTAAAACTGATTTAAAAAACCAAAAAACATTCTTCATTGTTGATGTGAATGCAAAAGACTACAAACTCTGTAGTAGAGAATCTGACAATATCTGGGAAAATTAGAGGCTTTGTCATTTCATCAAAGATTACAGGTGTGAGCTATTGGTGCCAGCTGTCATGGACTTTTTTTTCGGCCAGTCCTGGGGCTTGAACTCAGGACCTGGGCACTATCCCGAGCTTTTTTTTTTTTTTAATTGTGAAAATACTGTACAGAGGAGTTACAATTACATGGGCAACCTGAGCTTCCTTTTTTGCTCAAGGCTAGTACTCTACCACTTCAGCCACAGCACCACTTCCAGCTTTTTCTGTTTATGTGGTGCTGAAGAATGGAACCCAGGGCCTCATGCATGCAAGGCAAGCACTCTACCACAGAGCCACCTTTCCAGCCCCTAGATTCCTATCTTATGAAACAATATTTCCAGTATGTTTTTAATGTTATAAACCATGTCTCACAGGAATCAGACCCAGTGAGACTCTTATTTCCAATTAAGTACCAGAAAATCTAAGTGGCACTGTGGCTCAAGTGGTAGAGCCTTGAGCTGAGAACTCAGGGACAGTGTGTGCAGGTCCAGAATTCAAGCCCCATGACTGACCAAAAAAGTAGTAGTTCAGACTGATCTTGAAGTTGCAATTTCCTGTCTCCTAAGTACTGACTTTGGGAAAAAGGAAAAGGAAAAATATTTTAGCTTCCTCTACTAAGCTTAAAAAGCCTTGGATCATAGAGTACATTTTCAAATATTTTGAAAGACAACTTTAGCAGAAAAGACCAGGTCATCTGCATAAAATGATCAAATTTAAGGCTGCAAAACAGAAACAAGATACTAGGTTCAGAAAACAAGACACTAGGTTGTTCTCTCTTCTTCTACAGATAAATCTAAGATTCTAGAAACCATAAAGTATCTAAATAACCAAAGCCAGTTTCTGCCAAAATGGCAACTGAAACAAGATTACCAACAGCTTCTCAGAAGGCAGTGATATTCCTGGTGCTGTTGTCATTAACAGCAGTTTTCTTACTTTGCTCTTGTTTGACGTTATAAAGCACCCAGGACAGTGTCAAACAAACTGAAAGATCTCAGAAGGACCTCCATGACGCAGCTGGAAACCACTGATTTCTCTCTACTGTTTAGAAAGCCTTTGAATGCAATTATTAAGGATCTTGGTTTCTGGCTTAGTTATGAGGAGTCCCAATGCCTTTACAGTAAAGAGTCTGTTTATTTTCAGACTTCTATTCCTCTACTAGTTTACCTGCAATCTACAAATGGTACAAGTTTTGATACCTGAGTGAACTACCAGATGTTTTCGGAGGCTTGAATACTCAGCAAAGGAACGGCCACATCCTTGGGCTTCACAAAGGAAAGGTTTTTCTCCTAGAGACAGAATTGAGACTAAGATTCAGACTCAGTCTTTTGATTATTACTCTTTCCTCAACAATTTTATTACATTCAACAACTTATTCTTCGTGTTCTAATTCACACTACATAATTCCATTAGGGCTACTCAGCAAGTGGTAACTCTCAATGATCTAAAAATATACCCAATGGTCTTTTCTCACTGTATGGCTGCCCATTAACTTCATGTTTCCTTCTTCCATCTGGCTTAAGGACTGAACACTCCAGCTTTAGTGATTACAACACTTACAATCACCTCAATATTCACAATGTGGGTGGAGAAAATAAATCATACAGAACATAACTATATACATATACCCACTTTCGTAATTATCAGGCTTTTTTTTTTTTTGTTGTTAGTCGTGGGGCTTGAACTCTGGGCCTGGGCGCTGTCCCTCAGCTCTTCAGCTCAAGGCTAGTGCTCTACCACTTGAGCCACAGCATTACTTCCAGTTCTCTAGTGGTTTATTGGAGATAAGAGTCTCACAGACTTTCCTGTCCGGGCTGGCTTTGAACCGTGATCTTCAGATCTCAGCCTCCTGAGTAGCAAGGATTATAGGCATGAGCCACCAGCACCTGGCCAGTATCAGAATTTTTCTGTTCTTTTGTAACTGAATAGCTGCCTTCATTTGTTGGGTTTATAAAACTGGGTGTAGGGGCTGGGAAGGTGGCTCAGTGGTAAAGCACTTGCCTCGCATGCTTGAGGCCCTGGGTTCAATTCCTCAGCACCACATAAGCAAAAAGAAAAAAGTCGGAAGTGGCTCTGTGGCTCAAGTGGTAGAGCGCTAGCCTGGAGCTGAAGAGCTGAGGGACGGCGCCCAAGCCCAGAGTTCAGGCCCCACGACCGGACCCTCCCCCCCCCCCCCCCAAAAAATAATAAAACTGGGTGTAATGTCTACCTTTAAAAATCTGTATTTTTGTGTGTGTCAGTACTGGGACTTAAACTCAGGGCTCGTGCTCTTCCTTGGCTTTTACTGGTTAAGTGGAGATAATGGACTTTCCTGCCTAGGCTGGCTTTGAACCACGACCCTTCAATCTCAGCCTTGTGAGTACCTTAAGACTATAAGTGGGCACCACTGGTGCCCAGCAGAAATCTGTATTTTAAAGTGGATCTAGAAACTGAGTCATTAAAATGTCTGACATGAAAGTTCTGACAGCATATGCACTGTTTGAACTTTCCTTCCTTCCTTCCTTCTCATCCTCTTTTTAAAAAATATTTTATAGTAAAGGCGATGTACAGAGGGGTTATAAGTCAGGTAATGAATGAAGTAGTGGTGCTTAAACTCTGGGCCTGGGCGCAGTCTCTGCGCTCTTCCACTCAAGGGGAGCACTCTGCCACTTGAGCCACTCTGCCACTTCCGATAAGAGTCTCATGGACTTTTCTGCCTAGGCTGGCTTTGAACCAAGATCCTCAGATCTCAGTCTCCTGAGTAGCTAGGATTACAAGCATGAGCCACCAGTGCCTGGCATGAATGCCTTTCTTTTTGAATAGTGTCACTACCTCCAACATTTTCTCCCAGTTTTTCCTCTCCCAACTCTCTCCCCCCCCCCCTTTCTTTTGTAGTGCTAGGGATTGATTTCCTTCCTTCCTTCCTTCCTTCCTTCCTTCCTTCCTTCCTTCCTTCCTTCCTTCCCTATCTTCTCTCCTCCTTCCTTCCTCCTCACTCCCACCCCCTCTTTCTTTTGTAGTGCTAGGGATTGAACCCAGGGCCTTGTTCATACTAAGTTAATAGCTATGAAGCCCCTGGGTTCAATTCCTTCTTTACAAAACCAAACAAAAAGCAGTAATGCACGGTGACAACAGAATAGAGACTTAGACTAGTAGATAGTATTAAATTTTAAGTTTGTACTATGACTAAGATGTCACACTTTGGAGAAAAGTAGGTGAAGGACATAAAAACTTTTTAAAACTATTTTTTCTATATTCTGTGAGTACATAATTATTTCAAAATGAAAAATGAGGGCTGGGGTTGTTCTTGGAAAAAGAAAAAACAACAAAGATAAAGTCTGTATCCTCCAAAAATAACTAAAATGAGACAAATATATTCATAAGTAACTGTAATATAAGTTTCTGTACAAAAAACTGCTAAAGCTAGGCAACAGCACATGGCTGGCTGTCAGACTAGGAATTCCAGACCAGCTTGGGTTACACAGTGAGGCTCTGCACTGTCTAAATAAGTAAATAAGCAAGTAAGCAAACAAGCAAGTAAATTACTTAATTAGTTTGTATGTGTGTATGTGTGTGTTGGTAGTAAGGCTTGAAACTCAGGCCCTAAGACTTTTTTGTTCAAAAAAAGAGCTTTTTTGTTCAGAGCTATAGCACTCTACCACGTAAGCTCTATTTCCAGCTTCTGAATGGTTAACTGGAGATAAAAGCCTCACTGACTTTCCTCCCTGGGTTGGCCTGCAACACTGATCCTCATTTTCTTAGCTTCCTGAGTAGCTAGGATTATAGGTATAAGCAACCTGTGCCCTACTAATTAATTTGTTTTTAAAAATAAAAACAAGGGACTGGGAAGATGGCTCAGTGGTAGAATGCTTGCCTTGCATGCATGATGGGTTTGATTCCTCAGCACCATATAAGCAGAAAAAGCTGGAAGTGGTGCTGAGGCTCAAGTGGTAGAACTAGCCTTGAGCTGAAGAGCTGAGGGACAGCGCTCAGGCCCAGAGTTGAGGCCCCACGACAGACACACACAAAAAAAGGAAAACAAGGCAAATGAGGCTATCATGACAACAACACAGGAGCATGGCCCATCAGGGGGTAGTAACAAAAAAGGCTGTAAGTGGAACTGTGGTTCAAGATGTACAGCACTAGCCTTAAACAAAAAAAACTAAGCAACTGCACCTGAGTTCAAGCCCCAGTACATACACACACTCTCCCTCTCCCTCCCTCCCTCTCTCTCTCTCTCTCTCTCTCTCTCTCTCTCTCTCGGACGACCTTTAGAATCAGATCATAATGCAAATTCCAACTCTACCATTTTCTACCTGAATATGCTGGCCAATTTAGTTAACCCTCTAACTTATTTCGTTGCCAATAAAAAATGTTATCTAAAGTCAGGTGCTGGCAGCTCACACCTGTAATCCTAGCTACTCAGGAGGCTGAGATCTGAGGATCGAGGTTCAAAGCCAGCCGGAGCCAGGGCAGGAAAGTTTGTGATACTCTTATCTTCAATTAACCACCAGAAAACCAGAAGTACTACTGTGGCTCAAGTGGTAGAGTGCTCACCTTGAGCTGAAGAGCTTAGGGACAGTGCCAAAGCCCAGAGTTCAAAAGCCTCATGAGTGACCAAAAAAAAAAAAAGGTTATCTAATGTTATCTATCTTCATGGAGATATGGAGATTATGTAATATAGCTGGTAGATATTAAATTGCCTCAATAAACAATAACTTAGTTATTATTATGACAAATCTGAAAGCATCCAGGGATAACCAACTTAGTGGATGATTGAGACTACAGCGAAAGCATACTAAATAGAACATAAGAAACCCCCAAATTCTGAAACTGGTGAACAATTAAGAGATTCACAGAAGAGCTACCAAGAGTTGGAATGAGAAAAATACACAGGAGAAAATACAGTCATATTTTGAAGTAAAACAGAGCATTTTAAGAAGATGTTTTACTATGTGTATTTGCTCATATGAAGTAATATTTATTGAAATGAACTCCAGGAAATGAAAACCAGGCTGTTGTTTTTTTTTCTTCATTGCTGTTTTTATTTTCCTTTCTTTTTGTCTTATTTGTTCAGTGATCTGTCTTTGGAAAGGTAAGGGGGCAAAGAAATGGAGGGACAATGGTGTGAACAAATCCAGCAGTGGTATTCATTAGACACTATGTTGAAAATGAACTATATTACTTGTAAGTGGGAATGGGAGGGGAAAACTGGGAAAGAGCAAGGGAAAGGGTGACCCTGTTCTTAAAAAAAATTTACTTTTTACCTGACTTATTAGCTGTTACCCTTATGTACATCACCTTTATAATAACCATAATTTTTTTCTGAAAAAAATGTTCTGTGTGAGCAAATGCTTCAAAGACGATGAGATGAGGATGAAGTTGTGGAATTTAATAAAAAAAAAAAAGAGATAGTAAATTCTACTTCTTTTCTCTTTTGTGCCAGTTACTGAGGCTTGAAACTCAGTGCCTAAGTGCTGTCCTTGAACTTTTGTGCTCAAGGTTAGTACCACCTGAGCTATAGCTCCATTTCTAGCATTTTGGTAGTTAACTGGAGATAAGAATCTCACAGACTTTTCTACCTGGGTTCGCTTTGAACCATGAACCTCAGATCTCAGCATCCTGAGGAGCTAGGATTACAAGCATGAGCCACTGGCATCTGGCTATTTCTTTTCTTAGGTATTCAACTAGATAGTTTTCCTGTTCTATTTTTCAAATTATTCTTGGAGTAAGTATAGTTTATTATATGCTACAAAGAGCTGAAAAGAGCAACTATTCTGTCCCAAATACATCTAGATGTTATATTACTCTAGAAGGAATTACAGGTTTATGCTTAGAACAATCTTGGCTTCAGCTTGGGCTTCACTTTTTAACTGCATTTTAATTATATATGCTATCAAATTCCAGTATTCAAGAATGAACAGAGACAAAGAGCTGGATACAAGTATCTTTTTTTTTTGTATGGTCGTAGGGCCTGAACTCTGGGCCTGAGCTCTGTCCTTCAGCTCTTCAGCTCAAGGCTAGTGCTTTACCACTTGAGCCACAGCGCCACTTCTGGCTTTTTTCTTTTTGCTTATATGGTACTGAGGAATCGAACCCAGGGCCTCAGGCATGCAAGGCAAGCACTCTACCATTGAGCCAACTTCCCAGCCCACTGGATACAGGTATCTTATTACCTGTAAATCCTAGCTGCTCAAGATCTGGGGAATCCAGGTTTTTGTTTTTTTTGTCAGTTATCGGGCTTGAACTCTGGGCCTGGGCGCTGTCCCTCAGTTCTTCAGCTCAAGGCGAGCGTTCTACCACTTGAGCTATAGCGCCACTTCCGGTTTTCTGGTGGTTTATTGGAGATAGGAGTCTCAGGGTCTCTCCTGCCCGGGCTGGCTTTGAACCGCGATCCTCAGATCTCAGCCTCCTGAGTAGCTAGGATTACAGGCGTGAGCCACCAGGGCCCGGCTGGGGATCCAGGTTTAAATGCAGTCCAGAGAGAAAAGTCCATGAGACTCCATCTCCAAAATAACCAGGAAAACGCTGGACTTGAGAGCATGATTCAAGTGGTAATGATAGAGTATCAGCCAAACAAGCAAGTTGAGTGAGAGCATGAGGACATGAGGTCATGCATGTGCATGTGTGGACACACACACACACATACATACACACACACAAAGGCAAGAAAGTAGGGTACCGTTATACATCTTCATATATTCATCTGGGTTTGATGATTAAGCTTTCAAATGAGGAGAACAAATATGATCAATATACATTATATGTATGTATGAAAACAGAATAACCCATTAAAACTATAAAAAATGGGAGGAGATAGAATAATGAAGAAATGGATATGATCAAAGTACATTATGTATATGTATAGAAATACCATATTGAGACCCCTCCTTGTACAATTAATATACACTATTAAAAAGAAAAAAAATCCTTAGTAACGGTGATAAAAAGCACCCTTAGACCCAAGACTAAAAATCAAGTGACCTTTTTGTTGTTGTTGTTGGTCGTGGGTCATAGATCTTGAACTCAAGGCCTGGACTGTCCTTGAGTACTTCTGCTCAAGACTAGTCTTCTACCATTTTGAGCCACAGCACAATTTCTGGTTTTCTGGTGGTTAACTGGAAATAAGAGTCTCACAGGGACTTTTCTGCCCAGGCATGCTTTGAGCCCCAATCCTCAGATCTCAGCCTCCAGAGTATCTAGGATTATAGGCATGAGCCACCAATGCCCAGCTCAAGTGATCTTTATTTTTCTCCTTTGATACTGATATACTCTGTAACTTCTCTTACTCATTTTCTGAGACTCTAACAAGAAAGCAAACTCTAGGCTGGGTTCCACCTAATAAGTCCTAGACCCTGAGTTGAAACTCAAGTACCAGACTTAAGGATTACATCTTTTTTTCCTTTTTACCGGTCCTGGAGCTTGAACTCTGGGCCTTGGCTTTTTTTGCTCAAGGCTAGAATTCTACCACTTGAGCCACAGCACCACCTTTGGCTTTTCCAGAGAGATAGGGTCTCATGGACTTCCCTGCCCAGGCTGGCTAGAACTATGGTCCTCAGATCTCAACCTCCCGAGTAGCTAGGATTACAGGCATGAGCTACTAGTACCTGGCTTAAGGGTTACATCAAAATACTATAATTATTATTTTGAATAGCTTTGAATGATTCAATGAAGTTACTGTATAAAATAAAATTGTGCAATGTTCAGAAAAATTTTAAAACAGATTTTGTCCAATTAGGTTCACATAAAATGTTACTGTAATCGACTGAAAGTACCATATAGCATTGAGACAAAGGAATCAAATTTTTATAGAGTTCTAGCAACAACCTCATACTTTATTTCTATTCCTACTGAAGCCTTTCTTAAGTAAAGTAACAACTGAACCAAAATTGCCCAAGGGTTGCACGTACCTGTGTGTATGCGCCGGTGGTTCTTCAGATTTCCAGCTGTAGTGAACTGCTTACCACAGCCAGATTCAGGGCACATAAAGGGCTTTTCCCCATTGTGTGTCCTCATGTGTACTTTTAGTCTCTGTAGCACATAGAAGCTTTTTCCACAACCTTCTGCAGGGCAGATGAAGGAGCGGTCATTTCTGCAAAAATAATCATATAAGCAAGAATACCTACAAATATTCAAGCTTCTTCTTTTTATTCTCAAGGCAGACAGTAGATTCCAAACCTGGGCATATCAAAATATCCTAAAGTTTGTTAAAATAACAGATGATCCTCGCCACATACTTCGCAGGTTTAAAGTAGGGTCTACACTTATATGTAATTTAGGTTCTAAAAAAAAAAATCCTGTTTTATAATGAGATTTAAGAATACTTCATCACAACACATTTAGCAGTCAAATGCCATAAATTGTTATGAAAAATAGGGCAAATCACACAATGCTAGTGTTTCTATTAAAAACAACAATAAAACATGACAGTAGACATATGGAACACACCGGAAATCCCAAGATTCTGGAGGCTGAAGTGGGAGACTCATTTAAACCTAGGAGTTAAAGACCCTCCTGGGAAATAAAAGCAAGATCCCATTCCCTCAATTCCAAGAACAGTCATCCTCACTACTCAAGAAGAGTTCATGGCTGGTTGCAGGTGGCTCATGCCTGTAATCCTACCTACTCAGGAGGCTGAGATTTGAGGATCATGGTTCAAAGCCAGCCCAGGTGGGGAAATTCTGTGAGACTCTTCAATTAACCACCAGGAAACCAGAAAGGATGCTGGGTCTCAAAGTGATAGGGTACTAGCCTTGAGCAAAAGAGCTCTGCCCCACAACCAACAATAAATAAATAAATAAGTGGGTTACTAGAATAATTTTTGTCCAAGCTGGACTGGATAAAAGAGATATCCTATCCCAAAATATAATGAAAGCAAAAAGGGATGGAAATGAGGCTCAGGTGGTAGAGCCCCTGCCTGGCAAGCTCAAGGCCCTGAGTTCAAACCTCAGTTAAACTAAAAAGACAAAAACAAAGAATACAACCAGAGGGAGTCCTTGTTTTCCTTTGTCAATTTGGAAAACAAATTTCTCTGAAAGCCTCAAAGTTTTTATGAGATCTCAGATTCGCTTACCGATGAGTTTTGAGGTGGTACTTAAAGTGAGCTGGCCAAACAAATGTCCGGCCACAGCCTTCAACTGTACACTTGAGCTTCTTTTCCACTTGAGGAAGGGGCCCAGAGTCTTTGGGTTGCCCATCTCCAGAACCAAGGTGGACATTTTCTCCTGTAACAGAGTCACATTTATAATCCAAGGAAGGACCCTTCTTAGAAAGTTGAAATTCAAAAATAAAACACATATTCACTCAGTGATCATTAACCAGGTACCTATTTTCCCCAGGTCCCTTCTGTAATTGTTTAAAAATAAATATGATCATAGTCTATGCTCTGTCCCCTATTCCAAGCATTTACCAACAGCTAACATGTTTTATTTTACAAGATTAGGGTTCTTGGATAAATGTAGGAAATAATCAAAATGGTTTCCTATCAGAAATATCAAAAAGCAGAATTAAACATGCACTGCACAAATTGGTAGGGAAACAGGTAGATCAACACTCAGACTAAGATGCTTTGGAGATGACTTTAAAGTCCTGGGCAAGGGGGTAGGGGTGGGGAGGGTGGGTGGGAGATGAGAAGGGATGGGAAGGGGAAACAAAGGAGGAAGCAACAATGCTTGATAAGAAACATACTCATTATCTTGCCCATGTAATTGTAACCCCTCTGTATGGTATTTTCACAATTAAAAAAAAAAAAAGGCCTGGGCAAAAAAGCATGTATTTTTAGGGGCTGGGAAGGTAGCTCAGTGGTAGAGTGCTTGCCTCACATGCATGAGGCCCTGGGTTCGACGCCTCAGCAACACATAAGCAGAAAAAACCGAAAGTGGCACCATGGCTCAAGTGGTAGAGCACTAGCTTTGAGTTGAAGACCTGAGGGACAGCGCCCAGACTCAGAGTTCAGGCCCCACAACCGCAACAACCATCACCACCACCACCACCACCAAAAAGCATGTATTTTAAGTAGCCATTCTGGCTTAGTGTGAGCTAACAACAGAATTCTATCACAGATGGCAATTCTTACATTTCCATCTTTTGAAGTCAATTTGGCTGTTTCTTATTCTGGAAAATGAGAACAATCTTCTCATTTTCTAAATCACCCCTTTTTAGTTATGAAACATTTAAAAATACACTTTAACATTAAAAATAGACTTTAACATTTCTAACATTTAAAAGAGAAGTTAGATAATGCCTTTTAGTGTTTTGTTCAACAGAATAAAGATGAGAAAAGCTAAACACTGCCTCTATTAAATTTAAGCAAAATCAGCTGATCAAAAATTTGTATAAATTCCAGGTTAATAGGTAGAACTTCATAGTTGGAGTAATTCTAGCACACAGGAGGCTGAGGTAGAAGAACTGTGAGTGTAAGTCAGCCTGGGCTACCTAGGGAGACTTTGTCATAAATATACATCGATATCATCATAAAACAGAGTATCAGCCGGGCGTTGGTGGCTCACGCCTGTAATCCTAGCTACTCAGGAGGCTGAGATCTGAGGATCGCGGTTCAAAGCCAGCCCGGGCAAGAAAGACTGTGAGACTCCTATCTCCAATAAACCACCAGAAAACCGGAAGTGGCGCTGTAGCTCAAGTGGTAGAGCGCTCGCCTTGAGCTGAAGAGCTGAGGGACAGCGCCCAGGCCCAGAGTTCAAGCCCCACGACCGACAAAAATAAAAAATAAAAAAATAAAACAGAGTATGTAAAGTAAGAAAGCACTAAAAAATGTACAGATGAAACAAGACTGGCTCTAACTTGATAACTGCTGAAGCCATGGAATGGATGAGAATTCATTATACTGTTCTCTATACATTTACATATGTTTGAAGTTTTGTGTAAAAAACTGACAAAAAGGAAAAATATTTCTTTTGGGAAAGGGAGTGAGTGGGGGGGCACAGAAATGGAGGAACTAAGGGTAAACAAATACTCACTAGACATTATGCTGAAAATTAACTACATAACTTGTGGGTGAAGACAGAAGGGAAAAGCTGGGAACAAGAATGTACTCATTACCTGATTTATGGAACTGTAACCCCTCTGAACATCACCCTTATAATAACAATGAAAAAATAAAATTAAAAGAAAGGGAAAAACAGCACAAATATAAGGATGATTTTCCATTATAAACAAAAGAACCAGGCATGATGATGGTTTATACTTGTAATCACAGCATGGTAGGAGGCTAACGCAGCAGGATCATAGGCTCAAGGCTAATCTAAGAAACTTGTTTCCAACTAAAGCAAATATTAAAAAAAAAAAATGGCTGGACACTGGTAGCTCATGCCTGTAATCCTAGATACAAAGGAGACTGAGATCTGAGGACCATAGTTCAGAGCCAGCCTGGGTAGGAAAGTCCATGAAACTCTTATCTCCAACTAGTCATCAAAAAAGCCAGAAGTGGAGCTGTAGTTTAAGTGGTAGAGCACTATCCTTAGCAAAATAAATCTCAGCTACAGCACCCAATGCCCAAGGTCAAGCCCCAGAACTACAACCAAAAAATAGTAATAATAAAATAAAGCAAAAAAGAGGGCTGGGAATGATATCTCAGTGATAAAGTTCTTGCTATTCTGTGGGAGACTCTTACATTCAATTCCTAGTATTAGGAAGAAGTAGTTTTCTTTTTTACTAAAAATGCATCACAATGTCAAAATCATCTCGCTACATGTAAATCATCTCACTACATGTAACAGTAGATTAATATATTTCATCTTACTTAAGAAACGTAGGCAAAACCATAAAATTTTCAAAAAGAATTTTATAATATCAAATGTCAACTGATCCTCTAAAGTTAGAAATAAAAAAGCTGGGGCTGGAAAGGTGGCTCAGTGGTAGAGTGCTTGCCTTGCATGAATGAGGCCCTGGGTTCGATTCCACAGCACCACATAAGCAGAAAAAGCCAGAAGTGGCCCTGTGGCTCAAGTGGTAGAGCGCTAGCCTTGAGCTAAAGGGCTGAGGGACAGCACCCAGGCCCAGAGTTCAAGCCCTACAACCGACAAATAAATAAATAAATAAGCTTTTAGGGAATCAGTAGGAAAAGAGTATTGTATTTTTGGCTTATGTCTGAGCTCATTTTCTTTTCAGGAACACAAGGTAGATTTTATATTAGGAAGGTATTATATTTTGAGAGTAAGACAGATATTTACACAATGCTTGGCTGACTATAAAGCATATGTCAAATCACTGAGATTGAATCTCATTTAATCTTTGTAACAATTGATCTTTAAGTTCTTTTTTTTTGGGGGGGGGGGGGGGGGTTGGGTCGTGAGGCTTGAACTCTAGGCCTAGGAGCTGGCCCTCAGCTCTTCAGCTCAAGGCTAGCGCTCTACCACTTGAGCCACAGCGCCACTTCCGGTTTTTTCTTTTTTGTTATGTGGTGCTGAGGAATCGAACCCAGGGCCTCAGGCATGCAAGGCAAGCACTCTACCACTGAGCCACCTTCCCAGCCCCTGATCTTTATGTTCTAATGAGAAAACTGAAGCAAAGAAATATTAAACTGGGGTTAGCAATGTAGCTTAGTGGTGGAGTGCTTGCCTAGCATGCATGAAGTCATGGGTTCTATTCCTCAGCACCACATAAACAGAAAAGGCCAGAAGTGGCACTGTGGCTCAAGTGGTAGAGTACTAGCCTTGAGCACAGAAATACTCAGGGACAGAGCCCAGACGCTGAGTTCAAGCCCCAGAACAGGATCAAGACAGGTAACTGGTAAATGAAAGTGTAATGTTTGGATCCCAGACTTTAGATTTTTTTTTTCTTTTTTTTGCCAGTCCTAGGGCTTGAACTCAGAGCCTGGATACTGTCCCTGAGCTTCTTTTGCTCAAGGCTAGTGCTCTACCACCTGAGCCACAACACTACTTCTGTTTCCTTTTCTGTTTATGTGGTACTGAGGAATTGAACCCAGGGCTTCAAGCATGCCAGGAAAGCACTCTAACCCTAAGCCACAATCCCAGCCCAGACTTCAGAATTCTAAATTCCAGGTTCCCACTCTACAGTTTTTGTTCTACTGCAATATTTTGAATATTTAAAGAATATTTGAGTTCTCTATGAGAAATATTTTAGTTTTTTATTTTCACCTCAATGATAATTCTAAAATAAAATAATGGGGTTACTGTGTGCCAGCAGTTCATGCCTGTAATACTAGCATCTCAGAAAGCTGAGATCTAAGGATCTGGTTCGAAGCCAGCCCAGGTAAGAAAGTCTGTGAGACTCATATCTCCAACTAACCAGCAAAAAAAACAGAAGTGGAGGTATAGTTCAAGTGGCAACCTTGAGCAACAAAACCTAAAGGACAAAGTGCCTCGTCCTCAAGTTCAACCCCTCAGTACTGAGGAAAGGGGGAAGAATATAAGCAGCACACTAGATTATGGAATCATGGCATGGAAACAGCTATGTACTGACATAGTATTTCCTAGAGGCATCACTCTAAAGGTAGAGTACCTGTCTAGCAAAGCTCTGAGTTCAAATTCTAGTACTGTCAAACATCATAAGCTCGACAGTGATAATGTTGAAATATGTAGTCCTATCTTAATAGCTACAAATTAATGAAAAAATACAAAAGAAAATATGAAACAAAAAATACTAGCCAAGCACTGGTAGCTCCAGCCTCATGTCTGTAATTTGAGCTACTCAAGAGGCTTAGATCTGAGGATGAGTATTCAAAGCCAGACCAGCAGGCAAAGAAGTCCATGAGACTATCTAGCCTTAAGCAGAAAAGCTCAGGGACAATGCCTAGGTCCTGAGTTCAAGACCCATGACCAGAAAAAAAAAAACAGCCAGTGTTAAAACAGGGCTGGAGACATAGCTCAACAGTAGCACACTTGCCTAGCAAGCTTCCGGCCCTGGAGTACCTCAACACCATCAAAAAAGAATATTAGGCTGGGAATGTGGCTTAGTGGTAAGGTGCTTGCCTAGCACGCATGAAGCCCTGGGTTAAATTCCTTAGTACCACACAAACAGAAAAAGCTGGAAGTTGCACTGTGGCTCAAGTGGTAGAGTGTTAGCCTTGAGCAAAAGAAGCTCAGAGACAGTGCCCAGGCTCTGAGTTCAAGCCCCAAGACTAGCCAAAAAAAAGTATTAATAGAGTGAGTGTTACATAAGCAAAGGTTTGACATTGAAGTAGTCTGAAACAAATACTGTAACTAAGTTTTTGATGCAGTAGATGTGTGATATTATTTCTAAGTTGTTAGGTGATGCTCATGATTGATACTCTGAAAATTACTGGAATAGAGAAAAGCGGCCCACAGACAGAACAGGCATGCTAAATTGCAAACAGCACAAAGGTCATCATAATTAAGAAAAAAGCTGCCATGGGTAGTAATTTATTTCAGCAAAGCATTATCTTATTATTTATTAATATTAAAATGGTTTAGTATTAGCTAACATTAACTTCATTTGTTTTTATAGTTTGTTGTTTTGGACATGCTGGAGCTTGAACTCAGAGCCTGGGCATTGTCCCTGAGCTTCTATTGCTCAAAGTTAGCACTCTACCACTTGATCCATAGCCAGCTTTTTCTGTTTATGTGGTATTGAGGAATTGAACCCAAGGCTTCATGCATGCTAGGTAAGCACTCTTCCACTAAGTCACATTCCAAGCCCATTTTTTTTTTTGGTCCGGTCGTGGGGCCTGGACTCTGGGCTTGGGCACTGTCCCTCAGCTCTTCAGTTCAAGGCTAGTGCTCTACCACTTGAGCCACAGAGCCACTTCTGGTTTTTTCTTTTTTGCTTATGTGGTGCTAAGGAATTGAACCCAGGGTCTCATGCAGGCACTCTACCACTGAGCCACCTTCCCAGCCCTCCCAGCACGTTTTTATAGTTTTATTATTGCTATATGCAGTAATTTAGTTTCAGCAAAATGTCATTTTAATATTAATTTCATTTTGTTTCATAGTTTTATGTTTTTAATTGATAATACTGTTTTAATTTCATAATTATCTGAGTTCTAACTATTAGGTCTATAAAGAATTTTTGTTTTAGCCGGGCGCCAGTGGCTCAAACCTATAATCCTAGTTACTCAGAAGGCTGAGATCTAAGGACTGGGTTTCAAAGCCAGCCTGGGCAGGAATGTTCATGAGATGTTAACCACCAGCAAACCAGAAGTGGTGTTGTGGCTCAAGTGGTAGAGCACTCGCCTGGAGCTGAAGAGCTGAAGGATAGTGACCAGGTCCAGAGTTTAAGACCCATGACCAATAAACAAACAAACAAAAAAGTTCTTTTTACATATTTGAAGAATATTATGATAAAAACGAGGACATGTATTTAGAGGCATATTTAATGCAGACTAAATGCAACTCAATTTTTTTTTTTCATTGCAAAAGTGTTCATTCAGGTGGCCGGGTATTGGTGGCTCATGCCTGTAATCCTAGCTACTCAGGAGGCTGAGATCTTAGGATCGCACTTCCAAGCCAGCCCAGGCAGGAAAGTTTGTCAAACTCTTCTCTAATTAACCACCAGAAAATCAAAAGTGACACTGTGGCTCAAGTGGTAAAATGCTTGCCTTGAGCTGAAGAGCTTAGGGACAGTGCCCATACCCAGAGTTCAAACCCCACAACTGACCAAAAAAAACCCCCAAAAGTGTTCAAGTATTCTAGCTTGAGTCATTTGTTAAGAGTTTAAACCTGTTCTTGCCAGCTACTGGATGAGCATATGTTCATGTAATGAGCTTTATTTTTTTTTTTGTCGGTCATGGTCTTGAACTCTGGGCTGGGTGCTGTCCCTCAGCTCTTAAGCTGAGGGCAAGCGCTTTACCACTTGAGCCACAGAGCAATTCTGGTTTTCTGGTCTTTTATTGGAGATTAGAGTCTCACAGACTTTCCTGCCCAGGCTGGCTTTGAACCCCAATCCTTAGATCTCAAACTCCGAGTAGTAGGATTATAGGTGTGAGCCATTGGTGCCCGGCTGTAATGAGCTTTTAAATAAAGAATAAAAAGGAAAAAAATTTCAAGATATCCTCAAGATTTTTTCCTTTAAAAAGTGCTCTAATATTAAAGTTGAGAGCTAAAAATAATTCTGTTGATTTTGTACACAAGTTTGGCACAGCCATGTTATTTTACAGAAAAAAGACAAACAATTTATACATTTCTAGCCTTCTCACCAATAAAGTAATTTGGATTATATACAATTCAAAATATGTTCACTAACAAAATATGGTCACAATTTCTGCATAGAATACTAGAAAGGAAAATGCTATAGGAGTCTCACCATTGCTGCTGGTTTTTGCATTCTTTGCCAGTTGTGCACGAGTAGCAGCAATCAAACTGTCATGGGCCAACTCCTGAACCCGGAGAAACCATGGAATGCTACTGTCCGTGCTCTCATTGGAGAGGAAATCATTCCCTGAGTCTTCTGCCTCATCCTGTACAAATACTAAGTGCTCAGCTGAAGAGCCCAGACCTGGAAGAAACAGGAGATAAGTAAAAGTTAACTAACAATTCTTTCATTTGTCTTGGTGCAGAAACATTGTGTCCTGAATTAGCTATTTCAGATCTTTGTTTTTCTCCCCCAAGTTTCTTTTAGATTATTCGGCTACCATTCTTCTACTCTCATCTCACAAGCTCTTGTTTCCGAGGCAAAGGTGTATCCGAATACTACTCTTTTGCCAGTCCTGGGGCTTGAACTCTGGGCCTGGGGACTATCCCTGAGCTTCTGGCCTTTTCTGTTTATGTGGTACTGAGGAATCGAACCCAGGGCTTCACACATGCTAGGGAAGTAGTTCAGATTACTAAATCACATTCCCAGCCCCACAATCCTATTCTTCAGTCATCCCTTTATTATGTTCTCTCCCATCTGCAACCAGATTTTCCGTACAGCCTTTAACTGAGTCCTAGCTCTAGTTTTTCCCATCTTATTGTTTGTGGTACTGGGATTTAATTGAGGTTTGATCTCAGAGATTCCAGCTTCTTAGGCATCAACTTGAGGCACTCTCCAGCCCTGTCCATGTTTTTTTTGTTTGTTTTTAGGTCTAGTCGTGGGGCCTGAACTCTGGGCCTGGGCACTGTCCCTCAGCTCTTCAGCTCAAGGCTAGTGCTCTACCACTTGAGCCACAGCACCACTTCCGGCTTTTTTCTTTTTGATTATGTGGTGCTGAGGAATCGAACCCAGGGCCTCATGCATGCAAGGCAAGCGCTCTACCACTGAGCCACCTTCCCAGCCCTGTTTGTTTTGTTTTTTAATGTTAGTCCTGGCACTTGAACTCAGAACCTAGAAATTGTCTCTGAGTTTTTCTGTTCAAGGCTGATGCTCTACCACTTAAGCCACAGCTCCACTTCTGGCTTTCTGGTGTTTAATTGGAGATAAGAGTCTCATGACTTTCTTGACTGAGCTGCCTTTGAACAGATCTCCAATCGCAGCCTCTTGGCTACAGGTGTGAGTCACCAGTGCATCACTATTTTTAAAATAGAAAATCAACTATTTTTCTAGCTATTATCTTTTTTACTCCCTCACTTTTTTCCTTCCTTCCTTCCTTTTCTTTTTCTTAGTCATGGAGCTTGAACTCTGGGCCTGGGTGCTGTTCCTGAGCTCTTCAGCTAAAGGCGAGCACTCTACCATTTAAGCCATAGCACCACTTCCAGTTTTCTGGTGGTTAATTGGAGATAAGAGTCTCAAGGAGGGCTGGGAAGGTGGCTCAGTGGTAGAGCGCTTGCCTTGCATGCATGAGGCCCTGGGTTCGATTCCTCAGCACCACATAAGCAAAAAGAAAAAAGCCGGAAGTGGTGCTGTGGCTCAAGTGGTAGAGCGCTAGCCTTGAGCTGAAGAGCTGAGGGACAGCGCCCAGGCCCAGAGTTCAGGCTCCACAACTGGACCCCAAAAAAAAAAAAAAAGAGTCTCAAGGACTTTCCTGCCTAGGCTGGCTTTGAACCATGATCCTCAGATCTCAGCCTCCTGAGTAGCTAGGATTACAGGCATGAGCCACCAGTGCCCTGCTGTATTCACTTTCTTAATATCTATTTCAACCTAACTTCTACCTTTACCATCCCTATAACAATTTTTTTGTTAAGATCAACAGTTACATGTCATCTCTGTAGCCCACCCTGTAGTATTTGGAATGAGTTAGTATCTTTGCTTCCTTAAAGATTTTCTTCCTTTGTCTTCCTATCTACCTTGCCCAGTTCTCTCCGTCACCTTCCAGCTGATCCTTTTCATTCTTCTGTTGTTTTTCCTCCATACTTGCCTTTTTTCTGTTTGCTTCAAACTTCCTTTGAATGAAAGAATCCATACTCACTCATTTTCTGCATGCTGCTAGCTACCAGACCTCTTTTACAATTCTGGATTCGTCTTTCTAATTGTCTAAAGAATATTTCCTTCTGAATATTCCTCCAAAATCTCAACATCAACAGACACAAATCATTCTTCCTCTGGGACTTGTTCTTTCTGTGCTTACTACCTAAGCAAATAGTACATAATTTCCTAAACAATAAATACTTCAGTTACCAGGTGTGTGGAGATAGCTGTCTATAATCCCAGCCCCTGAGAGGCTCAAGCAGGAATATTACATCAAGATTCAACTGAGCTATAGAGCAAGACTTTGTTTCAAAAGCAAAGATAAAAAGAAAAAAAAGGTTAATCATTCTAGACTCTACACATTCAATTGATTCATCACCAGACCACACCAATTCCCCAAAATAATAAAGCTTCTTTTAATTTTAAGTACAAGTGAGTTAAATATGTCTCATTCTCAATTCTATTTCTTTTCTTTTACCAATCCTGGCGCTTGAACTCAGGGCCTGGGCACTGTCCCTGGGCTTCTTTTGCTCAAGGCTAGCACTCTACCACTTGAGCCACAGCACCACTTCCAGCTTTTCTGTTTATGTGGTATTGAGGAATTAAACCCAAGGCTCCATGCATGCTAGGCAAGCACTCTACCAGTAAGCCACACTCCCAGGCCTCAATTATTTTTTTTAAGAATGTGAATTTTAAAAAAGAATAAAGAATACCTGCTCTTGTTAGGTTAAGAAGAATAAAAGAAGTGCTATCACTTGGTTGTAGATCTTGCAATAAGCTAGGAGAGTCTGGAGTGGACAAAAACTCCGGGGACTTTTGTACAGTGTGAGCCCTTGTCTCCTCTCCGTCTGGCCCCACATTCACCTGAAGACTTCTCAATACAGCCGAGGAAGTTACCTCCTTGGAGGAGTTAGTATGACTTGTAGTATCATCTAGTAAAGGGAAAATACCACAGCTATATATAGTTGCCATCTCCAAGGATCTCAACATTTTGATACATAGACTTAAAAAACCATGTGACATCCCTTAGCATCTTACCACCCTTACAGGAGCAGACAGCAGTCTCAATTTGCAAATAAAAAAATTGTCTCAGAGAAGAACAGAGATAGCCTTGAAGTTCTTTAAAGGTAGTTGCCAAAATGTGATGACACTGGGCCTAACTAATAACCAACCATTCCTATTTGGATTATTTCATAAATTAGTCCTCTTTAAAGCCAGAAAAGTACTTTTCCTTTTTTTTTCCCCCCTTGTCTGTCATGGAGTTTGAACTCAGGGCTGGACACTGCCCCTAAGCTTTTTTACTCAAGGCTAGAGTTCTACCACTTTAAGCTACATGACAACTTTTGGTTTTCTAGTAGTCAATTGGAAATAAGTCTCACAGACTTTCCTGCTCTGGCTGGCTGTCAACTATGAACTTCAGATCTCATCCTACTAAGTAGTTAGAATTACAAGCATGAGCCTCTGACACCCAGCCAGTACTTTGTCCTTTAAAAATAGATCTATACAATAAATACTCAGTAATAGAATCTAAATGTTGTTATTTTCTTGCAGTGAAACCCTACTCTTTTAACTTTTTTCTTTTCTTTTCTTGGCTTGAACTCAAGGCCAAGTCACTGTTCATTACTCAAGGCAGCTGATGTTCTGCCACTTGAGCCATAGCTCCACTTGTGGCTTTTGGTGAATAATTGGAGTCTCAGACTTTCTTGCCTGGGCTAGCAGACCTGCAATCCAAGATCAGCTCAGATTAGAGGTGTGAGCTACCAGCACTGAGCTAGTACAATGCATCTTGTTCAGTATCGCCTACTCCATCTCTCCCCTTCATCTATCTCAACTCCACCCACCTATCCCCCCTCAAGTTACCTAGTTCCATTTTCACATATGTACAATGAGTATTATAACTATACTCACCCACCGTTCCTCTCTTCATTCATCCATTCCCCAACATTTCAAATTTTAACCAAGGGTAAGAACATGAAAAATTCATAAAAAATGTCCTTGCTAATAATCAAATGTGAGTCCCTCTTCCATCCAAACCTAATCTCACCAACTATTTCCCCTGGAACCACCTTACCAATTATGTAGTATCTCTTTTTGTTTTCATCATCTTTTATTGGCTCTTTTCCATATAGCATGATACAACCCTCAGAACTAAAAACAATTACCTCACTTCTTTTTCTTTTCGTTGGTTGTGGGGCCTGAACTCTGGGCCTGGGTGCTGTCCCTCAGCTCTTCAGCTCAAGGCTAGTGTTCTACCATTTGAGCCACAGCGCCACTTCCAGCGTTTTTGCTTATGTGGTGCTGAGGAATCTAACCCAGGGCCTCATGCATGCAAGGCAAGAACTCTACCATTGAGCCACCTTCCCAGTCCTCTTTTTTTATAGCAAGAAAGCCTTCAGAAAATACTGTCTAGTTACTTCTTCAACTATACAATGCACTTTGCACTGTTACTGCAAGTCCCTGAGCCTAGCTTTCTAACATCCCCATCTTTCCTCCATGAACTACCAAGGTTAATGATCCCCTCCTTTTAGTTCTGTCTTATGGCTCAGGAACATTTGACATAGTATCTTCTCTTGGTGATATTCATCCATCTTCTCTACCCTACTTTATTCTCCTTCCCTCCGTTTTAGGCTGTCCTGTCTTAAATCCTTTATCTTCAGAAAGGCATTCCCCAGAGTTCTATTTTAGGCTTTGTTTCCCCACACTATATGGATGATCACGTCCATTATTATAGCTTAAAATACTTATGCAAAATAGAAAACTTTTAAATATTGAAAACTCATATACTATTAAACTCATCCTATGTTAATATAAAAACATTAATGCACTTATTTCTACGGCTACTTTTTGTCAATGACTTTTTTTTTTTTTTGTCAATCATGGGGCTTGAACTCTGGGGCTGGGTGCTGTTCCTCAGCTCTTCAGCTCAAGGCCAAGACTCTACCACTTGAGTCACAACCCTACTTCCAGTTTTCTGGTGGTTAACTGGAGCTAAGAGTCTCATGGACTTTCCAGCCCAGGCTGGCTTTGAACTGTGATCCTCAGATCTCAGCCTCCTGAGTAGCTAGGATTACAGGTGTGAGCCCCCAGGCCCACTTGTCAATGACTCAATATTTAGTTCCCAGTTTTCCATTCCATTCAACCTATTTTTGGCCAACTTTCTTCCTTTCCTTTCCTTTCCCCTCCTTCTCTTCCTTCCTTTCATTTTCCTCTTGGTCCTGAGGCCTGAACTCTTGGCCTGGGCTCTCTCCCATGGCCAACTTACTTTCTTTCTTTATTTTCCTCTTGGTCCTGAGGCCTGAACTCTGGGCCTGGGCTCTCTCCCTCAGCTCTTCAGCTCAAGGCTACCACTCTACCACTTGAGCCACAATGCCATTTCCGGCTTTTTCTGTGTATGTGGTGCTGAGGAATCGAACCCAGGGCCTCATGCTTGCCAGGCAAGTACTCTACCACTGAGCCAACTTTCCAGCCCCCCAAGTTTATTTTTACCTGGTAACATTAGCCGGCTGCATTCTGAGGGTTCAGTCACCGGAAGGAGGGATAAACAAGTAATGTCCTTAGCTTCTGCTTCTACTAGCCCCTGTCCCAATGGGATGGAGGTATTCTGAACAAACTGAACCAGGAGCTGAGGAGGGGGTTAACAGGTGGAAAGAACAACACTGAGAAACAGAGGTTGGTAGGAATTATTCAAAGTCTAAATTTACCAAAAGATGATGCTCCAATTTAGTTTAGACTATTCACTAGTCACAGTTATATTCAAAGAAAAACTAGATTAACTACAATGTTTTAAGCTTATTTTTTCAAGTCCCTGTTCTCATGTAAGGCTTATGTATAAAATTAACTTCTGTCACTTTCCATCAAACAGAAATGATCAAAATAATTGTATTTTAAAATGATAGGCTATTTTTTAAAACTCAACTTTACTAACTACATCTTACAAAAGCATTTTCCTGGATATTGGCTCATTTAGTTACCAATCCCATTAAATCAGTAAGGTATTAAATGAATTGTCCAAGATCACACACTACATAGGATCAATGCCAGATTCAAATTTAAGTAATCTGATTTCAAATTCATTAACCTTTCTACTATTCTATAAGAACTCTCTAAAATTAAAATGAGAAAAATAAAAAAAAGTCAAAAGCACTTAAAATTCCACATCATGTTTAGAATGAAAATGTTTTATACAAAATAAAAGAATGGTCTGTGGTAGCAAATATTTTTACGTGCATATACACATACATATGCATACAAAGTACTTCATTATTATATAATTAAGTTTAATTTTATACTTCTGTAACAAATACAACGGGGCTCACATCTGTAATCCTAGCTACTCCAGAGGCTGAGATATGAAGATCAAGGTTCAAAGGCAGCCTGGGAATACATTATCTCCAACTAACCAGCAAAAATACCAGACTGGAGTTGTGTTTCAAGTGGTAGAGAACCCACCTTGAGCAAAACACTGAGCAAAGAATGTTAGGCCCTAAGTTCAAGCCCTTTTACTTACAAACTCTAGAAAAGATAATAAGGTATTCTTAAATTTTTGAGGAAATACTCAATAACCAAAAAAAAAAAAACAACAACAAGAAAACAAAAAACAAAAACCCTAATACAATCAAAAACCATTTGGCTCACAAAATCTGAAGTATTTACTATCAAGTAAAACCTAAAGTATTAATATCAAAGTTTACTGGTCCCTATACTAAGGATAAACTGAAATATAAACCAAACAAAAGAAAAGGAAACAAGCTGGGAGGGCTTACCTCTGGTTTGGATTCTAACTCATCTGATAACATTGATTCAGCTTCCAAAATCCTGTTGCTGTTCAGGGAACAGATTCAAATTTAAGTCAGAGTTCCTGTTATGTTCATAGTCCTCTAGGAAAAACTATATGCTCTTCCTTTAAGATGCTGAACTGGGCTGGTTATCAACTTAAACCTATAATAGATTTAAAAAAGAGAAAGACATATTAAAAGAAATAGGAAAGCATTGTGGTTTATTTTATTTTATTTTTCGGTCTTGGGTCTTGAACTCTGGGCCTGGGTGCTGTCCCTGAGTTCTTCAACTCAAGGTGAGCACTCTACCACCGAGCCACAGCGGCACTTCCCGTTTTCTGATGGTTGGCTTGGACCTCATCTTTAATTTGCAAATTGACATTAGCCAATTTGTGAAATATATTAGCCAGTAGTGTGATGTCAAATATCCAATTAAATGTATTCCTATTCCCAATTGATTCCATTACTCATTTAACAGATTCTTTTAAAAAAGCATATCTTGGGGCTGGGAAGGTGGCTCAGTGGTAGAGCGCTTGCCTTGCATGCATGAGGCCCTGGGTTCGATTCCTCAGCACCACATAAGCAAAAAGCCGGAAGTGGCGCTGTGGCTCAGGTGGTAGAGTGCTAGCCTTGAGCTGAAGAGCTGAGGGACAGCACCCAGGCCCAGAGTTCAGGCCCCACAACTGGACCCCCCCCCCCAAAAAAAATAATAAAATAAAAAAGCGTATCTTGCACCGGGCGCTGGTGGCTCATGCCTGTAATCCTAGATACTCAGGAGGCTGAGATCTGAGGATCGCGGTTCAAAGCCAGCCCAGGCAGGAGAGACCCTGAGACTCCTATCTCCAATAAACCACCAGAAAACCGGAAGTGGCGCTGTAGCTCAAGTGGTAGAGCGCTCGCCTTGAGCTGAAGAGCTGAGGGACAGTGTCCAGGCCCAGAGTTCAAGCCCCACGACCGACACACACACACAAAAAAAGCATATCTTGGGCCGGGAATGTAGCTTAATGGTAGAATGCTTGCCTAGCATGCATGAAGCCCTGGGTACCTCAGTACCACATAAACAGAAAAAGCTGGAAGTGGTCCTGTGGTTCAAGTGATAGAGCTCTAGCCTTGAGCACAGAGAGGCTTAGGAACAGAGCCCAAACCCTGAGTTCAAGCTTCAGGACCAACAAAAATAAATGCATATCATGTGTGTGTGTGTGTGCGCGCGCACATGCAGCAGTACCAAGGTTTGAACTCGGGGCCTCTCACTCACTCTAGCTCAGCTTTATTTCTCATAGCTACTGCTCTAGTATACCTCTAGTCCAGTTCTTTTCTTTTCTTTTTTTTCCCTTGTGCCAGTGCTGGTGCTGTCCCTGAACTTTTTTGCTCAAGGCCTGTGCTCTACCACTTGAGCACAGTTCTGCTTCAAGCTTTTTTGGTGCTTCATTGGGGGTAAGTGTCTCTCATTAACCCCTTTTTTTTTTTTTTTGGTCGGCCATGGGGCTTGAACTCTGGGCCTGAGTGCTGTCCCTCAGCTCTTCAACTCAAGGTTAGTGCTCTATTGCTTGAGCCACAGTGCCACGTGCAGTTTTTGTCATTTATTGGAGATAAGAGTCTCACAGACTTTCCTGCTCGGGCTGGCTTTGAACTGCAATCCTCAGATCTCAGCCTCCTGAGTAGCTAAGATTACAGGTGTGAGCCACCAGCACCTGGCTCTCTCATTAACCTTACCCAGGCTGGCTCTGAACTATGATCCACAGATCTCAGCCTCCTGAATATCTAGGATACAGGAATGAGCAACCAGGGTCTATCTACTTCAGCTTCATTTTCTAGTTACAAATAATCAGATGAGGTGGAGTTTCCAAGGTTTTTCTGCCTAGGGTGACTTTGAACAATGGTTCTCCAAGTCCTCAGTATTCTGAATAGCTAGGATTATAGGTGCCCAGTTAAAAATGAAAATACTTTAAAAACTGAATTTTGGGCTGGGAATGTGGCTTAGTGGTAGAGTGGCTTGTCTAGCATACATGAAGCACTGGGCTCAATTCCCCAGTACCACATAAAAAGCTGGAAGTGGTGCCGTAGCTCAAGTGGTAGAGTGCTAACCTTGAGCAAAAGCAGCTCAAGGACACTACCCAGACCTGAGTTCAAGCCCCAGGACTGGCAAAAATAAAAATAAAAAATACTGAGTTTCATTGAGACAGAGTTCACAAAACATACAATTCATCTATTTTTAAAAATAAATAAAATGTGATCAATTGGTTGGTTGAATGCCAGTACCTAGGGTTTGAAATCAGGGCCTTGAACTCTTGTTTTTTTGTTTTTTTTCTATTTTTCATTCATGGTTGATACACTACCATCTGTGCCACACATCCAGCTTAGCTTTTTTTTTGGGGGGGGGGGGTGAGGGGGGCTGGTTAATTGAAGATGTTAGACTTTTCTATCCAGACTGCTTAGATTCTGAGTAGATATGATTGATTACAGGAATGAGCCACTTGTGCCCAGCTTTGAGCATAGTTTCAAAAACTACTTATAAGCTAGTTCCATTATCTCTGTAATTTCTATGTGACTGAGGGATTTGGGATTTTTTGCGGGGGGAGGGTGTGAGGGCGTGGGTCATGGGGCTTGAACTCTGGGCCTGAGTGCTGTCCCTCCAGCTTTTCAGCTCAAGGGAGTGCCCTACCATTTGAGCCACAGCGCCACTTCCGGTTTTCTGGTGGTTATTTGGAGGAAAGAGTCTCACAGACTTTCTCGCTGGCTGGCTTGAACTGTGATCCTCAGATCTCAGCCTCCAGAAGCTAGGATTACAGGCATGAGCCATCAGTGCCTAGCTTGAGGGATTTCCCCCCCACCTTTTTTTTTTTTAGTGGGAAAGCACTGTACTGGGGCTTGAACTCAGGTCCTCCCATTGAGCTATATGCTTCCAGTTCCATGGGTCTTTTTTTTTTTTTTGGTCGGCCGTGGGGCTTGAACTTTGGGCCTGGGCACTGTCCCTCAGCTCTTCAGCTCAAGGCAAGCGCTCTACCACTTGAGCTACAGCGCCACTTCCGGTTTTCTGATGGTTTATTGGAGATAGGAGTCTCACGGTCTCTCCTGCCTGGGCTGGCTTTGAACCGCGATCCTCAGATCTCAGCCTCCTGAGTAGATAGGATTACAGGTGTGAGCCACCAGCGCCCAGCCCATGGGTCTTTCTATAACTAATTTTCCTTTTGTTTATGGATCACATTTTGTTGATCCTTTAACTATCTTTTTTTTTTCCTTTCTCAGTGCTAGGGAATCAAACCCAGGGCCAGCTGAACTACTACATCTTCAACCTGGCTATTTTTTTATTTTTATTATTGTGAAAATACCGTATAGAGGGGTTACAATTACACGGGCAAGATAAAGAGTACATTTCTTTTTTTTGTTGTTGTTGTTGGTTGTGGGGCTTGAACTCTGGGCTTGGGCACTGTCCCTGCGCTCAAGGCGAATGCTCTACTGCTAGAGCCACAGCGCCACTTCCGGTTTTCTAGTGGTTTATTGGAGATAAGAGTCTCATAGACTTTCCTGCCCGGGCTGGCTTTGAACTGAGATCCTCAGATCTCAGCCTCCTGAATAGCTAGGATTACAGGTGTGAGCCACCAGCACCCAGCATGAGTACATTTCTCATCAAGCATTGTTGCCTCCTCCTTTGTTTCCCCTTCCTATCTCCCCCCACCCCACAAACCCTGGCAATTTTTATTGGATGTTGGAAATCACAAACTATACTTTGTTGAATGCTAGATTTTGTTCTCTTCCCTCAAAGTTTTAAATTATTTTCTGGGACACAGTTAAGTTAGTTGTGGATCAGTCTTCCTGGAAAGATTTGAACATTACCTTTCCAAATTAGTATGGGTACAATTAAAATGTTTGGGTGGCAAGTGTAATGGCTCACACCTGTAATCCTAGCTATTTAGGAGGCTGAGATTAGGAGGAGAGAGGTTCTAAGCCATTCTAGACAGAGAAATTCAAAAAACTCCATCTCAATGGAAAGAAGCTAAGCATGGTGGTGTGTGCCTGTCATTACAGACATAGAAGTCTAAAACAGTAGAAGCTAAAATAGGTAGATCATGGCCCAGCAGGCAGGAGACCTTACCTCAAAAATAAATGGTGCTCAAATGTCATGAGGTGGCTTTTCTTTTCTTTTTTTTGAATTTTCCATAATCTAAGGATTAATGATATTTATTCCACGCTAAAATGGGTCGACAAATAGTTCTAAAACAATAGATCTACTCAGCTTACCTAACCATCTAGACAAGTAAGTCAAGCACTGTTAAGTAAAATGTACTGATAATCTCCATTTCCCTTAGTGGGGGGGGGGAGGGGGGAATGGAGAGAGGAAGAGAGAGAGAGAGGGAAATTAGAAGGAGAGAGGGAGTGAAGGAAGTGTATGTGTGTAGAATTTAATGCTCCAGATGGCTGTTACTTTGCAGTCATCTTAGAATCCAGAAAGAGGATCACTTATACTCTTAATAACCTTTATTATGTTGGGAAGTTGGCTCAGTGGTAGAACGCTTGCCTTGCATGCCTAAGGCCCTGGGTTCGATTCCTCAGCACCACATAAGCAAAAAGCAAAAAAAAAAAGGCCGGGAGTGGCACTGTGGCTCAAGTGGTAGAACACTAGCCTTGAGCTGAAGAGCTAATTAAATAAATGGGCTGGGAAGGTGGCTCAGTGGTAGAGCGCTTGCCTTGCATGCATGAGGCCCTGGGTTCGATTCCTCAGCACCACATAAGCAAAAACAGAAAAGCCGGAAGTGGCGCTGTGGCTCAAGTGGTAGAGCGCTAGCCTTGAGCTGAAGAGCTGAGGGACAGCGCCCAGGTCCAAAGTTCAGGCCCCATGACTGGACCAAAAAATAAAATAAAATAAAATAACCCTTATTGTATCTTATTGTAACATGCCAGGCTCTTAGTAACTTTTATGGTATCTTATTGTAACAAGGTTCTACCAGGCCAATTCTGATACTAGAGGAATATCTACCACTTCAGAACAAGACTGACTTGGACTGTTGTAATTATGCATACATCCTCATACCTTGCCCCCCCCAAGTCTCCTATTTCATTGAAGGCCAATGTTTATGGCAGAGATGGTGGATTTAACATGATTTGTAATTTCTTTCTCTTCCATATTTCTGGTCTAATAAACTTTCCTGTCATTTGTACTAAAAAAAAAAAGTTTTTAAAAATAAATGATGCAAACAAAGGCTGAAGGAGAGGCTCAGCAGTGCCTACCAAGTGCAAGGCCCAGAGTTCAAACCCCTAGGAAAAGAAATGTTTATGAGATTCAGACAAGTTTAAGAATTCTGTTCTAGTCCAGACATGGTGGCTTACTCTTTTAACTCTAGACACTTCGGAGTGGAGATCAAGAGGATTGTGGTTCAAGGTCAGTCAGAGCAAAAAAGTTTGAGAAACTATATCTCAACCAATAAAAACTTGGTACTGGTATTGATGTACTGGTATAAAAAATCCTAGTAAGACTAGAAGTATAGGTAGGAACCTGTCCTGCCTGGCAGGAACTCAAGACCTCATTTGAAAAACAAAGCAAAAATATCTGGGGCTCAAGTGACACAATACCCACATAAGCACAGGGCTGAGTTCAGCCCAAAGTACTTAAAAAAAAACATGGGGCTGGGAACGTGGCTCAGTGGTAGAGCGCTTGCCTTGAATGCATGAGGCCCTGGGTTCGATTTCTCAGTACCACATAAGCAAAAAAGAAAAAAGCCAGAAGTGGTGCTGTGGCTCAAGTGGTAGAGCGCTAGCCTTGAGCTGAAGAGCTGAGGAACAGCGCCCAGGCCCAGAGTTCAGGCCCCACGACCGGACCCAAAAAGTAAAAAATAAAAATAAAAAATAAAAAAAACAACAACAAAACATGCCTTGCATGCATGAGGCCCTGGGTTCAGTTCCTCAGCACCACATAAGCAGAAAAAGCAGGAAGTGGCACTGTGGCTCAAGTGGTAGAGCACTAGCCTTGAGCTGAAGAGATGAGGGACAGCACTCAGGCCCAAAGTTCAGGCCCTGTGACCTACAAAAACAAAAGCCAAAAAACAAAAACAAAAACAAAACCCTTGTTCCATCCATCAAATACTTTGAAAAATAAATTTACAATTAATCTACCCAGTTAAACACCTTAAAGTTATTCTGTATCCATACACAACAGTGTATCAAATTTACCAATGTCCAAAATCCAGGTCATCTTGCCCACCAACTGTTTTTCCTTCTATATTAACCTTCTGAATAACTGCTCAATCTTCTTCTCACTCGTTGCAAATTCTAAGTCTAGCATTCTCTTTCATTCTTCATATTTAAAGAATCCCAATGATCGTGAGTAATCCAAATATTTCTATGGTGATGCTTTAGGTTTCTCATTTTTCAATTAACTACTATTTGAAGAGGCTTAACTGGTAACTTTGCCTTTAAAATTCTTCCTTCTAACCTATACTTTACCCAGCCACTCAAATTATCTTTCCAAAACATATGTCACTTTCCATACTTAAACTCCAGTGAATCTGAATGATAAAACCCTTGGGGGAGGGGGAACCCAAAGCTATAGATTAAGAAACTTACCTTAAATTTGACAGAACTTAGAGGCGAAGCTTAAGCTAGAACTCAAGTCGCCTGCTTGCTGGTTTAGGTGCCCTGTTTTATACCCACACTAAGACAACACAAAGTGGAATTTCTCACTGCCTAATAGCGAAATGTCTCTGACTTTATTTCATCACGTTTTTTTTTAAATTCTTTTTGCAACTATGACATTGACCCTGATGCCAAAGTGAGATGGAAGTATGTTTTCTTAACCCCAAGTTAATACCATTGATGCGTTACGTGCATTTCAGAGCCTCTGAGGAAGTGGGGTAAAGTTGACTAGACAGTCTCTTCTTGAGGAACTCGTGCCGTGGGCTGAGGTGCGCCGAGGCTGTAAACACAGGCCAGCGGGCGGCCCGAACTGACCAGCGGAGAAGCCGGCGGCTCAGCCCCGGTGAGTCCACAGCTGTCCCCATTCCAGACCAAAAAAGTACGTGGGGGCAGGAAAGGAGACAGCGGTCCCAGCCGGACCGTCCGGGGCCGGGCCCCCTGGGCGTCCGGCGCCCCCTCACAAAGGCCGGGCAGGCCCGGCGGCGGGGCAGACCCGGAGCCCCGCCCGGGGAACGCGTTCACTCCGGCGTCCTCAGGACGGTCCCGTCTCCACGCCCCCGACCCCCCAAACACGCAAAGGCGTCGAAACAGGTCCCCCGAAACCCCGCGTGGGGCAGGGCCGAGGCCGCGGGGCTTCAGCCCGGGCCGCTCGCAGGCCGCCAGATTAAGGACGGCTTCCCCAGGGGGGAGGCTTCCCTGTCCTCCTCAGGGGCAAGCTCGGCCCCAGCGCGCGGCGCGTCAGGAGGGGGTCCCCGGCTCCGTCGCGGGGACCCCTCGCTGGGCGGGCGTGGCCAGTCTCACCCCGAAGCTCACCTTCCCGTCCCGGGCAGCCGTCTGTCCGTCAGCGGGTGCCGAATTCCGTCCACATACGGCGTCTTCCGGCTCCCGCCGGAAGCAGCTCGAGCGCGGGACAGGAAGTTTGGCCGACCCCCACGCACACCCCCACCTCCTCCCTACCGCCGCCCGGCCTGACGGCTCCGGCTCCGGGTCCGAGCCCGAGCCCACGGGCAGCTCGCCGACTCCGCCTGGCCCGCGGCGAAGGGCGCGGCCCCCGACCGAGGAGCTGCGCGGGTCCCGGCCGGTCACTCACTCTGGCCTTCGGGGCTTCTGGGTCTGCGAAGCCCGAAAACCGGGTCAGGGCGGCCTGGCCGTGACGTCACCGCCGCGCAGCCGGCGAGACCCGGTCCCGGGGCAGCGACCTCGAGCCTCTCCCCGTCCGCAAAGAAACTTCGCGTGGGACTGGGTATGAATTCAGGCTCGTGGAGAAGCCCCGGGGCTGGGTGCGGTGATGAGAGGCTGTAAGGGCCGGTTCCTGGCTGGGGTCAGCCCTTGTTAACCGGACCGGCTTTTGAGAGCGCTGGTCTTGGTGCCCGGGGTGGCGCCGGAGAATACGGAACTTGAAAATAGAGGCGGCGGGAATTAAAGCAGGGTTTTTGTTCTGTTTTGTTTCGGTTGTGGGGCTTGAACTCTGGGCCTGAGCTCTTCAGCTCAAGGCGGGCGCTCCACCAACTTGATCCACTTCCAGTTTTCTGGTGGTTAATTGGAGATGAGTCTCATGGACCTTCCTGCCCGGACTGGCTTTGAACCAGGATCCTCAGCTCTCAGCCTCCTGAGTAGCTAGTGTTAGCAGTCCCTCCGTAGCAGGCCCTCCGCCCCTCCCACTTCACAGTTTGTTTCGGTTCCCTGCTGCATCAGCGGAACACCTCCACCCAAACCTGAGCTCCAACCTGCTTCTCCCGAGGCTCCCACCAGTTTCTCCGGGATAGGTGGGCATTTGTACTCTATAGGTACGCAGAGTACCTCCCACCTCTAGTCCGAGTGTTAGAAGGAGGAGGCTGGATACTCCCGTGAGGGAGACAGCCCCTCTAATAAACCTCCTCCAGTATGTGATGGTGTCCGCGTTGTCTTCTGGGATGGCTGCTTACAGCTAGGATTACAGGTGTGAGCCACCGGTGCCGGCCAAATGTTTGCTTTTTAAAGAATTCCTTTACCTGGCGGCTCATACCTGTAATCCTAGCTACTAAGGAGGCTGAGATTGAAGACACCAGGAGCAGGAAAGGCCGAGAGACTTATCTCCAATTAACCACCAGAAAACCAGAAGTGGAACTGTGGCTCAAGTGGTAGAATGCTCGCCTTGAGCAAAAAAAAAAAGCTCAGGGACAGAGCCCAGGCCCTGAGTTCAAGTCCCGTGTGTAACGGGTGAGAGAGGAGTATTGGGTACGCAGTGTTTTAGGAGACTATTTCTCTTTAGACAACCAAGAGTTTGAGGTAGGAGGCATTTTTTTTTTTTTAACTTCGAAACTCAAGCAAATCACAAATGGAAAAGTAGCTTGGGGAGTTATCAATATACAGAGAAGAGTCCCTTCAAGAAAGGAAACAAGCACTAATAAGTACATCAGTGCATCTTTAGCATTCAGGTTTGCAACCATTGGTTAATTTGCCCAGTCTCATGATTTTCCTAAGGTGTCTCTGTTTTCTTGTGTTATGGGGCGTTTTTGGTGCTCAGGATTGAATTGAAGATCACTGCTGAACCAGTGAGCACCACCTCAGCCGCAGCCTCCACCCTCTCCTCCCCATTGTTTTTACTAGTAAATTCCAAGTGATATTCATGTGTCTTCTTGCCCTCCATTTTAGGACTATTTGACAGTGTAACTGCTGAATATAAAAGAAGCATATGCTCCTATCAATATACAGTGTAGTATTAAAGTGCTATACATTAAATTATTTGGCAAAACACACATCTGGTCTCTTGGTCTCTCCATAAACTCAGCTTACATTATTTATCATCTCATACTATTCTGAACCAAGATCCTCTGCTCTTACACCCCAAAAGTTTTCCACCCTCAAGCTTTACATACATGTTATACCATTCTCTTTTCCATCTATTTGGAAAGACCATCCCAATTCTGTTGTTACGCAAGTTTCAATTTAAGAATTGTAAGACTTTTTTCAAATAAATGTTTACTGTTTCTCACAATAGAATGATTATTCAATTTTAAATACAAGTTAATTTTAAAATCGATTGCATATGACCAATTAACAGTTGTATTAAGTCTCCAGTAGTTCCAGAATATCTGATACAAATATCACCTATTAGTTTTAATCAGAAAAGTAGCCAGGTATGGTGGTACATTCCTGTATATCTCTAATTCCAGCACCTGGAATTAATCCCAGCACTCCTGCTAAAGTAGAATCATAAGTTCAAGGTCAGCCTGGACTGCATGGCAAGAGCTTGTCCCAAAAGCAAAACAAAAAGAAGAAGAAATAATGTTGAAAGTAATCACGTTAAATATAGTGTGCATATGTGAAATATTTAGATAAAACAGAATTATGTGACCAAACAGCTTAATGATTACTAAAAAATCATTAAGAACTGTTTATATTCTTAAATTTTAAGGCATAGCTCAAGTGGAAGAGCACCAACTGTCCTTGAGAGAAAAAGCCCAGTGACCTGATGCTCTGAGTTTAGCCCCCATACCATCTCGAAAAGAAGAAAACCTGAAAAATGTTATTTCCTTGATGAAGATGTACATAGATTATAAAGAAGCATCTTCTGAAATGCAGACTATCTGCTTTCCAATGTTACCTCCTGTCATCATGGATTGGAATGCAGCTGAAAATTAAAAAAAACAAAAAACAAAAATCAGGTTATCTGAAAAGAAAAATGTCACCAACATTTTTATCAGAAAGTCAGACAAAATTATTTTGAACGATTTTTTTCAACAATATTAATTTATACATAAAAAGCTTATAAAAAGGAAGCCCCACATGGTGGCACATGCATGTAATTCTAGTATTCTAAAGGCTGAGGCAAGATGATTCTGAGTTAGCAATTACCAGGTGAGTTCAAGGGTAACCTAGGATATATAGTAAATATGTCTCAAAAGCCAGAGGAAGTAGAGGAGGGAAGTCTGTCATAAAAGAAACACAACTGTTAAAAAGTCATCTGGGTACCAGTGACAGAGGCTTGTAATCCTAGCTTTTCAGGAAGCTGATATCTGAGAATCACTGTTTGAAGCCAGACTGACCAGGAAAATCCATCAGAGTCTTACCTCCAATTAACCAGCTTTTTGAAGCTGAAGTAGAGGAGTGGTTCAAGCAGTAGAGTTCTAGCCTTAAGTGTAAAAGCTAAGGGACAATGCTTGGACCCTGAGGTCAAGCCCTAGTATTGGCATTAAAAAATAAATAAAAATAAAAAACACATGGGCTATGGATATAGTCTAGTGATAGAGTACTGGTGTAGCATGTGCATGGCCATGAGTTTTACCTCCAGCAACATAAAAACAAAAAGAGAAAAATGAGCATGAGTTTGAGCTCCAACACCACAAAATAAATATAAAGAGAAAAAATAATCCTGGGTATAATTCAGTGGTAGAACCAGTATTTAGTATGCAAGAGGCCAAAGGTTCAATTTCTAGAACCAAGAAAAAAGGAAAACAAACTCATCTGACAGCATTAAAGGAATGAGCACGTATGTATAATCTACATTTATCTTACCTCCCATGTTTTCCAATCCATTTATCACAGTCTCTTTGATCTATAAATAAAAATAGCTAGATTTAGTACTCCTATGTTTTTACTTAGCAATTCCCACTTTTTTTTTTTTTTTTTTTTTTTTTTTAAAATATAATTTTATTGTTATTATTTTTTTATTGTGAAAATACCGGACAGAGGGGTTACAATTAAATGGGCAAGATAATAAGTACATTTCTTTTTTTTTTTTTTTTTTTTTTTTATTTTTTCCTCCCTCCCTCCTTGCTTCTCCAAAGCCCGCTCAGTGACCCCCTCGGGGCTGGGCTGAATTCCCACTTTTGTAAAAGGCAACATACTATTTAGAATTTTCCATCTAAAACTACTTATTTCTATGGATAACCCAGAAATGTTTCTTGTTGATATTTTTCCAACAAAATTTTATATGCCCATTGTCTAACACTCAGTTATTAACAGATCACAAGCTATATATTTGTTTAAAAAAAAATTCAGCCAGGCACCAGTGGCTCACCCTTAATTCTAGCAACCCAGAGGACTAAGACCTGAGGATCATGGTTCAAAGCTAGCCTGGGCAGGAAAGTCAGTAAGAGTCTTAATTTCCAATTAGCCACTAAAAAGCTATGGCTCAAGAGGGAGAGCACTGGCTCAAGAACATCCTAGAAGCTGGGGGCTGGTGGCTATGCCTGTAATCCTAACTACTCAGGGATCAGGAGGTTGGAAGCCAGCCCTAGCAGGAAAGTGGGGCTTGAACTCTGGACCTGTGCACTGTCCCTCAGCTCTTCAGCTCAAGGCGAATGCTCTACCACTTGAGCCACAGCAGCACTTCCTGTTTTCTAGTGGTTAATTGGAGATAAGACTTTCCTGCCCAGGCTGGCTTTGAACTGAGATCCTCAGATCTCAGCCTCCTGAGTAGCTGGAAGTACAAGCATGAGCCACTGGCGCCCGGCTGTGAGACTCTTATCTCCAATTAATCACAGAAAAAGCCAGAAGTGGTACTGTGGCTCAAGTGCTAGCTTTGAGCAAAAGGAGCCCAGAGATAACACCCAGGCCCAAAATTCAAACCCCAGGACCAGCCAAAACAAAAAACAAACAAACAAAAAAACACTCAAGAGGATGAACAAAATGACTCATACCTTTAATCCAACAAGGATCTTAGTTCAAGCCAGAACCCTTTTCAACAAATAGTTTCCAACTTATGATCCCATGTATTTCAGGAAATGTAGATAGAAGGATCCAAGTCCAGGCTGGCCCAAAGACAAAAACTGGGATAGTCTATGTAAAAAAATAACCTAAAGCAAAAGGGCCGATGTGTGGCTTAGTAGCTCAAAGCCCTGATTTGAACCTCAGCCCAAATCCTCCAGAAAAAGAACATCTAAGGAGCTTAGTAATTTGTCCTGTGACCCTTCAGCACAATGTTCTTTTTGCAGGCCCAGTGGGGAATGACATATTTCACTAGCAAGCCACAATTATGGAACCTAATGATTCCCCATATCAAGGTGGTGTATTTAACAATTCACTTTCCTATATACTACCCCTGCACACCACCTAAGGTCACATTTATCAGCCAAATATTATCAGTAATGGCAGCATTTGTCTTGATATTCTAAGGTCACAGTGGTCTCTTCTTTTGTATTTCTAGTTCTTTTACCCATTTGTATACTACTATGTGAAATAAACCCAACCACCTCCCTAGTGCCAGAGAAGAGATTGCACAGAGCTATAAAACAGAGTATCTCAGGAATGGACTTAGAAGCATGCCATGTGATGCTACCTTAAATTCAGAATAATCTGCATTATAGCTAGAATAAACTTTAAATTACTTTTATTGATTTTTTTTTCTTTTTTTTGATGGTTATGGGGCTTGAACTCTGGGCCTGGGTGCTGTCCCTGAGCAATTCAGCCGCAGTGCCACTTCTACTTCCAGCTTTCTCTGTGATTAATTGGATTTAAGTCTCACAGCCTTTCCTAACTTTGAATGTTGATACTCAAATCTCAGCCACCTGAGTAGCTAGGATTACAGGCAGGAGCCACCAGTGCATGGCTAGCAGGTTTTCTTTTTTTTTTTTTTGTCAATTTGGGGCTTGAACTCTGGGCCTGGGCACTCTCCTTGCGCTTTTCAGCGCAAAGCTAGCTCTCTACCACTTGAGCCACAGCACCACTTCCAGTTTTCTAGTGGTTAATTGGAGATAAGAGACTCACAGACTGTTCCTGCCCAGGATGGCTTTGAACCTCGATCCTCAGATCTCAGCTTCTTGAGTAGCTAGATTACAGGCGTAAGCCACTGGCTAGCAGGTTTTCTTTTTTTTTTTTAATGGAAAAGAGGCAAGAAAGCATTTATTAAAACTTTACCATGTGTGTATGCTAGCTAACTTTATAAACAGCACTTTAAAATTCCGACTGAATACTTCATTTTTGTTCTGTAAGAGTCTAGTTAGATTAGGTAAAATTCATTACAGGAATTACTGAAGTTTTAATACCATGCTATAACTAAACCTAGGAACTGTTTTTCTGGTGAGGTAAAATGAGGAAATTTCACACTTTCTTCCAAGCAAAATGAAAATATTCAGTTGATGGTAAAAATCGTAATTCCGGGTTTGTAAACTAGCATACCAGGCAAGGCGAATTCCCCCAGCTTCATCTGGGAATGTCCCAATCATCAAGCTGTAGCTTGATAGTACTTGTATCTTCCTCCAAATCTTTTTTCTCATCCAAACGGCCAGAGAGAAGGACGAAAGAGAACTTGGTCATTTCTTGCCTTTCCACTTGTCCTTGTCCTTGCCTTTACCTTTACCTTTCACATCCTTGACATCATCTTTCTCTTTCTTAGGCAGTTTGAAACTGCCAATTTCCCTCTGTACCACTGTGCCTCGCCACCAGGCCTGGAGCTTTATGATGCTCTTCAGTTCCAAGTCATCCTGTTCAATCGTCTTCCGAGTCTTCTCCTTTTCTATACGATCTTCCATAATGACTTGCTCATACTCCCTTATCATCTTTGCCAGTTCCTGAAGGTGTGCCAAGTCAGTGGCCTTTGCAGTCTGGAGAGCAGTTAATTGATTCTGTTTCATTTCTTTGTCTTTAGCAGGTTTTCTTAATTAGCAGGTTATAGTCATCTGGGAGGTAGTTTTATTTAGTATATACTTCTTTGAAGAATTTTTCACAACGAAGGAAATATATGCTACAGTAAATTCAAATAATATAAAAGTATACCAACTACCAAAAAGAATAATAGTGATGAAGAACAGTTTTACCTTTAACTTTCCTTCTTTAAACCACTGACTCAGCTGTAGAATGCCAGGCTCAAACTTATCCTTGTAATTTAACACCAGAAATCTTTCCCTTTAGTAAGAAAAAGATAATCATCAGAGAACACAATAGAAGTGAGAACCCAAAATCAAATATTCCTGCCTCTAATATCTGTTAATCCTTAAAATATTAAGATTTAGTCATACCAACTCTGCTCAGTTAAGTTTTAGATATAGTTACAAGTTTAAGTATAATAAACCTCTGCTGTTTATGTCTGTCTAGCAACTACAACCCTATTTAGCAACAGCATTACACATTTTCCTTAGGAGACACCACCTTCTTAAGACCTAACCCAGGAAAGTCAAAGCCCATAAAGCATTAGTTTTCTGAAAGCTAGGTAACTACAAGTTACCCATTGCACCAGTTTAAAAGTATATATTTTCAAGTTTTATTAAATAAGGAAAAACTAAGTGCAGAACGGTACATTTCATATACATGTAAGATAATTAAACCCCATTTAATGTGGTAATAAGAGCAAAGGAAAAGAACACACACCTTGTGATGTTTCTTTCCTTTTGTATTGCCTCTATGGCAGGGGGCAGAGGGGGAGGATAAGGCACATCTTTATTGTACTGGGAAATCTGACCACACAGGATGACGTGGCTGTTCTGATTCATCTGTACAGAGAACAATGGAATATTATACATAAAATAAATGCCTTCCCTAACAACTGATTTAATTGTTGCCTCAACAAAAGCCTCCTTGACCTCTATATTTAAACCTTTATTGCCAACTAACTGGGTTTGTTTTAAAGAGTTACCCATTTTATGGGATTTGTTTGTTTGTTATTGTCAGTCTTAGGTCTTGAACTCTGGGCCCGGGGGCTGTCTCTCAGCACTTCAGCTCAAGGCTAGCACTCTACCACTTGAGCCACAGTGCCACTTGCAGTTTTCTGGTGATTAATTGGAGATAAGAGTCTCATGGACTTTCCTGCCTGGGCTGGCTTTGAACCGTGATTCTCAGATCTCAGCCTCTTGAATAGCTAGGATTACAGGTGTGGGCCACCTGGGGCCCAGCTCATTTTATGGTTTTTGTTTGTTTGTTTTTTGGTGGTGGTGGTGGTCCTGGTGCTTGAACTCTGGGCCTGGACGCTGTCCCTCAGCTCTTCAGCTCAAGGCAAGTGCTCTACCACTTGAGCCACAGCGCCACTTCCAGTTTTCTGGTGGTTTATTGGAGATAAGAGTTTCACAGACTTTTTTGCCCAGTCTGGCTTTGGGCCACAATCCTTAAATCTCAGCCTCCTGAGTAGCTAGGATTAAGGCATGAGCCACCAGTGCTCAGCTCATTTTATAGTTTTAAGAGTTTTAATTAACTAAAAATAAGTCCATTCCAAAATAATATAAAGGCAAATTAAAGTATGTAGTCAGCAAAATAATTACATTAGTTGTCAGTGTTGTTGCTATTTTTATTAGTGGAGTGGTTATTTTTTTATTTAAATAATTTGATCTTAATTGCAGACAATTTACACATAGTAAAGGTCTATCTATTAATAGTTCATTGGTGTTTTATACCATTATCAATAAAATACATAAGTATGTACAATCATATACCTACTCAAACTAGAGGCCATGGCTATGAGACTCATGATAAGTTAGGTCAGAACTTCCACCATTTCAGGGGCTGGGAAGGTAGCTCAGTGGTAGAGTGCATGCCTTGCAAGCATGAGGCCCTGGATTCGATTCCTCAGCACCACATAAACAGAAAAAGCCGGAAGTGGCACTGTGGCTCCAGTGGTAGAGCGCTAGCCTTGAGCTGAAGAGCTGAGGGACAGCGCCCAGACCCAGAGTTCAGGCCCCATGACCGGCAAAAAAAAAAAAAAAGAACTTCCACCATTTCAAAAACACAGCCCTAAGTTTTAACAGAAAACTATTTTTTTTTTTTTCTGTCATGGGGCTTGAACTCTGGGCTTGGGCACTGTCCTTGCGCTCTTCAGTTCAAGGCTAGCACTCAACCACTTGAGCCACAGCGCCACTTGTGGTTTTCTAGTGATTTATTGGAGATAAGAGTCTCACAGACTTTCCTGCCTGGGCTGGCTTTGAACTGTGACTCTCAGATCTCAGCCTCCTGAGTAGCTAGGATTACAGGCGTGAGCCACTGGTGCCCGGCCACAAAAATAATTTGAAGGTGAAAATGTAATATTACTAGGCAAGACCTAAACCTGGAGTTTAGAGTGCAAATCTGAAAGCAAATGAAAATTGGTCTCAGCAAGCTCTCCTGTGTCACTTCAATACAAACATTATTATATTGTCACTTAAATAAACTCTATAATTTTAGGTCCCCCCCCCAGGATCATTTAAAAAAGACAACACAAGTAAAATGCATACTCAAATTTGTAACAAATACAAGCCAGAAAACCACCTGACTTATCACTGTATCACTTATGTCACCACCAACATTGTCAAAGTAAACATCCACTCCAGCTGGACACGATTCTTTGAGTTGTTCTGCCATATTCCCTCTTTTATAATTAATTGCAGCATCAAAGCCCAGTTCTGAGGTCAAAAGGACGCATTTCTCAGGTGTTCCACAAATTCCCACCACTCTGGAACAGCCCAGCAAGCGGCCAATCTAAGGGGGAAATTTTTGAAAACTAAATGGCTTTATATATTTTTATATTTAAATGTTTAAATGTAAAAGTACACAGGGTATTACAAATAAATGAGTAATCATCACAATTTAGGTTAGATTACACTGCTATATTAGCTATATGAAATTTGAAACCCAAAGAACTGAGACATCCTTAAAATTAAAACTGAATAAAAATTTTAAAAATCACAATTTAAATCTGATTTTATAGAATAGACCGAAAATATTGCTGTCTTACAGTTGAATATTTTTCAAGCCTGTGAGGAGCTAAAATCATAGCTAAAGTATAGTGTCAGAGGCTTACCCCTATAATCATAACTACTCAGGAGGCTAAAAAACTGAGGATTACAGTTAAAAGCCACCTAAGAAGAAAAGTCCAAGAGATTCCTTTTGCAGTTAACTAGTTCTGGAGGTAATGTTCAAGTGGTAAAGAATGATCTGTGGGCTGGGAAGGTGGCTCAGTGGTAGAGTGCTTGCCTTGCATGCAGGAGGCCCTGGGTTTGATTCCTCAGCACCACATAAGCAAAAAGAAAAAAGTCGGAAGTGGCGCTGTGGCTCAAGTGGTAGAGTGCTAGCCTAGAGCTGAGGGACAGGGCGCAGGCCCAGAGTTCGGGCCCCACGACCAGACCCAAAAAAAAAAAAAAGAATCATCTGTGAGCAAGCAAGCCAATCAAGAGCATGATTAAGAGGTCCTAAATTCAAGTACCAGTCAAAAAAGGCCTAAATAAAGTATTTTGTTTCAATGATGCCCACCCAGTATTTATAAAATGATGAACTTTGTACAAGTCTATCAAAACATTTACTACATTTCTAGAATTTCATAATGCTTTCTTACTTAAGGATTTCTTACTTGAGAATTTTTTTTTTCTTTTTATGCCAGTACTAGGGTTTGAACTTTAGATTTGTACTCTTGCTTAGCTTTCCAGCTCAAGACTGGCACTCTACCACTTGAGACATAACTCCACTTCTACTTTTTTGGTGGTTAATTGGAGGTAAGACTCTCATGGACTTTTAGCCTGGCTAGCTTCAAATCAAATTTCAAGGATTTTTCTTTTTTCTTTTTCATATTATTATTAAAATTATTAAAATAATTTTTTTTTACTGGTCCTGGGGCTTGAACTCTGGGCTTGGGTGCTGTCTCTGAGCTTCTTTTGGTCTAGGAAAACGCTCTACTACTTGAGCCACAGCACCAATTCCAGCTATTTTGAGTAGTTTATTGGAGTTTCTTGCTTAGGCTGGCCCCGAACCACAACCCTCAGATCTCAGCCTCCTGAGTAGCTAGGATTACAAGTGTGAAATACAAACACCTTGCTATGCAAATAATTTTAAGTAGGTAATAACATTTCTACCAGAAATATGAGAAATAATAGCATAAATTTATTAATTAAAAATTACATAGGTACATCCAAAAATTCCCTTATGGCTACTTAAACAACAACAACAACAAAACTAAATCCTCAAAAATTTACCTGTCCAGCCAAGGATCCACAGGCACCAGCTGCTCCACTGACCACCATTGTCTGATTAGATCCAGCAGTTATATGACCTCTTTCCTGCACTCCAATCAAGGAAGTCAAACCAGGCATACCTATAGCTCCAAGAAAATACGAAAGATGTCCATTCACAAGTTGTGGTTCTACCTAAAATAAAATACAGAGCTTTTTAACAATATTAGAAATTCCTATTTAAGACAGCAAAGCCTGATACCCAGTGGCTCATGCCTGTAATCCTAAATTACGCAGGAGGCTAAGGAAGTCCATGAGACCTCTTATCGCCCATTAACCACAAAAATTAAAGAAGGCCAGAAACAGAGCTGTGGCTTTAAATGATAGAGTTAGCCTGGTACAGGGACAGCACCCAGGCCGAGCGTTCAAGCTCCAGGACCAACAACAACAACAAAAATATATTCTACCTATTATGGATTGGATCAGGTTCCCTATCCCAAGTTCTTACATATATCTCTGCCAGGTGCTAGTGTCTCATGCCTGTAATCCTAGGTACTTAGAGAGGCTGAGATCTGAAGATCACAGTTTGAAGCCAGCACAGGCAAGAAAGTCAGTGAGACTCTTAGCTCCAATTAATCAGAGAAAAAGCCAGAAGTGGCCCTGTGGCCCAAGTAGTGGAGCAGAAGCTTCGAGCAAAAAGGAGCTAAAGCACAGCACCCAGGCCCAGAGTTTAAGCCCCAGGACTGGCCAAACAAACAAAAAACAAAATCACACATCCCAATGTAACTATATTGGAAATAGAGCTTTTAGGGTGACACTTTTAGGTCACAATGGTGCGGCCCTGATCCAATGCTTTTGTGCCCTTAGAAAAAGAAGCAGGCATAACATAGAAAACATACTCAGCCAGCCTGTGGTGATTTGTTATGACAGCCCAGACTAATAACTCATTATAATCCAACAGTAAGCCATTCTTTAGTCTTGTTAAAATTCCAATCTATTTATAAAGAGTAAAAAAAATCCAAAAGACAAAAAATCAATAGTCTGTTTATGTTAACAACTTTAAAAATAATTCCTGCATTAAAAATAAAAACTATCCTTTCTTGTTAGTTCCTTATGTGTGTCAAAAGAAAGGAAATGCTTAATGGAAAAACACTAAGCAAAGTTGGAAGGCTTTTAAATTTCTGAGCAATTCCAAAGCAACCAGGACGAGGAACAATGGCACATCTGTAGTGCCAGCTACACAGGAGACCAACACAAGAAAACTGTATGAGCCCAAGAATTCAAGACTGGCCTAGGCAACAGTCTTGAGAACCTCATCTCCAAAGAAAGAGAGAGAGAGAGAGAGGAAGAGAGAGAGAGGGAGAGGGAGGGAGGGGAAGAGAGGAAGAAGGAAGGAAGGAAGGAAGGAAAGAAGGAAGGAAGGAAGGAAAGGAAAGGAAAGGAAAGAAAGGAAGGAAAGAGAAAACCCTCCAACTCCAACAGTTTACATTACTGATGCTTATAATAACAAAAGTGGCCAGGAATATAATCCCAGCTATTAGAAGACTGAAGCAGGAAAGTCTCAATTATACTGGCTTCACTAGTAAATAATATTACATACATGAAATATTTCTGTGTACTATCAACTTTCCAGTGAATCTGTTACCTTTATTCATGTACCGGATTTAACTAATAGCCATTGAAAATTACTGCCAGCTTGCCAGCTGTGGTATAACAATTCTATAATCCTAGGAGTTGGCAGACTACACACAGGAGAAATTTAAGGCCAGCCTGGGCTAGATAGTGAGTTCCAGGCCAGTTTGAACTATATAGTTAGACCCTATCTTAAAACCAACCTGAAAAACTAATGAATACAAACTTATTTTATTTTGTTATGATACTGAACTAAAAATAAACTGATTTACTGATTAATTTCAGATCTGCTAAATTTTAACCAAAATTATTCAATTTCTTAAAAAGACTAACTCTTCAAACACATGGCAGTCCATGGGCATATTAAGAGAGGCAAAGATTTTTGTTATTGTTGTGTTCTACCACTCTGGAACTGAACCACAGAGCCTGGATGCCAAGCACAGAGCCTTAGGTGTACCTAGGCAAATGCAGTATACAAAGCAGTTCTTGATTACAATTAGTATTTTTTTGTCAGTTGTGGGGCTTGAACTCTGGGCCTGGATGCTGTCCCTCCACTCTTCAGCTCAAAACAAGTGCTCTACCACTTGAGCCATAGCACCACTTCCAGTTTTCTGATGGTTAATTGGAAATAAGAGTCATGGACTTTCCTGCCCATACTGGCTTTGAACCACAATCCTCAGATCTTAGCCTCCTGAGTAGCTAGAATTACAGGTGTGAGCCACCAGTGCTCGGCTTGGTTACAATTATTAATAGAAAGGTAGTAGTAGTCCAGTAGTGGAACAGGCAGTTGATGAGAAAACATCTATCTTTTCAAGCTACAATAGTTTTTGTGCAAGGTCAGCCTGGACTACACAGTGAGTTACAGTTCAGTTTGAGCTATATAGTGAGACTCTATCTCAAAAAACCAGAGGCCTAAATCAGAGCTGGTGGTTCATGCATGTAATTCTAGCTATTCAGGAGGCCAAGATCTGAGGATCAAGATCAAGATCTGAAACCAGCCTGGGCAGGAAAGATTGTGAGACTCTTATCTCTAGTTAACCACACACACAAAAAGCTGGAAGGATAGCTGTGACTCAAGTGTTAATAGTACCATACTTGAGCAAAAAAGCTAAGGGACAGCACCCAGGCCCTGAGTCCAAGACCTAGTACCCACATACATTCACACACATACACACACATTTGTATTATTAATATTTTTCTAGACAGACACCAGTGGCTCATGTTGGTAATCCTCGCTACTCAGGAGGCTGAGATCTATGGATCACAGTTCAAAGCCTGGACAGGAAAGTCTGTAAGACTCCTATCTCCAATAAACAACTCAGAAAAAGCCAGAAGTGGCACTGTGGCTCAAGTGGTAGAGCGCTAGCCTTGAGCACAAAAGATCAGGGAAAGTGCCCAGGCTCTGAATTCAAGCCTCAGGACTGGCAAAATTAAGTAATTAAATAAATAAAATTAATTTGAAAATATTTTATAAAATTTGAGTCACATTTTATCATGGCACTTATCTTCATATCTACTTGTAGCTATTATTTTTTATTTTGCATATTAAGAAACATGAAATTACATAAAATATTTCCTTATTATACCTCAATTAGATTTAATTATATAAAACTGCCATTTGGGGCAGGTTAAAGCATATTTGGTAATTTCATATGATTCAACCTGAGTTGAACTGAACTCAAGATTCTGACAGGAGATGAAATTTCAATTACAAAGCCAATGAATTTCTGTGGCTATTTCTCAGGAATTTTTGTTTGTTTGTTTGTCGGTCATGGGGCTTAAACTCTGGGCCTGAGCGTTATCCCTCAGCTCTTCAGCTCAAGGCAAGTGCTCTACCACTTGAGCCATAGCACCACTTCCAATTTTCTGGTGGTTTATTGGAGATAAGAGTCTTACAGATTTTTTTGCCCAGGCTGGCTGTGAACTGTGATCCTCAGATCTCAGCCTCCTGAGTAGCTAGGATTACAGACGTGAGCCACTGGTGCCCGGCTTCAGGAAATTTGTTAATATATATAAGGAATTACCACTTTTATAATATATTTTGGATGCTTAGCTCACGTTTTGCACATATAGTTTGAGAAATAAATGAAATATAGACGATGATACCGTTTCTGGTAATCTATGAACTCTTACATAAAGTTAGAGTAGAAAAAGTGGGAAGGAAGGTAGCTAAAAGAAAATCATATAAATGTAGAAAATAAGAATTACAAATGTGAAAAAGATAAGATCGATTTATATTATACATCACCTTTTCAAGGCCATCCCCATCTAAAATAGCTTTAGTTTGCCAGGGCCAATAAAAAGAAGTCACAACATTGCCTTTGGTTAAGTTTGTGTGCTTGCTTTCTTCTACAATTCCAATACCACCACCATCTACCACCTGAGACAGCTGCCAAGGCGCTAAATAATCACTGCCAGTGTCTTCATTCATCTTACAACGCTGAAAAAAGAAAGCATTAATTTTGTTAGCTAACACAGTTTATTAATTTTTCTCAGTTGGTAAAAGAAAAGTATAAGTCAAACAAATAGAAATAAAATTTATTTCCCTTTCCATTATTTTTTTCTGGAAAAAAAGGTATCTATAACTACTAAAGAATTATAATTATGCCAAGGGCCACACGTCGTAATCTTAGCTACTCAGGAGGCTGAGATCTGAGGTTCAAAAAGCCAGCCTGGGTAGGAAAATCTGTGAGACCCTTATCTCTAATTTAACTATCAAAAACCAAAGTAGAGGTGTAGTTCAAATGCAACCTTAGGGTACAAAAAGTAAGGGAGAAGTAAGGTGCAGGTTTCCCATGCCTGTAATCCTAGCTGCTCAGGAGACTGAGATCTGAGGATAGCAGTTTGAAGCCAGCCCAGCTTGGAAATTACCTGAGATTCTTATCTCCAATAAAATACTCAGAAAAAGCTGGAAGTGATACAGTGGCCCTGAGTTCAAGACCCAGGACCAAGCTGTGCGCCAGTGGCTCACGCCCTGTAATCCTAGCTACTCAGGAGACTGAGATCTGAGGATCATGGTTCAAAGCCAGCCCAGGCAGGAAAGACTGTGAGACTCCTATCTCCAATACAACACTAGAAAACCGGAAGTGGAGCTGTGGCTCAAGTGGTAGAGAGCTCGCCTTGAGTTGAAGAGCTCAGGGACAACGCCCAAGCCCAGAGTTCAAACCCCGCGACCAACCCAAAAAAAAAAAAAAAAAAGGCCCAGGACCACCACCAACAACAACAAAACTTAGGACAGAGTTCAAGCCCCAGGACTGGCACAGAAAAAAAAAAAAGTAAGGGAGGTGCTAGGCCCTGAGTTCAAGCTTCAGTACCCCCACAAACAAACAACAATAACAAAAACAGATACACAGACCAATGGAACAGAATAGAGAGCCTAGAAATAAATCCACAAATTTACACTGATTTTCAATAATGATGCTAGGAACATATAATGGCAAAAAGACAGTCTCTTTAATCACACAGCTCAAAATGGGCTATAAGACTAAAATATTATAACTAAAACTGTAAGACTCAAAAGAAAACCGCAACTAAATCTTCATTATCCAGGGGGAGGCACAGACATTTTTTGTTGTTGTTGGTCATTCGGTTTGAACTCAGGGCTTGAATTCTATTCCTGAGCACTTTTGCTCAAGGCTAGTGCTCTACCAGCTTTCTGGTAGTTAACTGGAGATAAGAGTTTCATGGACTTTCCTTCCCTGGCTGGCTTTGAAACCTGATCCTAAGATCTCAGCCTCCTGAGGATTACAGGTGTGAGCCACCAGTCCCCAGCTCAAAAACTTCTTAGGTACAAGACCAACAAAAATTTTAAATGACAACAGAAATTAGGTAAGTTGGACTTCTATCAAAATTAACCAATGTGAGTAGTTCCTGAACACTTCGTAGGTTTTGTCGTTTCTGGACGTGATTCCTCGTCAGGGTCCAAGATGCCGCGTGGAAGCCAGAGCCACATCTCCCTTGTGGCCTCACCGGCCAGCCGTGGCCCTCAGATGAGAGCTACACCCAGGCCAGCTCCTGCAGCCCAACCTCCAAGGGCAGCCCCAGCATCTGCTATGGGCTCTCCTGCAGCCACTCCCCAGCAGCCTGGGCTAATGGCCCAGCTGGCGTCCACAGCTGCTGATGTAGCTGTGGGCTCTGCCGTTGGGCACACACTGAGCCATGCCATCACTGGCGGCTTCAGTGGAGCTAGTAATGCTGAGCCTGCCAGGCCGGGCATCACTTATCAGGAGCCCAGGGAACTCAGCTGGTGCAGCAGCAGCAGCAGCAGCTTAGTGGGCCATGCGCCTATGAAATAAAGCAGTTTTTGGAGTGTGCCCAGAACCAGGGTGATTTTAAGCTCTGTGAGGGCTTCAATGAGGTGCTGAAGCAGTGCAGAATTGTAAATGGACTAGTTTAACCATGAAGTTCAAGCTGAAGAAATGGAAAATCACCTCTGATAACCAAGTTAATTTAACATGGAAATGTAATTGGTAGTGACACTATAGAGTATAAAACTGTAAGTTAACTTCTTGTTGTTAATTGCATAGTTGCCTCAGAGTGGCCATGGAAGAGGGTATTGTGACTCTTAATACAGGTTCACTGAGATGGTATAGAGTTGGGGCTAACAGGTGTTTGTGTGGCCTTCATTGTTCTGATGTCATTTTGAGTTAATTAGAATAAACTGATTTCTTCCAAAAAAATTAACAAATGTTGTGCTTCAAAAGACACACAATGTCTTTTCAAGAATACAAAGACAATTGAATTAGAGAAAATATGTACAGGTCATATGTCACATCAAATGCATTTATCTAAACCAGAATACCAGTGGCTCACATCTATAATCCTAGCTACAGGAAGCTGAGATGTAAGGATCTGGGTTTGAAGCCAGCCTGGTCAGAAGGTCTATGAGACTCCAATAAACCACCAAAGAAATAAACTGCTTTGGTGAATAGCAACTTCTTTGTACAATTATATAAAGATAATAAAATATTTAAAAACAAAACTACTAAAGCTCAAAGCTGGAAATGGAGCTGGGGCTAAAGTGGGAGAGCCCTAGCTTTAAGCAAACAGTTCAGGGACAGTGCCTAGCCCCTGAGTTCAAGCATATGCATACACACGCATACACACACACACACACACACACACACACACACACACATACACACACACACACCCATACACACACACACAGAGAATACATATTTAGAATATGTAAAGAACTCTTTCAACTCAATAATAAAGATGTAATTCAGTGTTTTAAATGCTTAACAAATATGAATAGAAATTTCCTTCAAAGAAGATAAACAAGCCAGGCGCCGGTGACTCACACCTGTAATCCTAGCTACTCAGGAAACTGAGATCTGAGGATCATGGTTCAAAGCCAGCCCGGGCAGGAAAGTTCGTGAGACTCTTATCTCCAATAAACCCGTTAGAAAACCGGAAGTGGTGCTGTGGCTCAAGTGGTAGAGCGCTCACCTTGAGCTGAAGAGCCAAGGACAGTGCCCAAGCCCAGAGTTCAAGCCCCACAACCGACAAAAAAAAAAAAAAAAGATATACAAATGGCTATAAGTACATACAAATGTACTCAAAATTAACCATCAAAGAAATATAAAACAAAGCCACAATGAGATACCACTTTTACATCAGCTAGAGTGGCAATAACCAAAATGAATGACATATGTTAATAAGGTTGTGGAGAAACAAACTCTCACTCCTGATGGAATGGTTCCCTAAAAAGGTTAAACACAGGGACAAAGAGTGAACAAATGCAGCAGTACTCACTGGATTCTATGTTGAAAATGAACTGTACATCTTATGGGTGAGGACAGGAAGGAAAAACTGGGAGACAGTGAGGGAAGGGGTGATGCTCTCCAAAAAGAAATGTACTCTCATTACCTGATTTATGTAATTGTAACCCCTCTGTACATCAGCTTTATAAGAACAATAAAAAAATTTTAAGGTTAAACAGTTACCATAAGACTTAACAATTGGGGCTGGGAAGGTGGCTCAGTGGTAGAGCGCTTGCTTTGCATGCTCAAGGCCCTGGGTTCGATTCCTCAGCACCACATAAGCAAAAAGCCGGAAGTGGCGCTGTGGCTCAAGTGGTAGAGCGCTAGCCTTGAGCTGAAGAGCTGAGGGACAGCGCCCAGGCCCAGAGTTCAGGCCCCACGACCGGCAAAAAAAAAAAAAAAAAAAGACTTAACAATTTTACTCCTAGGTATAAACCTAGGATAAATAAAAGGTAGTCTAAAAAAAAACTTGTATGTAGCATTTAGGGAGATTATAATGAAACTCGTGGTACTATTGATATATGCTAAAATAGAAAAAAATAGCAAAATATTCATAATAGCCAAACTGGAAATCCCCATGTCTACTAATTGATAAATCAATGATAAAATATTGAATATCCAGATAATGCAAAATAATTCATCAACAAAAAGAACTGATACATTATAGCTTAATTAACTTTGTAAATATTCTACATAAAAGAAGCCAGACACAAAAGGTATATATTGTATGCTTCTACTTAAATGAAATATATAGTACAGGTAAACCTAGGAAAAAATAGTAAGTTAATAGATGTACTGGCATGATGTGCAGGAGAATCTCAAGTTAGGAGCTGCCCTGAGCTACATAGACTCTGTCTCAAAATAAGGAAAGAAACAGGGTTGGGAAAGAGGGCGAAAAAAGAGAAGCAGCAAGCGAGGAATCCCATATACATCGCCTGCCTTAGAACCCAGACCTGTCAGAGGATTTTCAAATATTTTACTACCTCCAAGCTATAAAAGAACCTGGCCAGGGCTGGGAAGATGGCTCAGTGGTAGAGCGCTTGCCTTGCATGCATGAGGCCCTGGGTTCCATTCCTCAGCACCACATAAGCAAAATGAAAAAAAAAAAAGCCGGAAGTGGCGCTGTGGCTCAAGTGGTAGAGCGCTAGCCTTGAGCTGAAGGGCTGAGGGACAGCGCCCAGGCCCAGAGTTCAAGCCCCACGACCGGACCCAAAAAAAAAAAAAAAAAAAAGAACCTGGCCAGCCATTATTTCTAGAAATATAATCCTTTTTATAAATCCATAAATATAATCCATTTTATCAATGTCAGTAAATAAGAATAAAGGCAATCCATAATTCTCAGTAACAAACATATAATTGCCCAAATATGCATCAGTCCTAAACATTACACAATAAAATTCTGATAGGGAAAAAATAATATTTTTCACCAAGTTACAACACCTTTGATTCTTACCATGTAAGGATCCACAGAAAGATAAAGAGTTCTAACTCGCACTTGTCCTTCATTGATGCCCTCTGGTAAAGTGACTTCTTCCATTCGGAAATTCTCTGCTACTGGATTACCATTTTTCCCTAAAATATCAGTCAAAAACATGAATTCAGTTAAACACCAGTGGCTCACGCTTATAATTCTAGCTACTCAGGAGGCTCTGAAGCTCGACTTTCGAAACAAGCCTAGACAGAAAAATCTCCAAAATCCTCTTAATCTCTAACTAACCCAGAAAAAAAGGTCAGCCTTGAAGCATAGATCAAGTGGTAGACTGCTAGCCATGGGTGAAAAACAAGCCAAAGATAAGGTCCTGAGTTCAAGCACATACCAACACACACACACACACACACACACACACACACACACACACGCACACACGCACACACGCATACACGTAGAAATATATCAGCCAAAATAAAATATTAGGTAAGTTATTTCCTCCTTTTAAAAAGCAGATACTTAAATGAACTTTTTTATAGTAAAGTCTTAAAATCTAGGAAATTAAAAATTTTAACATATAAGGAAAAGGTATAAGGAAATGTCATCACTAAATATTTGCTTTATGTTTAACAGAAACAAACTTGCTGGTCAAAAAATAATCAAATTTCTAAGGTGAGACATGAATACAAAGATCTTAATTGATGGGCATGGTGATACAAAACTCCAAGCTACTCAGGAGTAGGAAAATAAAAAAATCCAAGGTTGCTCGGACAATAAAAGTAAGCCCCTATCTGAAAAGTAACTAAAGCAGAGCACTTACCTAGCAAGCATAAAGCCCTGAGGTACCACTAAAAATAAATAAATATATCTTAACCTAATTACTCACTCCATTAAAACTGAGGTCAGAAAAGTTGAACAACTTTTTCTGGACACAGTAGTGGGTGCAGCAAAACCAAGGTATCAGTGGCCTCAAACTTCTCAGACCCCAAACCCCTTATCTAAGTTTTTATGATTCAAGAAATTGTCAGCACTGGGGGCTGGGAAGTTGGCTCAGTGGTAGAGCGCTTGCCTTGCATGCCTGAGGCCCTGGGCTCGATTCCTCAGCACCACATAAGCAAAAGGAAAAAAGCTGGAAGTGGTGCTGTGGCTCAAGTGGTAGAGCGCTAGCCTTGAGCTGAAGGGCTGAGGGACAGCGCCCAGGCCCAGAGTTCAAGCCCCACGACCGGACCCAAAAAAAAAAAAAAAAAAAAGAAATTGTCAGCACTGATATAAGTCAGTGTATTTTACATAAAACAGAAAAGCAAATTTTAAAAATCAACAATACATACTATAAAGAAAAATTCATGCATATTAGTAATAAAATCTTCCAAGCATATCAACAAATGGCATTACATTGTTTAGTTTCTTCTGACATATTTACTAGTCTTAATATCGTACTACTTTAATTTACCACATTGATTCATGAGCTTTCTTTTATTAGCTTACATTATGGGAAATTTCATTGTTCATTTCCACAGTTATGATATATTCCAATCAATCTCACCCTGTCTATCACTCTCCCTTTTCCTCTTTCCTCAAAATAACTTTCAATAAGTTTCATTGTTCTAATTTTTGTTGTTGTTTTTGTTTTTTTGCCAGTCCTAGAGCTTGAACTTGCGGCCTGGGCACTGTCCCTGAGCTTATTTTGCTAAAGGCTAGCACTCTACCACTTGAGCTACAGTGCTACTTCCAGCCTTTTCTGTTTATGTGGTACTGAGGAATTGAACCCAAGGCTTCATGCATGCTAGACAAGTACTCTACCACTAAGCCACAATCCCCACCCTTCACTGTTCTATTTTAATAGTTGTCAACAACCTACTTCTATATTCATCCCTTTCATTTTCTTCTTGTTAGCCCAAACCCTTCTCACTACTACTGAGCCTCTAACAGAGCTCATTTCTCTTTCCCCATACCTTCCAACCTCTATTAATCAACTGTTTTCATTGAAGTTCTTCATGTTGTCATATATAATTGCAATGTATCTCGATATGCATCCCCTATCCTTTTTCCTTCCTTCTCCCCTTCTCCTAAATAGCCCCTTAGATTCATGTTCTCTATGAATCCATATATATTTAATTATATGGATGGATTTATATATATATGTAATCATATTAATTTTTACCTTTTTATTCACTGAAAATTATTAAAGACTGAAGTTGTTCACTAACCATTGACAAATACATACCAGGTCGGGAATTCAATACCACTCTTTGTACAATCATCACTCTGTGCAGCAGTGTCACAAATTTCAATATAAAATAATCCCTATAAATAAAAAAATTAAATCACTAGAAAGATCTGCAGTATTTAATCATTTAAAACAAAAAAGAAGTCCAATTGTGCTTCTGAAGAAGAAAAAATTATGTTTAGGATCCAAAAAGGATATACCACCCTGTACAAGTCTGCCTCCTAAGGCAAAGAGAAGAAAACTAAATGTAGTTAGAATCTTGAGCTAGTAGGAATAAGTTCCCTGAAGGCTGAATGAATCGAAATGGTTTTGCCTCAGATAATTCAAGGACATTCATCTTCACACCATTTTGACTCAGCATCCTACTACAAGTTTGATTAAAAGAAAAACATGATATATTCCTCTAGAGCTAGTCAGTTGATCCAGTAACAAAATAAAATGATTAACCGGGGATCAGGATATAGCTCAGTAGTAGACCTCTTGCCTAACATATATAAGGGCCTGGATTCAATCCCAAGCACCACCACAATCTCCAGAAAATTAAAAAGTTTACATGAACTGAGTGCCTGTGACTCACATTTGTAATCTGAGATCTGAGGATTGCAGTTCAAAGCCAGCTCAGGCAGGAAAGTCTGTGAGACTCTTCTCTGAGATCTGAGGATTGCAGTTCAAAGCCAGCTCAGGTAGGAAAGTCTGTGAGACTCTTCTCTCCAATACACTACTCAGAAAACCGGAAGTGGTGCAGGGGCTCAAGTGGTAGAGCACTAGCCTTGAGCTGAAGAGCTGAGGGACAGCGCCCAGGCCCAGAGTTCAAGCTCCATGGCCAACAACAACAAAAAGTTTACTTGAGCTATAACTAAACTTTGAGAGCTTGTCTGAAGATTCTACCAGGGGAGAGCTGCTACTAGCATATCCTTGACTGAAGAATAGTCCTTCTGTATGGGGAATGGTCACCCACAGCTTCAGGAAGGAAATAGGGGACAGGTATCTAGCCTACTCAACCCTGGTGAACAATGGAATGACAGATGTCAAAGCCAGATTGCCTTCCCATCTACTATAACTAAATTTTAAAGGATGTTTTATTCACTCATTAAAATAGAAATGGGGCTGGGAAGGTGGCTCAGTGGTAGAGCGCTTGTCTTGCATGCATGAGGCCCTGGGTTTGATTCCTCAGCACCACATAAGCATAAAGAAAAAAGCTGGAAGTGATGCTGTAGCTCAAGTGGTAGAGCGCTAGCCTTGAGCTGAAGAGCTGAGGGACAGCGCCCAGGCCCAGAGTTCAGGCCCCATGACTGGACCCCCCCCCCCCTCCGAAAAAAAAAAAAGAGTCTCATGGCCTGTCCTGCTCGAGCTGGCTTTGAACTGTGATCCTCAAATCTCAGCCTCCTAAGTAGCTGGGATTATAGGCATGAGCCACCTTGCCCAGCCAGAGGACTTGGTTGTAGAGTGCTTGCCTTGCATGCATGAGGCCCTGGGTTCGATTCCTCAGCACCATATAAACAGAAAAGGCCATTAGTGGCACTGTGGCTCAAGTGGTAGAGCCCTAGCCTTGAGCTAAAGAGCTGAGGGACAGTGTCCAGGCCCAGAGTTCAGCCCCATGACTGACAAAAAAAGAAAAAAGAAACGAATACATTTTATTGTTTCCCTTTTTTTTTTTGTCAGTTGTGGGGCTGTCCCTCAGCTCTTTAGCTCAAGGCTAGCGTTCTACCACTTGAGCTACAGTGCCACTTCTGGTTTTCTGGTGGTTTATTGGAGATAAGAGTTTCATGGCCTAGGGGTGCTGGGAAGGTGGCTCAGTGGTAGAGCACTTGCCTTGCATGCATGAGGCCCTGGGTTCAATTCCTCAGCACCACATAAGCAAAAAGAAAAAATCTGGAAGTGGCACTGTGGCTCAAGTGGTAGAGTGCTAGCCTTGAGCTGAAGAGCTGAGGGATAGCGCCCAGGCCCAGAGTTCAGGCCCCACGACCGGACCCAAAAAAAAAAAAAAAAGAGTTTCATGGCCTTTCCTACCCGGGCTAGCTTTGAATCTGGATCCTCGGATCTCAGCCTCCTGAGTAGCTAGGATTACAGGTGTGAGCCACCAGCACCTGGCTTGTTTCGATATTTTTTTTTTTTTGGTGGCACATTACATTGAATCTCCCATCCTTATTTCATACCATTGCTTTGTCTCTTCACTCTTTTGTCTCTAAGATATCGTCTGATTGCTTCCTCATAGTATCATTTATCTTGTTCTTTCTTCCTCCCTTACTTGACACTGGTGGATTCTAAAGGTGATATAAGTACATAGATAAGATTTTTTTTTCAAGTAATCTACTATATTGCCCAGGCAGATTCTGTCTTCTGCACTCAAGTGATATTCTTGCCTAAGCTGCTGCTTCTTTTTTTGGGGGGTAGGGTGGGGGGAGGGGGGAGGGTCAGTCATGAGTCTTGAACTCTGAGCTTGGGCACTGTCCCTGAGCTCTTCAGCTCAAGGCTACCTCTCTACCACCTGAGCCACAGCACCACTTCCAGTATTCTGGTGGTTAATTGGAGATAAGAGTCTCACAGACTTTCCTGCCTAGACTGGCTTTGAACTAAGATCCTCAGATCTCAGCCTCCTGAGTAGCTAGGATTCACAGGCATGAACTACTGGTGTCCAGCTTTGCCTTAGCTTCTTGATTAGCTAGGATTATAAGTATGCTATCACACCCATCTGCTGAGAAATTTTCTTTTTTTTTTTTTTTTTTGTCGGTCGTGGGGCTGGAACTCCGGGCCTGGGCGCTGTCCCTCAGCTCTTCAGCTCAAGGCGAGCGCTCTACCACTTGAGCTACAGTGCCACTTCCGGTTTTCTGGTGGTTTATTGGAGATAGGAGTCTCACGGTCTCTCCTGCCCGGGCTGGCTTTGAACCGTGATCCTCAGATCTCAGCCTCCTGAGTAGCTAGGATTACAGGCATGAGCCACCAGCGCCCGGCTCGCAGAGAAATTTTCTATTGAATCACCATATGGAAAAATTACCTCAACAGTAAAGAGCAAAGTTTACCCAAAGTTGGTTCAAACTGTCTTTAAATGGTGAAAATATCTTTCAATTATAAGCCAGGTGCCAGTGGGTCACACCTGGGCAGAATCCTAGCTGCTCAGGAGGCTGAGATCTGAAGATCACTGTTCAAAGCCAGCCTGGGCAGAAAAGTCCCTGTGAGACTTATCTCCAATTAACCACCAGAAAACCAGAAATGGCTTAACGTAGTAGAGGGGTAGGCTTGAACAAAATAGTTCAGGAACAGCACCCAAGCCTTGAGTTTAAGCCCCTTCACACACACACACACAAATTCAAATTGGCTGGGAAGGTGGCTCAGTGGTAGAGAGCTTGCCTTGCATGCATGAGGCCCTGGGTTCCATTCCTCAACACCACATAAGCAGAAAAGGCCATAAGTGGCACTGTGGCTCAAGTGGTAGAGTGCTAGTCTAGAGCCGAAGGGCTGAGGGACAGCGCCCAGGCCCAGAGTTCAGGCCCCATGACCAACAACAACAACAACAAAAATTCAAATTAAGTTTAATATTTGTCCTTTTTCTAATTTCAATGTTATGTTCTATTTTAAAGTATGCACAATCCTAGCATTAACCTATAATCCTGGCAGTGGAGAGGCTGAGGGAGAAGAATCATGAGTTTGAGGACAACCTGGGCTACAGAGTAAAGCCTTGGCTCAAAATACCAAGAGCTGGGAATGTAGCTCAATAGTAGAATACTTTCCTCGCTCTGAGTTTGATCCCAGCAACAAAAATAAGTAAGATTTGTGTATTGTAGAATTTGTCAAAACATTGCTTCGCAGTATGAAAATACACTATTATAGTTATCTCCCTCTGCATTAAAAAAGTGCCAAATACAATTAATGAATGCAAGATTACTTGTGTGATATCCCTTAAGACAACAAACATTAAAAATAGAAACTTCATTTAGTCACACGATTAGCATTTAAAATAAGGTACACCAAATTCAAGATCTCAAGGAAATGAGGGAGAAACTCAGCAAATCCAATCTGCCTGAGTACTATTTCAAAATAATGCCAAAACAGTGCCAAGCAACTGTAAAATTCGCTTTGATGCCAGTCACGAGTGTCTTATGTTGCAATTTAAGCAAGATCATTTACGAACAGAGGATGTGTGCTGGTTCTAACCAAGTGGAATCTTGGAAAAGTTCCGTCTCTCAGCTTGTTTCCCTAGTTTTCCTAGGTGCTGCAAAACAGGGCTTGAAGAATTTTATTATCGTGTTTAACTACAACTCCTGGTCCAAACACCCACAAGAGGTTAATATCTCTGCTTTACAGTGTAGGAAGCGAAGGTCCAAAGTCAGGTAATTTGCCCCAGGTGGAACAAGGCTAGAATTCGGACTCTCAACAGATTTTGAAATATGAATTTTCTCCTATGTGGGGCTGGAAGGAAAACACATCAAGATTCACACTTGCAGAGCCAGACGAGTGCTCTCCCTCTGACCTGCACCCCAAGACCTTTGAGTAGACGCGCTTCTCCGTCCTTGCTGGGTTCAGTGGGTCGGTCACGAGGGTCCGCCCGCTGCCCGCCGCCCGCTGCCCGGGCCTGACCGCGCTCTCCCCGCAGCCCAGCCCTCCTCCAGAGCGCCCCATTACCCACTGCTCCTATGGAAACTAATCACCCGTAGCTGAACCCCACAACGTCCAACTAAGAGAATGAAGCCTCCGGCCAGCGCTGTGCAAGGATTCCAGTCCGCGCCCCGATCGATCCATGGTGTCAGCGTCCAGAGACGCCGCCAGCACCGTTTTATCCCAACTGGAGGTCGCTTGCCCCTCACAGTTCTTAATAAAACCCCTTCTCCTGCATTCCCGATCCTGGCGTCCCAGGCAATACCGCCAGCGCCCCGCCGGGAGCTCCGGGAGGCAGCGCGCGGGCGCTCCGGATGCCCCCCCGGCGAGGACCCGCCGCGCTCACCGCGAGCCTCACCGCGCGCGCCCGCCACAGGCGGCTTCCAGGGCCCGACCGTCCGTGCCCCCCCGTCCCGCACCTTCCCACAGCGGAGGGGGGCTCGCGAGATTTGACGAGACCAGACTACGACCTTGCCTTCTGGCCACACTGCGCAGGCGCAAGATTACTCTGCCCCACCCCCCATCCCACCCCAGACACACAGACACACACACACCGACACACACAGACACACATACATACACACATACATACATACATACATACATAAATCAGGGGCGGGATTTAAAGTTTTGAGAGGACTCCAGCCCCACTGTCCTCGCGGGGACCGGGAGGGAAGGGGGGCCGGGACCCCACTTCGAAGGATTACAAACTAACTGGGACTGGTGTCCTGTGAATTCCCTGCCTTCCGGTCCAAAGAGTAAACTGTTCGACCTTGACCAGAAAATTCACATCCGTCATCTGTCAGTCCTTGAAGGGCTGTGTCTGTGCCAGTACTGAGGTTGAACGCAGGACCCTATCTCCCGCCCCTCTCCCCCTCCCCCCCTCCCGCCGTGGGGCCTGAACTCTGGACCTGGGCGCTGTCCCTCAGCTCTTCAGCTCAAGGCTAGCACTCTACCACTTGAGCCACAGCACTACTTTCGGCTTTTTCTGCCGAGGAATCAAACCCAGGGCTTCATGCATGCGAGGCAAGCACTCTACTACTGAGCCACCTTCCCAGCCCCTGTCTTCTTGTTCTCATAGCTAATGCTCTAACCACTTGAAACACATCTTCAGTCCAGTTTTTCTTCTGGTTAACTAGAGATGACGTCTCACAGACTTTTCTAGTCTGGCTTTGAACTCTGATCTTCAGATTTCTTCCTCTTGAGTAGCTAGGATTACAGGTGTGAGCCAGTAGCCCAGTGCTCTACCATTATACTATATTCATTCTATCTCCACCCTTTCTTTCCCTAAGCCTTTACCTCCCTCTTCCGCTACTTTACCCTCGTGAGAGTGCTGTATCAGAAACACAGACAGACTTGTGACTTTCCACAAAGTCATAATTTATTGGATAACAAATTTACAGTCTACATCAATTTCATTTCATACTACAGGTTCTTTTACTTTTAATTACTTAATTACTCTCAGATCACACATTAAGATAGTTGAGCTACAGAGTTCAAAGAGGCCTTGTTGCCTAAAGCCAGAGCAGAGAGTGGACACAGCTGTAAAAAGGTCATTACAGGCAGATACGACACTGGTAACAAACTCTGGCACAGCTGTCACAGAGCTGCTGAGGTCCAGTTGTGTGAAAAGGTTCAATGCCAACTGAAAGTGTACAGCTGATTTCAAGCACAGCTATGTTTTCTGAGTCCAGGCACAGAGATGATTTGGGGGCTAACTAGGTACAGAAGCATGGCAATTCTGACAGCAGTTTCGCAATTCAAGTGGGCCTTGTGGAGCAGGTGATTAGGCTGAGCTGAAGTCCCAGGAGCATATTTAGTAGTCCTCACCTGTTAATCCTTGACACACACAACGAATCATCTGCTGACGGACTGGTGTGTGTGGCTGTGTCCCAGGACTAGAAGTTCTTCCTTTTGTGTGATTCAGGTAAGGGTCTGGTGTACTCAAGTTCATGGGCCTGGTTTTACTGATATGATTTGAGGTATTTGTTGATAATAGTGACATAGTTAAATTATTTATCTTTCCAGATGGTAGTTGTTTATGTGTATAAACAAGGTGCATTCTATTTTGGAAGTTAAAGTAGAAATATCTTATGTCAAAAGGCTTATTACAAAATGGGAGTGGATGGAAATAAGGCACATCCCTAAGGCTGCTGTTGTATGCAACCTGCAGTAATTCAGAGCAGGATAAGCCTGTTCTCTTTACGCTTCACTCCCCACTGTGCCAGTCTCTTCCCTTTCTCTTCTCTCTCTCTCCTTCTGTCCCCCCTCACCTCCTCTTTCCCTCCATTCCTCCCCCTTCCAGATCTCTGTAGCTCCATATTTACCCAGGCTTTACTCTTTCTTTCACAAAGTATTCTTGATTCTCAAAAGTAAATTGCCTAAGGACTTCCACTCACCTTGTCGTATCATTACTAAATGACCCCATGCTGCTGACTACTTGTATGGTATATATGCGCACATCTGAGGGAAACTAGGAGGAGGACACAGAAACAGAGGGAAGCAGGGGGAAACATACAATAGAGGGACTCATCAGCTGCACTGGACATTGATGAAAACGAACTAAGCAGTGATGGGAGGGAGAGAATGAGAGGAATAGAAGGAACAGCTAACACTAAGCAAAAGGAAAGAAATGTGCATATTACCCTATATGGAAGAAATAGTTGTCAAAGCTCATGGGATTCACAAACTTTATAGACCACAATAATGACAATTTGTCTCAGGAAGGTTAGAATGTGTTTGTGACTTTAAGTATCACTATCTCACAATACTATGAAATTTGTGAAATTTATGTAATCACTTCATCACAATAAAAATTTTTTAAAGTAAATTGCCTATTGTGGACTAATTTCTCAGTTCCATTCATTATTAAGGATCTCCATTTATGATGGGCTAGATTAAGAAAGGCTATTCCTAGGAGAGCTTTGGATTTTCAAATCTAAGAGAGAATTAAGAATTAGTCAAATGTAGGAATTGCTGTTTATGTTGTAAGACTTACAATGTAGGAGCTAATAGAGTAGCACAAGTCATGGTAAAAAATAGCTGAACGGGCCAGGTGATGATGGCTCATGCTATAATCATAGCTACTCAAAAGGCAGAGATCTGAAGACCCTGCTTTGAAGCCAGCCTAGGTGAAAAAGTCCTTGAGACTTACCTCCATGTAACCAATAAAAGGCCAGAAGAAGAGGTTTAGCTCAAGTGGTAGAGTGCTAAATTGAGTGAAATAGCCAACTGAGAGTTCAGAGTTCAAACCCCAATACCAACACACACACACACACACACACACACACACACACACACACACACACACACACACAGAATGGCTGAAAGATGCCTATCGTGGCCAGCCAGGGGATATAGCAATCAAACAGACTAAAGTACTTCTTTGGGAAAACCTCAAGAAAATACTAGGAAAAAAACTAACTATAGACACATTCAGGCAAGAGCTAATCTCTTTGTCAGATATCTGTATACCTTCACTAAACTCTCCTTGTAATAACTTGGACCAATGAAAAAGAAAAAAGCTCAAAATGATTAAAAGTAATAATAGAAAATAAAGACAGGAAGTGGGGCTGTGGTTCAAGTGGTAGAGCACTTGCCTTGAGCTGAAGAGCACAGGGACAGCACCTACGCCTAGAGTTCAAGCCCCATGACCGACCAAAAACAAAAGAAAACAAAACAAAAAACCCTAAGAAAAATAAAGATAGTTGGCAACTTGATCTTGGAAAAAAACCTTAAAGTAGAAAAGAAATCCGGCAGTATTAAATTGGTTTTGAATTAATATAACCTCATATGACTTTCTGTATAGTCATCTCTATCAGACTGAAAATTACTCAGGAGAAAGAATTCAAGCATGTCCAGCCCAAATAGATATATAGCAATTTCAGTGCAATCTAAGAGATAATTTAATACTAAATAAATATCTTTATATGGAAGTGATCATTGTTTGTAATGACACAAATGCAAATCCAAACATATATTCTACAGAAATAATACAACAAACTAGGAGGTAAAAAAACACACTTGTCTTACCATTAGTCTATTAGTCTATATTAATCTACAAGAACCTTTTATTTTATCTGGCCTAGAATAAGGTAGTAGATGAATATATGATAGAATTTTCAAGGAAAGACTTGTGTGTGCCGGTGTGTGTGCATGCTGTGCATGTGTGCATGCATGTGTGTATGTGCGTGTGCCAATACTGGATCTTGAACTCAGGGCAAAGGCGCTCTCCCTTAACTTTTTTACTCAAGGCTGGCGCTCTACCACTTGAACTACAACTCCATTTATGAGTATACTTTTCATATCAATAGATTTACCTGAAATTCATAAGAAGTATTTTTAAAAAAACATGTTAGAGCCTGCCTAGATCATGATACCTCTATTTATGCTTGCCAAGTAGCTGAGATGATAGACATATACCACCATGCCCAGTTTTTTTTATTGGTTGAAATGGGGGTGTCAAGAACTTTAGTCCTGAATGGGCCTTGAACCATGATTCTTCTGATCTCTGCTTTCCAAATAACTAAGATTACAGGCATGAGTCACCATGCCAGCTAAATTTTCTTATGGAGATATAATTCCCATATCATAAATTTTACAGTGAAATTACAATTCAGTCATTTTAAAAACATTCACCAAATTGTGACACCATCTCATTCTCTAGTTATATAATATCTTTATCACTCTGTACCTATTAGCATCATTCTTCCTATTTCTCCTAGTCCAGAAAAAATGATCAATGAGCCAGATGCCGGTGGCTGCTGCCTGTAATCCTAGATACTCAGGAGGCTGAGATCTCCGGATCATGGTTCAAAACCAGCCTGGGGCAGGAATGTCCGTGAGACTCTTATCTCCAATTAACCACCAGAAAACCAGAAGTGGTGCTATGGCTCAAGTAGTAGAGCGCTAGCCTTGAGTTGAAAAGCTCAGGGACAGCGGCTCAGACCCAGAATTCAAGCCCAACAACTGACCAAAAAAAAAAAAAATCAATAGTCATTTGTGTGTGTTAGTACTAGGCCTGAGTTCAAGCTTTTTAGCCTAGCTTCTTCTGCTCAAAGCTGACACTCTATCAATTGAGCTAGACCTCCACTTCCAATGTTT